GTTTCGGAGGAGTATGGGAACGAACATTGTGAGAACGAGAATTTTATATATTACATTATTATATCTTTGACTCGGAATTATGTTTAAAAATATACAATTTTAGCCTCAACTCATACATGTTATATACATACTAATAAACGAATATACATATTGCATCAGTGGTGCGGCACCTGCCCGCCAGCTGTCCACAACCGGTTCGAATCCCGTCGCGTGCACCTTTACGATTCTGACCCGGATTTTTAGTTTATATTTATTTTTATATTCTTGAAACCTTCATTCCATTTGGGCGATCGAAGTTATGTATTTTTATGATACCACTAAAGAAAGTAAAGATGTGTTGCTTGTACAGAGTACAGATCTTTTATCATTTAAATTAATTTATTTGGATGCCATGTTCATGCGATTTAAATAACAACATGTAATAATTAATTAATTGGCACTGTTATGAAGCAATTAACATATTTATTTATTAAAAGAAGCCTTTTGTTTATTTGTTTTTAATACCTTGAAAAAAGAGTTGCCAACATACGGAATCAGGGTAGCGCCCTTAAGATGTTGTTATTGGAGAATCGTAGAAAATTAATTGATATATATCCCTTTAGATACGTCCCAGGCGTCCCATCATCCAATTTGTCTTTCAGAAGAACGAGTTATGGCCAAAACTCACTTATATATCTAGATTGAGCATTCTGATAAACGAGCTAAGTCTGGATAGTTGCGCTTACGCTTTGAAATTGATTTTCCTTAAGTTTTTATATTTTTTTATCTCTTCGAGTATGTTATGTTTATGCATATAAGAGCTTGACACACAAATATTTAATTTAATTTTTCTTGTACCTATGTAATAATGTGCCGAGTGCCAATGCTCAGATATTATACATAAATAAATTTAAAGAATTTACATACTTAAATGTTGCGAATAAATGCAAATTATATTTCACGACAATTGACAAATGACCATATGAAATAGTTCTTAGAGCATCCTTCTTTCTCGTTTCTCGGTCAAATCGTTGAAAATGCCCTTATGTACCTCGATGAACCCTTTTTTGCTGTGCAAGCGCATCGGACCACCGGCGACGGTAACCCTATACATACCACCTACCACGATTGCAAGAGAATGCAAATTATACCACATCTTAATAACTTTGTGCTAACGGCTTTAGTGAGCTTGAATTTGGCATCGTTTTAAATAAACTCTTGTTTGCACCACTACTGTTAAGATCAACCTTCCTGAAGAACGTAGAGTTTATGACCAATTAGTATTTTTTAATTATTAATACGAATATTTGGCGTTGCTATTGTGTCCGTTTGTAGGGTATATCGCACTGCAAATGATGTTACAGTAAACCTCCTTATAACACATATTCATATAACGCGATTTAAATCCCTCTCTCCTTATACAACGCGAGGATTGCACACGTTATATTTCTGTACTGTGACATTTTAATGATTTCCACATACGAGTATATATTTCGGTCATAACATAGTTTTTTACTTAATTTTCGGATCAAATCCCCTGAAGCGAAAAAAGTTAAACGTACACTTGTACATAACGCGTTATATGGGGTATAGAAGAGAATACTCCTACAGCGCGGTTCCTATAACGCCAAGCAATCTACCGTGTTATACGAGGGATAACTGTATTTCGAATATATTTCCGATTTGTTACTGTAGGGACATATAACAATTTTAACAAATAATTGAATATCATGAAGAATATTGGCTAAATTACTACTAAATAAACTTTGATCGATACTCTAACTATTTATCTATGAAGTCGAATCGAAATATTATCAAATCTACAGGTAACTATCTCACAATTATTTTTTTCTATAAAAAAAAGAGAAGTGTTACAACTTACCCCGTGGTTGGGGCTAGTTGTAACAAAAAAAATGACACCTTCAATCGTTTAATTTTTTCACATCTTGGATCATTTTATCTCTTAGTTCTACCTTACATCTTACCATCGCAGATTTGTTAACTTTTCCTTCCCCTTTCACTTTTCTTTATCATCTTCTTTTTGCATTTTCTTCATCTTTTCTTCATATTCTACTCTCAAACTTTCATTTTCAGGCGTATCAGTCAGAACAGCAGCTTCTTTGTAATGTCAATTATGTTTGTTTTTCTTGGGGCGGCTCTTGGGTAGGGTCTTACTTTTTATGGGAAAAATTGATTTTGACCAGAGCAACTTGGAGTTAGTTTGTTCGCAGTTTCAATGTGGCGTATAATTTCTGTTGTGCTGATATCCACTTCAGGAGCAGAATCTAATAGTTCTGGATGTTTAAGACTCAACGATAAAGAAATTCTCACTACTTCATTTAGAACATTTTCTGATTGTTATGTAGGCTCTGGATGATCAGTAACATAAGAGAGCGCAAAGTCACTATCTTGGAAAATATCAACATTCAAAGGCCAAATACCAGAAGCCTTTAAGTCCACTGATAATGACTCCTTCACTACACTTGGGATGTCATAAATTGTCATCGTTTTTCCTGGATTATTATACATCCATGCAGTCTGTGCTCTGTTCACGTAGTTTTTTAAAAGGCCCGTAGACTCCTACATACATAGGTTGAAAATTGTGGGAGCAATGGGAGGAAAACTATAACATGATAACATTGTTTTCTTTGGGCTTTTTCGACAACTGAGCTGACACTACTCACAACTGAGAGACAACATTCACATGTGAGCCATGATTATCGAGCAGTAACAGAACTGGCTCTTTCTTGGTAGGTTTCGCGTGTTTGATAAAGTGATCTACAAAAATCAAAAATTCTTTATCAGTCATCCTCCACCCTGAAGAATTGCCAGCTCCAATGCAATCTTCAGGTCCACCGCGAATGAACATTTGTGAGTATTTAAGCCGGGGAAAACTGAACATCGGCCGCGTCAGTAACTTACAGCAATCCTGGGGGCAATTGTAACATGTTACAACAAACCCCCAGGTTTTTGTGCCAACTAGCCCCTTGATAGAGTTCTTAATATTTATCACGATAACTATTAAATTAACTTAGTAATCTTGAAAACTGTTATACAACATCATAAATAGTTATATTTTAGCATAAAATAAAATACATAAAACTTCAAAGTTACGAAAATAGTGAAACTAACCAAAAATTTACGTTAGTAAAATTATAGGTTTCCTGTCAACAATTAAGCGTTTGCACACACCCACTCACTGGTAGCCTGGTAGGACCCTGGCTGTGGTAAAGTGGCGTGGCACGTTATAAGTTGAAGATTAGGTAAAAAAAACCGTGAATAAAATTCAAATTCCTATTGAAAAAGGTCTGTTACTATTTACCCCTGTAACAACAAGCCCCCTACCTAGTATAGTAAAATAACTTAAAATTGTCTTATTACATAGGTTCGTATAAAGAGAGCAATTTAACCGTAAAGGCAGAATAAGGCGATCAACATTTTATAATCAATTAAAATGTAATTATTATACGATTTTGCATATGTAATTTGTTGCTAAAATTACTCGTGTTTAATCGATTTTTTGTTGAATTCTTTGATTCCTAAAAGACTTGAGATGCAAATCAATCACATATACCTAAGACGCAATTAAGTCTAATTATCTCTTGGATTTCTTAATAGGCTGTGCTTACTCGAAAGCGCCCTTTGCTGGCCAGATGTCATTATTATTGAGAAAGAAGACCTAATTTGACTACAAAGGCTTCAGCATCATAGCCAACACATGTACTTTTAAAAAAGATATTAAGAGATAAATTAATAAAAATAGCCTTTAAGTGTATACCAAGATATACAATAATACTATTTTGATTTCTAAAAAACAAATATTACAATTTGAGTAGGTAATCCCAACAAAGGCGTAGGCCTCCTCCATGGAATGCCACTATTCCCTTACACAAGCTCCCTCCCATCGCATTTGGGGTCGTCTTTGGCGCCGTTTACCTTTTGGGTCTTTCCAAGGTGTTACTCGTTCTGTACATCTTCCGTCTTGAGGTTAGCCACTTGTCCCTGTCCACATTTCATTACATTTTTTGGTATCTGTGACTCTCTGATCCGTGACTTTTGTCAACTTACGTATTTTTTAGATATTAAAATACCCCTCTGACAAACTAATGATATATCAAATTAAAATTGGTTTGGTCCATCCATTTGTGCTTCCGGCAATAGATAATACACATATTTACAATTACAAAATCAGCTGTACGAAATCACATAATAAAAAATTAACTACAAAGAAAGCAACTACCTGCTTTCTCTTTGTCGCTAGTTCGATTCCCAGGGCGGTGAAATTTCATTTGGAAAGGGTCCCGAAGGATGCAAGGTGTAAATGCGTACCTGCACTAAGTCACTGTAGCGTGGAATCGATTCGCCCTTTAGTTAAAAGATTTTTGCCGAGCTTTACAAACTTATTATTATTTCTCACACCAAATTTGCAACTCTATTAGATGAAAGAATAAGTTGAAGATTAAAAATACATTGAGTTTTACTGACATTGTATGTTTAATTACTATGAGTTTACATATGAATCTTATAAAAAAATTTAGTCTTCGATAAGACATAAAACTTTTTTTAAATAAAATATGTTTTCAAATACCCCTGTTATTAAATGGAGATGGGTTATTGATTATGTAAAATTACTTCCTCTCACAACCCCCGACAGTTTAAGCCCTTGAGATAAAAATGTAATAAAAAACATCCTAACGTTGTCAATAGGTTAGACAAGCGCTTGGATATTTTGTTCATAGAGTACGTTCAAGTACTTTTTTGTGCTTTTTATGTTTAACAACTTAGTTTATATGCAGGTTTAAAATAATAATAAAAAATATATAATCTTACAATAAGTAAAATAACTTTTGACTTAGATTAGTGTCACCAAAAATTCGTAACCCTCACAAAGAAAAGCCGTTCAAACTAAATCTATCCTTACAGTTTTAAATTTATACAAGTGTAAACGTGATTGTGAACAATAAGTACCTTAATATGTGCTAACGAACTGTCAATAATGTCAAAGTGCAAACACAAAGACGATGGCCCTACGAAATGACATGGATTCCAGTTTCCTTCCGGCGGACCCGCCGCCACTCTCGGACGTTCCCTACCAGCCAAAGACAGACCTGGCCTCGGAGTACTTCAACACATTCAACCAAATATGCGAAAACTATCGAGACGACAGGATCCCGGACCAGAGGCCACCGGACCTCAGGCCCGTAGATAGCATACGCTCATCGGCGGATACCCTCCGAGTCTCCTCCGAAATCCTCGACGGCAGCAGAGAGTTCATAAGCACGGATTTTCAGAGGCTGGACTTCAGTGAAAAGTTCTTGAAGGATGAACAGGTTTTTCAGTTTGGTCAGCCGGATGCGTCTGCGCTGCTCAGAGTGCGAGCGAGACGAAGGTATAATGAGGAGCACGGAATACCGACGGTGACCAGTCAGGAGAGTGGGGTAAGTTGTACGCGATTCGTATTGCACATATTTTAATCAGTTGATCCTCAATCAAAGGATCAATAAATCCGAGATCTCTATTTAAACATATACATTGAAATATATATTTGTTAATACGTAACACGTCATAATATGATTATGTCGTAGCGAGTATATGTCCCCGCCCACGTGCAGCGAAACTTGTCCCGCTAATTATAATAACAACGTAAACACTACGGAAATAAACGCGTACACGTAACGTGATTTTAGATCATAACATTTTTTAATTTGCTTTAATTGTCAAAAGTCTAGCACGTCACATACCTATACTGCATTTTCTACGTGTTACAATCTATCTATTCAATATAATATATGACAATTATAGTGAACATACATTTAACTCAAAAAACAATAAAAGTATTACACTTACAATTTTAGTTTTTACTAGTAATTTTTTGCTTAACAATGCGGATTAGGTATTAGATAGGCGTTCAAAAATGTTTTTTTTTTTTAAATTAATCAGCCCACTAGCGCATCTATATCAAGCTCTGGATTAGTAGCGTTTATTCTGTTTGTGAAGAATTGGAATGAGAGGTGCTTTGATTGTATTTATCGACTTAAATAACACTATGTGTGTGAAACTATTCATTAGGTACTATTAACAAATTATAACAATCAAATGATTCACTTTCCACTGATAATGTAATGTTTTAATCACACCTGCTGTGGGTTAGATTAGGTTAGGCAGGATTTATAAAATCTATCTGTTGATAGGACATGTCGATTGTGGAGCGATTGTATTACTTGCTCCATTAGCGGGCTTTCGCGAAATTATCGTATCTAGTTACGTATTGCTAAGAGCTGCTTTTTATATATTTTCAACTAACTTTGAATTTTTCATTTTATCAGGAGATTTCATCCATAAGTGGGCACGGTATGATTTTCTCCCTGAGAAAAATACAGTACCGCGATTTCCGTCCCTAATATAACGCAGAGATTTCTCTATAACGCGATCCGAGTCTACCGCGTCAAAGGAAGGATTACTGTATATTATGATATATGGCCGTAGGAGTCTTAAAAAATAGACTTAATATATGACATAAGTTTTTAAGGTAATTGCAATTATATTGTATGTTATCTGCGAGATATAATATTGATTGGTTACTAGGTTCTTAATCATAATAATTTAAAAGATAGCATAATAACTTCATCGACATGTTATGTGTTTCCTTCTTTACCTTTACTAATAATTAAGCATATTTCAACGGTCTAAATTGTTTTGGTATATTATATTCAAAAAGGCATGTACATAAGTATATATCGCCACACCAGGAATGGGGGGCCTGTGTAAGTGGTGACGTCACAGGAATAGGAATGCTTACTACAGGGTGCGTAACGAAAGCAGCAAACATCCTGATAGCAAATTAAGAATGAAATTTTTGGACAATGTCATTGTTTTTTATCATCATTTTCCTTATTAAATTTGATCTAAAGTGATAAGCGTACGAAAGTGGGAAGCTGCGGCTGGCGAAGGTAACACTTAAATATGATTGCCGATGTCTATAAATATTGGGTGAGTCAGTTATCCAGATATAACAATTCGTGCCATCGCCTTCCGTTAGTTTATTTGTTAATCTAGAAACTTTCACCTGTAGAATATAGCCTCAACGAGTCCTCTGTGACAAAAGTTTAACCGCGAAAACGTCTAAAATCGAAAAAAGTATTTTGTTTGGTACATTTTTAAAAGCTATTTTGGGCTAACATCTCGTGCTAACAGAATCAGTGATTATATTTATTTATTAAAGTTCACCATATTATATATATAATACTAGTGGACCCCACAGACGTTGTCCTGCATGATATTTAAAGCGATTAGGATATTAAGCAAAGTATGAAAGTACCGACTGCAGTGCGATCTGCCGGGCTGATTTGTGAATCTAAACCATTCCCAGATCCCCTTGAACACACACAAAAAATTTCATCAAAATCGGTCCAGTCGTTTGAGAGAAGTTCAGTCACATACACACGCACACAAGAAATATATATATTAAGATATATAATGCATATTTACAGTATATGTAAAAAAATATCTATTCTAAAATACATAACTTATAGTGAATATAAATGTAACATAAAATTAAAATTTTGTTTTTACTAGTATTTTTTTGCATAATGCAATTACTGTATATAGATTAGGTACCAGATAGGCACTTAAAAATGCTTTTTTTTAAATTGATTAGCCCACTTTGCATTGATTTAAGCGCAACCGCGGCCTGTAACTAGACAACTATAAGAGCAATGCAATAATTTCAATTAGTCAATTTCCTCGTTGTAAGTTGTAACGGCCGAGTTGTTTGCTCAGTGCCTAATGTAGCGAACAATGTCCGTGCGTACACCGCTGTGCATTTTATAACACACGATTCATTTATTTCACTTATGTTTGTCATTACTAAACATTGGAGGGCAAAATATATCGTTCTTGACCTTCTAAAAGAATATAATAGTCGTAAGGTCTGGGCCTCAGATTTCTGTATCTGTTTCATGATCATTTGTCAATAGGCAAGTAAGATCAGCCTCCTGTGTCTGACACACGCCGTCGACTTTTTGGGTCTAAGGCAAGCTGGTTTCTTCACCGTAAAGAACGTCCATTGGTGTACAGCCGGGTTGAACCTACGTCCTCAGGGATGAGAGTAGCACGCTGAAGCCACTAGGCCAACACTGCTGCAAAATTACTTAAAATCCATCTTCTTTGACACATTTTGTCTTTATTATGACAAAACGCTAGAATTCACTCGAAGCTTGAATTTGTATCAAGAAAGATTTCTAGCGTTGTTAACCTTATAGGCTATATTTAAAAGTATGTTGTACTTAAACTCACTTAATTTAAAGTTAAAACTATTTTATATACGTCAAAATGTGTCCAGCAGTGTAAACAGACAATGATCGCAATTACCCGCGTGCTTTCCACTGGACAATAGCGACATATACGGCTGCGAGTGTACTTTTATGGTAACAGGTTCAAATCCCTTGTACCGCTGATTTGTACATGTGTCGAATTCGATTTATAATCCACGATTGTTTGACGATTGGCATTCTGGTTATCTATTGCCTATGTGGCAATTTAAAATCGTCAACTAGAGAACAAATACTAGTTAATAAAGCCACAGGAAATATAAAAATATCTAGACAAGAGTTTGTCCTGCCACAGATGCACCTTGTAGTCAGAGCAGTGGGCTAGTGGCTTCAGCGGGCGACTCTCATCCCTGAGGTCGTAGGTTCCATTCTCGGCTGTGCACCAATGGACTTTCTTTCTATGAGCGCATTTAACATATTATAACAACGGTGAAGGAAAACATCGTGAGGAAATCGACTTGCCTTAGACCCAAAAAGTCGACGGCGTGCGTTAGGCACAGAAGGCTTACTTGCCTATTACATTTATAAATGAATCATGAAACAGATACAGAAATCTGAGGCCCAGATCTATAAAAAAGGTTGTAGCGATGATTCTTCTTATATATCTTTGTATATGGCAAGATATATATGGGATATAACATTTCATATAACACAGTACCTGCTTCGAATACGAAAATCCCACCTGATTCATATAATATCTTAGCTGCGTAGATTACGCGTATCAGTTGAATATCAGAGATAAGTTGCTCAAGCAGTGACTAACAGCATTTATTGTGAAATTTCTATATTGTCTGGCTGTTTTTGGCGCTACAAACTTAACCGCTCGAGTCGCCGTACTTGTAAGCTATAGATTTATGAACGGTGAACTTAATTGGATATTGGTAAGGGAAAGCTCCTTCGCGCTGTAGTTAATAATTGAATAGTTATTAATTTGTTATTGACTCGATCTTGTATTTCAATACGAGTCAGTAATGTCTAACTGTGTGTTTACCAACCATTTTTGGCCACACCCCACATTAGCCGTTCTAAAATTCATGTATCATACATAATTTTTAATGGTTAAAAGTCACCGTGACCACGCACGCTGTAAAGCACGCGAAACGTCGGATAAATTTAAAATTATGTCAAATAGTTGTAAATTTATAATAATAAACTTATCTTTTTTCCCCTTAAAAAGCGTTTTTCTTTTAATGGTAAAAAAATTTAACTGTTTAATGATTAATTGTTTTTGGAAGAAATTACTAGGTTTCATAACATAAACTGAATAAATTTAACACATTTTCGAATAGCCTCCTGTAACAATCAAATTGCAAGTGTGTGTGTGCCCCACGTTGGTAAACACTGGGTTAACTACATATAAAGAAAATTTTTCCTACGTAGAACACGCGGCTGAATAATGATTCTTGATAGATCTTAAACTAACCTGAATCTTATGTGTTTCAGTATGGCAGTGATGAATTCGGCCACGACTCCCCGAGCCGGTATGCGTCACCAAAAGGCGCAGGCGGGGGTGCAGCGGGCTACCAGGAGCCCTATTATGGTGGCGAGTGGGCTTCGGGGTACTACCAACCACCGCCACCGTATCATCATGACCCTTATGCCACATCACCTGGTGAGTATACATTATAGGAGTTCCAGGGTCAATTCTTGAATTAATTAATAAGCTAACGACGAAACTTTATTTGAGATATTGATCTATTTCAATATTCGTAGCTTTGATGTGGCAAATTTGGAATTATGTGGTAACAAAGCTTAGCTTTTGGAATCCCTATTTAAGTTACATGATAAGCCTGCTTATACCGGCGATCTCTAAATAGAATTAGCATAATAGTATTTTTTATTCAATTTATTTATTTAGTATATAAAAATTACGTATCCCTATGTAAAGGGAAGAAAAATTTGTATTTTATTTCATGTATTTGTTGTATGATATTCCCACAACAACAACTTAAAACAAAATTAAAAACTTAAGAATTTTTTCCATAGAAGTGTTAGTAAAAATATGAAGATATTTTTATCTTCCTACCGGAAGAATCTTGAGATTTGGTTTCAATGAATCATAGTTAACATGATGCATCAGTTAAATATTAATAATTCTTTTTAAAATCTCGCTTGCTTGCGATTGCCCAACAATAATTTAAATTTCAACTGAACTTTCAAACCCCTCACAGCCTGTCATTATTCATGTTAGATATTATAGATATATATATAATTGATCACGCAATTTTTGGAGATTATTGACGCTCCCTTATTCGTAATAGATAAACCTACATAAACATCAGAGTACTATTTGTGGAGTTAACCATGTCATCGTACGATTCCAGGCATAGGGGCGGGCGCGTCTGGTGAGCCGAGCGCGGCAGGCGGCGCAGAGCTTCCGCTGCCCCCTATGTCGTCATTTAGAGCAGCCGCCCCCGTGCACTCACCAACAGACCCAATGCTCGTCGCCAAACCCACTATGCAGCCGGTATGATATTCTTCTTTCATCTTATAGATCCTGAATTAATCTAGACCGACTCACTGTCTCAACTGAGTTCGGGTTTTTTTGTATGACAGTCTCGTTTCACCAGAGATGAAAATTTTAAACTGTAATGAGCATTAACAAGGACAGTTTATTTTATTTTGTTCACTATTATATACTTAAATTACTAATAATTATTTAGGAAGATTCTACAAGACAGAAAGAGAGAAGACTTAAAGATATATTCTTCTATTTTCGTACAGATGTACGGCGGAGCTGCAGGAGCAGCGGTCAGCGGAGCGGGTGAAGCTGGGTCGCTGTCTTCTTACGGGTCATCGCCCTCCACACCCGTACATTCTCCGCCCCCGCTGCATGCGCGGCTGTACCCGCCACTCAAACACTCGCCACATCACCCGCATCACGCGCATCATAATGGACAGGTATCGTATTGAATCCTATTTAACAGGCTTTTAAATCTCAAGAGGTCGTTGTTTAGTTCTTGTTAAGAAAGACAAGTGTGATCCGATGTGATTAGATTCAATACTCATTAGGGAATACAGAATTTTTCCAAAAAGTATCTTTTATTTTTCTCTACAATTTTGATTTAAATAAAAAATAAAATTGGTATTTCAGCAAGCAAACTGGGTATCATCAGGAGTATCATCACCACCCAGTGCGTCGACCCCCCACGCACCATTAACTAATGCGGTGCTCCCCAACGGACACCATGTCGGCGTGTTCCCGCCACCGGTTATGGTAAGAACTTCCAAACAATTTTTGGCAGAAAGATTTCTACAGTTTTGTCATAATCAAGTTGATTATCGTCGCTGTAGAATGATAACCTCGTATGTCCAGAGACAGACATACATTACAGGAAACGAAAAAGAAAATTCATTTCGTCAATGTTCGTTAAAATATTATTATGTGTTTTTGTCCATATTTTTAGATGGTAAAAAGGACTTATTTATTAATAATATAAATAAGTTCTTACTTCATGATTATACCACCTAAACGACATAAGAGTCTAAGAATAAAAAAATATATGTTTTTTTGACATACGATGTTATCATTCTACAGTGACGTTATGACAAAATGTGTCAAAGAAGCCGATCTTTCTGTCAAATTGTATTGTACATATTTGTATACTTTTGGCATGATAGTGCATGGATGTTAACTAATTTTTCACTCAATTTTTATAATTTTTCATTCTTTATTTGTTGCATCGAATTGAACTCTTTTCGATTTGATTGCATCAGATAGTGTTTTATTTGATGTTTTATTTTTGTGTGTTTTAATACGACGATCCAGCTTGGAGCTAGTTGACTTTTTAATTAGTGATCTGTAGTTTCTACTCTGCGTAGTGGTATCGTAGTGACGGCATTAAAACCTTGACTTTGATGTCGTATCTTAATTCGAAATTGCTTTTATTTTCTCTTAATTTACGCGACCTGCGCCTAAATAAACGAATGGAGGTAAATTAAAATGTGGTAGACATGGGACAGTAGGTAGTTTTAAAAGCAAAGCGCATAGCTCCAAGCGGTCGCTAACGCGTGGCACGTACAGGGTGCTCCGGCGGAACAGAGGCAGCTCGACGAGGCCATGGTCTTCCTCCGCGAGCACAACGATGTCGGGGTATGTATACAATCTCTCCGACTGTGTAAATACGCACTCTGCGAGCCTGACTCATTCGTATGTATCAGGAATAAAGTAGGTCCCATAGTGGACCCTGAAGGATACTTATTGATTTATTGCGTTAAAATTACGTATGTTCGTTCATAATTATGTTCAAACTGTTGCTATTTTAATTCTGTGACAAGACATTTGTAGATACGGAACATTTGTTTCGCGTGAGACAAAAGCGTCGTAAGCAGTGCATGGTTGGTCCTGGCGATGACCTTAGTTGTGGCATGGAGTTGCTTCGTTGTTATTTGCGCTACGTATAAATACATTTTTATGTAATTTGCATCTGTTTAAACAGAAATGTTGGTTTTCTATTAAAATGAACGGATCGTGGATTACTTCTTCGGTATTTGGATTAACGAGATGTTATTTTGTTAGGGCGCCCGAATGGAAGAGAGACTGGACGACGCCATCAACGTGCTACGGAATCACGCGGAGGCGCCCGATATGTATCCACAGGATGTTCACACACACCAGCCGCCGCAGGGTAAGCCGCTGCACCTACAAGCTGAAGCTTTTTAATTTGAAAATACATTTTAGGAACTGACGAAAGAATTTTCAAAGCGATAGGAATATCCAGAGAGCACTATTCCCGTGTGGTCTATTTGATTTTCATCTATTCATAAATATTATCACTCTATGTTTTTGGTGTCCGTTAATAGCTTCGTCCTGACTTAATTTGGTGTACTCACGTGATGCTCCAATCTTTTCTTAATATGTAAGGATTTCTCTCTTTGCAGCGAGTCGGCTCGGCGGCCTGGCGCATCTTCAGCCCGAGCCCGTCAAAATGGAGCGACATCTCTTGCCCAATACGAGTGAGTAGTTCTTCTCATTCATCATCGAACCAATATAGTATAAATATTGTTTGCTGCGAAAATTAAGTTTATTTATTTATAGAAAAAAAAAATGTGATGGTGGAACACAAGTGAGTCACAATTTCTTCGTCCATCGAAGCGTCGAAATTCATTACAATATATTAGTATTATGACAGATCGATCAGTTAGTGCGTTGACTGAACTCGGAGATTTAGAGTTACTGTAAATTTATCAATTGTCTCGTACTCGTGAACGGGTGCTACTATCGTGGTGGTGACTGGTCGGACTTGAATTCGTGTATGATGGTGATGTTAGTTGTTTCGACTATGTATTTGCGTGTTGTTCCCACGAGAATGAAAGTGCCGGCTCCTATTTCACCATGCCTCCTGCTGATAGAGGACAAATCTTTGTTTTTAATTTTATTATTATTTATTACTTAAGGTGTCATGTGGAACATGGTATAATGGTTGCAGCTCCTTACAAACATTGTGTAAAACAAAAAACTTGGCGATTAAAAAGAGTGGCGGAGAGTTTATTGCCAATTGTTCTCTTCCGTTTTACACCCTCGGTTTGAGAACTGGCAGTAAATGTAAAATTAGAAGCATTTAATATAATATTTCTTTTTTAACGTTCATAAGTGTACATCGTGTTACATATATGAATAAATGATTTTGAATTTGTCTTTATATTCTTCAGTAATGAGTAATAAGAACAATAATTATTCCAGAAAAGCGCAAAGAGCCGCCGGATTCGGGTCTGGACTCGAAGCCGTCATCCTCGGGGTCGGCCGACGCCCTCGGCAAGGCGCCCAACAACAAGCGATCGAGGAGATAGTGAGTTGACATTTAGTTTGATTTCGTGAATTTGTAAATTTCTTTTCTCATGAATATATATAACGTGTGACTTTCCGCGTCCGTACTGACATAAACCGCACAGTTTGTCCGTCAGCTGCTCGTCGGCGGACGAGGACGACCTGGACCCTGACGCGAAGGCGGCGCGCGAGAGAGAGAGGCGCCAGGCCAACAACGTCCGAGAGAGGTGCCGTCCTTTTCACTAGCTTTACTCGCTTAAAACATTGATTTTCATGGTAACAATAGAAATGCAGTGGAATCTCGATAACTCAAAGTTAGAGTTATCGGATTTTTGGATTTCAAGATATACCAATATTCTTTCACCACTAATAACTTTTTTTATTAACTTACAGAATAGCTTTACTGTTCTCTTCTATTTTTGAAGTGAAACTACTTTAGGCCCATGAGGGTAAATTTTTACGGAACGTCACGAAGATGTGCAGCGTTTTTGTCGTATTTTTTTTCTTTAATAAAGATGTTCTAGCATAATATTGTGGTGCAATTATTCATACTTGAACACCGATTGTTTTTATACATATGAATATCATTATTATTTTATTAAGTGTATTTTTAGAAGGGCACAGAATCAAGACCTTTTTTGCTAAGACCCAGTTGGCTATCTTAGAAAATGTGGACATAAGTTAGCAATTATGATAATAATGAATTTGTTATATTATTTGGTAATTGTTACCATATTTATGGAGGTATTTCTATATACATAAAAACAACTTATTTAAATTCTGGTTTTTAATTAGCCTTAGTATCATTTATTATTAATTAATATAGAAAGACTGGCAAAATTAAATTATGGTATTTACAAAGAAGTTTCACTTCTGACATGTGTACTTTGTCCGCACGTACTTTTTTATTTAAAACCAAGACTCGTTTTCAAGCCAAATTAATTTATGTATTCTAGTTAATTTTGCTGTTTCATCGGAACTAATATTAATTTTCTTAATTACCTGTATTAGTAATCCTATATGTTGCTGCTTAAAACAAGTGTGACCTTTTATTGGTATATCTCAGTTTTTGTATTATTATGCGATTGAATCCATGTTCCATCTCATATCAACTTAACGGAAACAGCTTATTTTACAGTTTTAAGCTGTTTCTGAATATGTCTATTTGTACTAACCAGAACCGTTCTCAGTTTCAGCTTCTTCATTCTAACAAGAGTTTGGGTCACAGTGTTTTTTATGTTTTAATCTTAATTTCTATGAACACGGTCGTTTTGCATAAAAAGATACATTTAGATAATATATTGTGGGTGCTAACATTCATGTCATCGGCTAACAAGTGCTGCAAGTGTTTGGCAAGTTTCTTTTGTCCCTAGGTGGTCGGCTGATCTCTCTCGCGCGTTGAGGTAATTTGAGGCGAATTGTATCTTCACCGCAGAAGTATTTACTGTTCTGGCATTTTAATAGTTCGTAGTAATAAAAATCTAATTAATTTTGGTTATTTTTACTATTTATTTGGACCAGCCACATTGATTTAATGAAGATACGACATTTATTCTTTGACAAATACGAAGGCATCGCGGTAGCTCTTAAATATATAGCAATAAGGTATATATTTGCACGATAGTTGCTCGTCAGCCGATGAAGGCGATGATGAATTGGATCCACAGGCGAAGGCCCTGCGGGAGAAGGAGAGGCGGCAGGCCAACAACGCGAGAGAGAGGTAGGTCCAGTCTCAGAGACGTTATATCTTTCAGCAGAAACGTACCGATGTGTTCTATTAGCCCGACTGTGACCCAAAGATTAAGTTAATGCAGAAGTGACTCGATAAACAATACAAATAATTATTGAAAATAACATGTTATATTGAGCGGGGCTTGACCACAGTCGCCTCTGTTGAGTCTCTAGGTCTTAGCCTGAATACTACGTGGAATCGAGTAGTTATATACATTTATGTATAGAAGGCTTAAGTAGCGATTCGGGGCCGTATTTGGAACTGAAATATTGACGTATATATTTACTAAGGCCTGGGACTCCCGTGTTCAATTTAGATAAGCGATTGTGAATAATGCTAATAAATCGATAAATGCAAACAGGATACGAATAAGGGACATAAACGAGGCGCTGAAGGAGCTGGGCAGGATGTGCATGACGCACCTGAAGAGCGACAAGCCCCAGACGAAGCTCGGCATCCTCAACATGGCCGTCGAAGTCATCATGACGCTCGAACAGCAAGTCAGAGGTCGGTGCCATTTTTTTATCTCGATTTCACTCACTTTAGACTCACAAACAAATTGCTTGGATTTTGCCAATCTAATTTCCCTCTAAATCATATTTCAAAAAAAATTAGTTTTCCTTTTTATTGTTCCTATATTTATTATTTCTTAACTACGAGTCCCAATTTTGTCCCTTCTTTCGTTTTATTGAGTTTCTCTTCTCTGCGGTACGACACTGTCCCCCGATTTTATTATCACCGGTTTTGAATACACGTGTGTGCGTTTGTCCCGCAGAGCGCAACCTGAACCCGAAGGCCGCCTGCCTGAAGAGGCGCGAGGAGGAGAAGGCGGAGGACGCTCCCAAGCTGCTCGCCGCGCCCTTGCACCACTACCAGCACATGCCGGTATGCGCCGGGCCCGTTTAGACATTTCTAGAAGCCCGTTAGCGAACGAGCGCATTAATGATCGTCTTTCTCAATCTCCAGGGCATGGGCCAGGTGTCGGGTCAGCCGCCGTCGGGGCCGCCGCAGCAATAACGAATCGGCTCCAACGCGCACGCACACACGCACGCACACGTACACTAACACGCACACGCGCGGCCGCACCGCCTCTAGCCGGCACTAGGAGGCGCCTCCGTGCCCTTTGCGCTTAATGTTATCCGAACTCATCCCGCTTCGTTCGATTTTGTCCGACCGAAGCCGTGTCACAGAAATAGCTGACTCTTCTTTTTCTCTTTCTCTTCAGCTCTTCGTTCGTGTCTTTTCTGGTTATTAATTAATTTTTCCATGTTTGTTTCCACGTGAAACGCTCATAGACATTCCAATCAGACGGAAACAATAATCGCAAAGAGCACGCTCAGTGTCAGACACACGCTAACCCACGGTCACTCGGGTCGATTCGAGATCGTCCGTCCGGTGTGTCAGTGCGCGAGTGATTAATTGGACTCTAAATAGGATTTAAGTGTGTATATTACCTAGGCCTAGGGAATAGTTTTATATCCTGAACCATCGAGATGGAATTTTTTTAAACGCCCGAAGACGAGAGGAAGCGTAAAAATTGTAAAATAATATTAGATATATGTAGAAATAATAATAAATATATAAGAAAAAGATATTTTAATTACGATTTTAAATAATTTCGCTGCCATAAGCGTAGTCTAAGGTCCGGAGTCCGTTTTCGTGGCGACACCGCTCCGCCGTCCCCCCCCTGTCTCTCTTTGCGTTTACGTCCCCGATTTTAAGCTCGACAATAACTCCCCGAAGGTGGACTCTGGACATTTTTATTAGAATTTTCTTTTAAGACGAGATCGAGGGTGACTCGTTCGGAGACGGCGTCGTCTGTCGGCCTGCTCTTCCCTATTTCTTCCCAGGGGCTTCGGTCGAAGGCGGAGATGGGGAAGACCGCGCGCTAATCGTTGGCTGCTAACTTAAGTGACGTACTTAAGTTTTTTTTTAACTCCAGTGATTTTTTTTACGATTTTACCCCGTATACAGGTTTTTTTACGCGTTTGCGTATTTTTTATTTATATTCGGTAGCTATTGTTTTGATTTGGATAGCGTACTTATGTTTTCAAATCTCGATTGTGAATTTCTTTTTGATGTAAATCGGACGCATGAAAAATGTAATTTTGCTCGACGAATCCGTGTAAGAATCAAATGTAATGTTGCGTTTTGTATCGAAAGATTGATTGTTCGGCGACACTCGACAGTTGTAAATACGAGGAAGCTCAATTTTGTCGGTGTGTTTCGCTGTCGCTTTCCCACACGGTTGACTACGATTCGTACCAAATTAGTAGTTTGCTACGCGTGAGGTACGAATTCGGTAGTTATCCTCGATTCCCCGCCCTAAAACTTGTATTATATAGAGATAAGTTAAACCGCCATTTTGGTGAAACTGAGGGTTCGATCAAAATGGCCGACTCGGATGATCGATTATTGGAAAGTTCAAAATATTTTTTTAGTATTTCTTAGCGTTTAAGTCACTTTATGACCGCTGTCTAGCTTAGTTGACTTCTTCCATTTAGCGTTAATTTTAAGTTTTTTTTATTATTAATTTTGTTGTCCGTAGGGTCTACGCGAAATCGAGGTGAAGCGCAAAACGTCGCGTCTCGCTCCGATAATCTAATCTACGATGGTAGAAAGGAGCCGGCACGATTTTGCGTTTGATGTCGATTTCGTCCAAAATACCAGTAATTTATTGGAATATGCTCAGGTTAAGAGGCACTGGAGTTGTTTTCCTTCTGTTCTGTTACAAATCCTGGCGATTGTGTAATCGAGGCTGCTCTTTGTTTTCGCCTCGCGTAGACGTCCCCCTCCCACTGTTCAAATGAATATAAATACAAGAAAGCTCTTATTATAAAAGGAATAATTATAATTAAATATAAATGTGCCATTCATTTTGCTAAAAGTGTGTTTTATTTACTCCTAAAAACCTCTCACAAATAAAACGCATTTGAACTAACAATATCATTTATTGGGTTATACAGGTTTACATTCAGCAACAATAATATTTCTCTAATTATGTTATAAGTGATCAAAAACTCGACAAGTTGGGTATATAGCAACTATACTAAATATTTCAACACTCAACATATATTCACCGAAATTACCCACGACCGCTGAATAAATTCATTTCTATGGAATTATGAAGAGATGCGCTTCATGTTGTTCGTCGCTACTAGATGCCGTTTTATCAACGACTCTTCAATTTAAATTTTGACACATAATTTTTTGACTAGTGTTTTATGTAATAGAATCTGTCCGAAAAGTAGTTTAAAAATATCTCGAAGACTTGAAGAGAAGAAGTTGTCAAAAAATAGTCCCTTAATTCCAAAGTAGCGCGTCGTAGGTAATTTTGACATTTACGAATAAGGAAGACAACATTATGCTATATTGACATTGAAAATATATTCGTCGCTAACAGTGATAGGGGCTTAATCTAAACATTACCGTATTCATCATTAACAAGTAGATTTTTAAGAATTAGGACAAGCAGAAGCATTTTGAATGCATTGCTTCTAAAATATATCAATTCCAAAAAAGTAAATTCTATCTATAAGCTGTTTGAATTTTAGAAAAAAATAATTAGGTACAATCGAAAAACCGGTCCTTCAATAAACTGATCTAAAACTAACGCATTCTACATATTTACATTAATCATTTTATAATTTGACACACAGTATATAACCTCCACATAATATCTTGTTCCAAATTTATTACAAATATGGGAAGCCCAAGATTTCCTATTCTACATTTTCTATTGTCATCGTCACATCGTCAATAATATACACTTAAATTACACTTATTTTATGCTAATGAAGTTAAATATTTTAAGTCTAAAACTTAAAAATAAATACAACATATTTGAAAGAAATGTTTTAGAAAAAAGTTTTATAAAAGTTACGACAATTACTAAATCGATTAACGAGAGTATACAAAAATATACATAGAATAGAATTGAAGAACAGTTTAAAAATCGTCTAATATAATTTACAGAATACTTTGATTTCCTAACTTGACAAATACTTAATTGGCAAAACGGGAGATATGTTCCATATATCTGCTTACTATATTAGTAATTAGATAATCCGATTAAGATTACCACACCTACATTTTTACTATTAATTATTAAAAAAACTCAGCTCACCAGAACCATGATATTTTAAACGGACTTTATTAACTAATCTTGCTGTCCTTTCTTCCTTTCATTTACTAACCCAAGTAATATAATTAAATTTATTCACTATAATTTTTACTGAATCTCAGCGTTTTTGTAAATTTACCCTTTTGGTCTAAAATTGGGGTAATACAAGCCCTTATCTGTTTCTATTTCTGTACCAAATTGATCCAAAAAGTTCCAGTTAATCCGACTAGATGGCATTAGTAGCGCCGTAGCGCGGCTTCCATTATGTGCTACGTATGTTCGCTACGGTCTTCGTCTTAAGCTACGGATCGTCGCATTTCATGAATGTCCAAAAGAGCAGTTTTTAAATAGCTAAGTATTTATTTAAGTATAATATATAGTTATTAAATATTAATTCATATTATTAAAAATTTCTAGATATACTTTCATTGTCAATACAACAGAATAGATAAACATTTAATAGACGGTACAATTTCATACATTTAAATTCTTTTAAATGGAAGACTTCAAAGCAATCGTTGCATTGAGAAATCTACAACTACTGTAATATATTTCACACCTAGATCTTTGGAACATTAATTATAATTTAAACAGCGTATAATTACATTTTTACAGCTAAATAAACTTTAGTAACCATGTTTCTAACTTGCAACGGCTTTAGTAAGTTATTAAAATTAAATCACAGACTTAGTAAAATAATCCCATTGTTTCTAAAAATGTTGCTTATCACTAACCAAAGATAAAATATAAACGTATTAACAATCATAAAAATATATAATAACATTTTCTTATTACGTTCAAGACCTGAGTTTTAAAATAGTAAAATAAAACTAAAAGGCCAAAGAACCTGCTCATACGTTTTGGATAAATTTAATCTACGATTATATCGTGACCAAGTCGGTCCATTTCAGAGAGAAGGAAGTCGACGTCCTTCTCAGTGACTGCGGCGGAAGAGATGATGTTCCTGAAGAAGTTGGGACGGCGATCGTCTGGTTGATATCCCACCATGATGGTGCCAGCTTGCATCATACGCCCCTTCAGCTTGGCGCATACCTACAGTGTAGCCAAATGGAGAAAGTGCTTAGAAAACTTTTTTAACAAAGTAAAAATATTTTTTAAGTATGTCCTCGTGTAAGTGAATCAGATATTTAAAATGATTACCTTTCCAAGTTTTATTTCCTTATGTTGGTCATGAGGGATACCTCGCAGCTGCTTTGGCAGGTACCAGAAGCTAACGTTGACCATTTCCGGTTCCAAAATGAGGTGGAACTTGTCACTCTGCTCCCTGATCCTCCGAACCATGTACTCGGATAACTCCATCAGACGGTCCATTAGCCGTTCGAAACCGGATGTTCCCTTTATAATAAAAAATAATACTTCTTATATTACACATCAATAAATTTGCTAGAAATGCAGCATAAATTAAGGAGTCTATATTAATATATAGAACTAACGAAGATTAAACCTGGTCTTTAGTACCTGTGTTGTTAAAATCTAATAAATGCAGGAAACATCGCTACATAATATTACCTGGCATTTCTTTTTTCTCGCTAAAATCTTACTTTGCGAGTATATAACGTTGTAACTATTAGTCAACTGTACGGCTTTTTATGAACATAACAAATATCATTGTGTCCCTGTTTCAAAGTATTGTATATCAATACATACAATGGTTATTGGGTAAAAACAATCTCCTATAAATACGTCAGAACAAAAATATGTGATATGTATCATTATAGTGTACCTTTCCCCTCCACTGCAGCCACAGCTTGAAGATGTCGTTGTGGCGTCCACACTGAATGACCTTATCGCCGGTGTCGAAACGCGGATCGTAGATCTTGTCCGTCATGAACAGGTATTCAGCGGACATTGCATTGCAGCTTAGCAGGATGCCCTGGGTATACGATAATGGACGAATTACGAATTATAATTTATACTCTAATTTTTAAGCCTATGATACACCTCTTTTAAGACACTTCAACATCTGGGATTAATGTAGCTGTCATTAGTTAGTTTTTTTAAGTAAAAGTAGTGTAATAAAAATGTTTAATACTTGAATAGTAATAATAATACATTAGGAATCTCCCCCACATGCCCCTCAGCCACATAAACTTCAACTTATAGCATGAAAATGACATCTACAGCCAACAATATAGAGGAATCTTTATGCAATAAATTCAGTTTGCACTCAATAATGAACCATATCTCCTTGTTATAAAGAATATAGCTTTACCATTTTCAAACAAAAATTGCTATGAGATTTTGTAGGTCGAAAGCAAGTTTCGTCAAAGGAAATTAAAACTTGATAGTGTCAGGTTTTGGTGGCTATGAATTGCGATAAATTTTTCAATTTACAGCCTTATTACGAACGAAATACCAGCGATTTACGTGTAACCTCGTCGTGTTAAAGTTTTACAAAACAATATGAATTGAATTGCCATGACCATAAGACTGGATTTCTTTTGTATTTTGGAAAGAAAGGGTCAGAAATTGGCAACATATGTTTCCAAGTGTCGACAGAGGAATTTAATTAAAAGTAGCACGTGACGGGTTAGTGTTGTCGATATTAGTTGTAGATAACAGTGTCGAAGGTTTTGATAGGTCTCTATTCAAAAGTATTGAGGATTATAAAAATTAGACAATGGATCTCTCTCTCTCTTGCATAAATTGCTCAATAACCATATACAAAGCAGTGACCTCTTACAGGATATCAAAATTGTCGTCCCTTACTCATTCCCTAGGTTTTAAATCAACAATATCTTCCAAATTCCTTCTGCCAAAACCAACCTAGGAGTTCAGGCACCTCTCGTTCGAATTCTTCGTGATTTTAACAAATTGAACACAGCTTATCCGGAGCTGAATATATTCGGTAGTGGGCTGATCGGTTTTAGAGAAAGCATTGTGGGGTGCCTTTCTCGAACCGAATTTCGCTGTTTTTCTGATGATTTTTCTTTTTTTTTCTGCTTAGTGCCAACAAATTTCATTATTGAAAATTTTATTTTATTTTATGTTTATGTTAAAAAAAAATATTTTATTTTAAATGTGTGTATTGTCGTGTGTGTTTTAGTTGTATTTTTTTTAAATTTCTATTTGATTTTTTTTTTGAGAAACTTATGCTTGCGTTGATTGTCGCACATTTTGGATTTTGTGAAATAATTGGTAGATTTAGGACTGTGTGTGATGTCGTGGGCTTGATAACTAAATAAATAAATGGAATTTCAATTGTTTGATTGACATTATAATGTATTTACATCAATTGTAATTTACAAAATAAAATATAATTTATAAAAATAAAAATAATCGTGGCGCAACAACAACAACCTTACAACCTTCTTAGGTCTGGGCCTCAGATTTCTGTAGCTGTTTTATAATCATTTATTTGTCAATCTAATAGGGAAGTAGGTAATCAGCCTCCTGTGCCTGAGACACGCCGAGTCTAAGGCAAGGGTTCCTCATAATGTTTTCTTTCACTGTTCGAGCGAATGTTAAGTGCGCACATAGAAAAAAAGTCCATTGGTACACAGCCGGGGATCGAACCTATGGACCCGCTGAGCTAGCTACTAGGCCAATACTCTGCTCACTCTAACAAAATTTATGATTAACTTTAAATCGCAATAAAATTTTCCTCTCATATGGACTTTATATCCACTATTCATTTAGGTCTGAATTGTAATTTTTAATATATCGATATTGAACAAAGCACATCACTAGACCGAAAAGTGTTGGCGAAGGGCGTGGCTTAGAATATATTATGAAGCCGTATTGGGATGACATGAGAAATAGCACGGAAAAGCTCCATCGTGTCAATTTTATTAGATACTCTTTTAAAAGATACTTCTACTGGATTCTCTTTACTAGATCAATTAAATTCTAAGTTGTAACTGTGGTGACGTTTTACATACTTTAGCGTTTGCATGGTTTCGGATCACTCAGCGCTGAATTCCAAATATCAGTTGAAATCGTACTTTCTTTAAATTCTTTATAAGCCTTGTAAACAAAGGACATCATTATTGTTATTTAATCTTAGGTAGCTCCTGTATATATCTTAATATATATATTTCTTCTGTGCGTGTGTATGTGACTGAACTCCTCTCAAACGACTGGACCGATTTTGATGAAATTTTTTGTGTGTGTTCAAGGGGATCTGGGAATGGTTTAGATTCACAAATCAGCCCGGCAGATGGCACTGCAGTCGGTACTTTCATACTTTGCTTAATATCCTAATCGCTTTAAATATCATGCAGGACAACGTCTGTGGGGTCCACTAGTATATATATATATATATATATATATATATATTAATGACATATCTGCAAAATATAGTACTGAGAAGATAGTTTATTTTTAAAGAACTTTCTTTCTAGCTATTCTTTAAAGTATTTTTTTTTTTAAATAATTTATTCATAGACGGACAAAAAATGTCACTTAACCCTTAGTTTAAACAGATGAACGTCAGTGAATATTAATATGTTGGTTTTGCTTATCATATCATAACAGGCATAACCCGTTGGCGTATCGCTAAAAAACGATAGTATTTTTAAATAACTAGCTAAATATATAATAAACCTTTAGCTTTTGCTAAATACTAGTAAACACTTAAAAATAGTAGTCTTTAACTGATTTAATTAATGAAAATCCTAAAAATCCGATCTAAACGAGGAGTTGCTAAATAAACTGGATCGTCTCCAAAATTTCTGTATCCGATTTATATCGGTCTAAGAAAGTACGACCATATCTCTGCGTCCGTAAGCGGCTAGGCTGGTTACCCATTCGTCAGCGACGTGATGCTCATGTTCTCTATCTCTTCTATTCCATCATCCTGTTCAACCCTAAAACTCTTTCCTATCTCAAAAATGACTTCAAATTTTTGGGATCCCATAACTATAGTTCACGCTCTTCCGAAAACTATATCCTTGAAATCCCGTGTCATAACTCCTCCTTTCTTGGCGAGTCCTTTAAGGTCTCTGCAGTTAGGCTATAGAATTCACTTCCAGTCAGTCGCTTAGCTCCTTCTTTATCTTCCTTTAAATTTATTCTATACAAACATTACCTGTCCACATCCTAACTTTAATAATACTCACTAACTGACGTGAGACTGATCTTAAATTAAATTATAATGATTCATGTGCACTTTTTATTATTAGGTATTAATTTTTTTTTCATGAGTCCTTTATTAGTTTGTTTTTTGTTCCTGATTAGTTTCTTTTTCTCAACAACTATGTAATACATGTATTTTTGCACTTCTTGCCTACCTTATGTAATTTAATACTTTCTTTTTTTCTCACAGTGGTTGCCTGGAAGAGATCGCTCGAAAGCGATAAGGCCGCCAGTTGCTCTCCTTTTTATTTAATTATGTCAATTATACTATATTTATGTATATGCAACGAAGTGTTAATAAATAAATTAAAAATTAAAAAAAAATCACTATTAGAATTATTTATTGTGAAAGAAAGCAAAAGTACTTGCCTCATACTTGAAATGCACGGTAGAGCATTGCAAGAGTGTTCCCATCAGCTTATGAGGATTCCATGTCACTGAGTCAGCTCTGTGAATAAAAATTATATCTTTGAATTTTACTATGATATTGCTAAGTTCTTATCGAGAAAAAGTTACTTTACTGCTAACATTGTTTTTTATTACAAATAATTTTAAGAGAGACCACAATATATTCTCATAAGCACTATAAAACATAAAAATAAAGAAAACAAAATTTAAATACACCTTTATTGTTCAATTGCAAACCTACAATACAAATAACTTACTTGCGTTGCTATAACCTAACTTATAAAATAACAATAATAATATTTTCGTAGAACATCTAGCTGCATCCCGTAGCTTTTTCGTAGCTTTATCGTAGCGATATCGTAGAACTTACTTATATGGTTTAACGTTTCTTACTAGGCATGTGATATTAGAACTTATTGAGCCTATATAATTTTAGTAGTTATGAAAGTTAATATAAGAACTAACTGCTTTATAATACATTACTTAATAAGACGAATTAGTATTGTGGAACCTAAATTCGCCTTTAGGTGTATAATAAAATTTCCATTTAAGTGTAAACTGCTTAGTGTGAAAGTGTCAGAGTGAATGTATCTAATATTGACACAGTTGCAGCGGCGCACGGTTTACTCTTAATCCCTACTTACGTCGGAGACCCTCGTGCCTGGACCGCGTGTTACACCGCTGAGCTACCAAGATATCTTGGTTCAAATTATGGCTCTTTATGAAGTTTCCGAGAGGAAATTTGATGCTATCGAGGAGGATGGTACTGTTCTATAAATGTCTACTACCTTGTAAATAATCACTGAAGAATTGGATCTGCTATCCATTGATAGCTTAGATAATTTAATAACATTATTTTAATCCTGTTATATATATTAGGATTTTTAAAGGTTATTTATATTTAAACTAAAATTGTAATTGAATATCCGACTTTTAGAGGATAAAATATTACGTGTTGGTGTAAGTGTAGGCGGAACAGCGTTTGATAAATGGGCTGGAGTGTTTTGGAACGCACTTTGTTTTTTACTGGAGGGAGCTTTAATTGATTGCGGAGCTTCTGGCTCTGGCTTTAATAATTTTGGATACTCTATATTTAAATAAACCTTTAGACGAATTGATCTAAGACATTCGTTCACACATTGTACCACGTGAGACTAATACAAAATTTGCTGATGTACAGTACGTACATATATATTTTACAGCATATATTTTATATATATATATCTGAAGATGTAGCTTTTTCATTGGCCATATCTTATCGTAACAAGATAATTAAATTACTACCATTTTAACTACATCCGCGAAACCACAATTCTGTAATTTATATTTCGAATAAAGTCACTATTTATAGACTTTATTCACTAAGTGATCTTTCTTATCTATACAAAGTTCAAAAATTCAAAAGCATGTAAGTTTACGCCATCTCACTATCTTATAGCGGCATTAGTGCCCACACACTGTTATCATCTATGTCTTCTTGAACTGTGTAATATCCTCTTTTATTAGGGTTTCCTTAATATAAAGTTTAAACTTATGTAGCGGAAGTTTGGTTACATGATCTGGAATTTTGTTATATATCTGTATACATTTTGCCATAAATGAGTGAGAAGTTTTATGAAGTCTGAAAGCTGGAAAAGCAAGTCTACGTATATTCCTACTACTTGTATTTAAATTGTGACAGTCACTGCGCTTTAGAAATGTATTTATGTTTTTATAAACGCATATTACTGGCGCAGGCTAGGATTGTTTGTTACATGAGCCTTTAAGGACAAGAGGAGAAAATCCAGGAATCAAAGAGTATTAATTGTGGCAGCATTAGTAGCCATCAATCATTGGCGAGGGCTAAATGCGGCGGGCGTGTGCGGCGAGCCGAGTGACGCTGAACACATAATTAATACTGCCGATAGGGAAATTTCTCTTCTGGAATCTGAAAGGGAAGCTTGGGCGGAATTTTGGTAAATGTACCTACACTTTGGGCATTTTCATTCTTGTAATATTCAATAAATGTGTTCGACTGGTTTTGTATTTAGCCTTCGGAAAACACATTCATTTTGGTTTCGATATTATCGTATCAAACCTTACGAAATAGTTAATATAAAAGTATACATGTATATAAAAAGTTGACATATATAATACATGATATATGTAATCCTAAAAACTAAAAATAAATAAATCCATGAATACCTTACTGTCATATATTAATGTTTCAAAGTCTTATTATAAAATGATTATGTATGGTACATTACCTTTCGATGCCAGTAAGTCGTGGATGCCGATACTTTTTGGAGAAGAGAAGACCACCACCCCAGGCCGCCTTAATGCGAAATATAAAGTAAAGTAATCATTACGTATAGATCATGTTCATTGTTAAACTTATATAATTCATTGTACTTTGATTCAACACAGGCTAAAATGTATTAATATTTTATATATAAACAAAAAATATAAAAAATCAGTAGCACTACAACCTTTTTAGGTCAGGGCTTCAGATATCTGTATCATGATCATATGTCAATCTAATAGGCCAGTAGGTGATCTACCTCCTGTGCCTAATATAAGCCGTCTACTTTTTGGGTCTAAGGCAAGCCGGTTTCCTTACGATTGTTTCCTTCAGCGCAATGTTAAATTCAATTGATGCACAGCCGGTGATCGAACCTATGACCTCAGGGATGAGAGTCACACACTGAAGCCACTAGGCCAACGCTGCTCTATATTTATATATAACTTTGGAATTTTATATAACGTAGTTTCTATATACATCATCGAAAGTATATACTATAGTGGTTTATACACACAATTATGTTGTAAGTATATTTCTTGTATTCAAATAAACAATATCTTACATCAACGTGCATCCACATGTCGTATTTCTGGCAGATATCAGCGATGTCTGTGAGGGGGTCGAAGGCACCCAGCACTGTGGTGCCGGAGGTCGCGTTCACGAAGAATGGCACCTGTTTTAAGAAGCTTATTTTATGAGCAAATACGACAAAATATGCTTACTTTTATTTATGTTACAAAATCTGCAATTAACAACTGAAATCAGATGGTTTTTTTACTTGTTTCGTCTGGACAGAGTTAATTAGCTGGCAAATGTAAATTGAAATTTCAGTATTAAATTGATTTTACTAAGGATTTTGATTTTCGAAGTTTCATAAATTAATACAATGCTGAATAACTTATTTTCAGATATATACTAGTCACAATTTTTCCGTCCCCCGAAGCGTCGACATTCATTACAATAATATTAAATTTAATGGTTTACAATGTTAATGTGATAGGCACAAGGCGATAGTAGGAAGTGCCCATGCCAAGTATACAGGTACTGTTTATATATAATTAGGTATTACGTATTAAATATTTTTTGCTGATTTTTTCCTTTCGTTAATATTTGAAGAATATTTTCATTTTATTTTTTGTATTCCATCTGTCGCTATATGTTTAGTTTAATTGTGTGTAATTTATGTTAGGAATCGGAAATGATAAAAAAGGTTTTCTGTCTTATTACTCACATGTCCTTGATCGCGATGTTTTCTCACAAGTCTTTCAAGTTCAGACGCTATCATGCGGCCGTGTTCGTCGGACGGAACGCAGATGCAGAAGTCCGTGCCTAAACCGCCCACAGACGCACAGGACTTCACCGAGTAGTGGCACTGATTAAAAAGTAAATTTTGCATTTTTGCTTACTCATTCATCATTAATATAATCGGTGACATGGATCCAGGCCATGAAACTTTTAAATATCGTTGACGTTTAGATAAAATATTGTCTTTGATTTAAACTTAGTATTGAAACATAATGAAAATAAAAGGCAAATGTTTCTGATATAAATATAAATATGATATACCTAAAAAACTACTTTACCTGATCGCTAGTAAACATGACTAATTGTCCGGGAATGCTGGACAGTCCCTTCTCTTTGTATTGAGGAAACTTGTGGTGACGGGCCGCTAAAAATGCGTACAGGTTGGACACGGAGCCACCTAAGACAGTAATTATTTTTATATTATATATTTTGTTCATGCATTTAGTTGCAACGTCAAATATATAACTGTTTCTGTACCTGGAGCGAGAATAGAGTCGCCGGACTTCCAGCCGATCATGGTCCTCATTTTCTCGAGGACCACGTTTTCCATTAGAATGAAAATAGGTGCAATCTCGTAAGTGAACATGTTGGTATTGGCGGCGGCCGTCAGCCACTCTCCAGCGAGGGAGATAATGTCCAGGCCACATGACAGCTGGTTGAAGAAGTGTGGGTGTCCTGAAGACAAATTTCACTGTAGATATAGCATTATATGTATATGATGTCGTGAAGTTTAATAAATAAATAAATAATAACGTTCAAGATAAAAGGGTTAAATGTATTTGTTAATTGACTAACGAAGTTTTTACTAAATATTCGTAGTAGAGTTGGTAGTCGAATTAGCTAGCTATATCTATAACAAGAGTAAAGATTGGATATACCCCACGACTTTACCCGGGGTTTTAAAGAGCAAATGAGGTAGCTACTAGCTAATACGTGATCAGACAGTCATAATGTTAATTTATCAGAAAATGCCGAGGTTTCGCCATCATTGCCCTTTTTTGACCCAGAGATCTTTTTTCTGAATCTTACTAAGTAGCACTTTGATCACTGCCATCAGTATAACATCTAAAAATACATCTCAGCTCACACAAACCGGAAATCGCGGCGCCCGGATGTGTACCGGATGCAATAGCACGCTCCGTTAAACGGATAGATGATATCGGTCACACTATTTCCGAAAAAGAGAAATGAGGCATTGTTTTCTTTAAACGATATATTTTGATAACATATACAGAAGACTTACTATCTCATTACAACAGTGACAAAATAAAATAAAAATAACCTGTATTCGAGTACTACATTATCAGGATTACATTAAGTCCATATTTAACATGACCTCTGAGGGACTGAAAGCCTCCTGCAAATTCTTCCACTTGTCTCTCATTCTCGCCACTATTTTCCAATCCCGCTACCCCTTTTATTCCATCTTCCCAGGTTTCTGGTAATCGTCCTCTCTTTTTTCTTCTCCGTGAGCCATTCCAAATACCCATCCCATCACACACGCTGGTAATGTGACCGGCCCAATTCCACTTTAACTTTTTTAAATCTGTTACCACGTCTGTTATTGTCATAGCGACAATAGTGTGACCGAAATGTAGATTTTGGAAAAAGGTATTTTCTTAGTAAGCGTCCCCCCAATTTACGACAATATGGTTAAAATGATATTCAAATGATGTTCAAACATCAACAATACGCTAATTTTGAATCCCACTGATTTCGATTTCATTTTGTTTGTCAACCCCCATCTGCGGCGCGTGATAAACCGCCCCACGGGACGACCGGGGTTCATACGACCCTTTGCACTTTTTATCATAAGCTAGTTATGGCGCGCGGCGTTACTTAATATCCGGCAGATAGTGCCTCGTTTAGATTGGAAGATTACTTTTATTGAAAAAGCTATCATAATTTTACGTTTCATTCGCCTTTGCGAAAACACTAGGATTTTCATTTATACATGTCATTCGTGAAAAATGAAAGTGTTTACATATAAGTAGATAATATGTAAAAAAGAAAAGTAAGGTTAACACACCACACCTTTCAATCTGAAATATTAACTAATAATACATGTAACTAAAATAAATTGTTCAGTTTTCATGGATAATAGAAACCAGTATTATCTTTTATATAAAGGTCAATCAATAGTTGTATATACGTGAATCCGATAGTTGATAGATTTCAAGAAGAACATTAATTTTAGATACTCCAAATATATCCAAACATTTAGTTTATCTATGAAGTGTCATTCAGGAGAAAGAGGTCTCTACCTCAAGGATTTACAGACTACAGTCCTTTAAACGATCCCTCCACGGGCTGCCAGAGTAAAAATAATATTAATACATCACTAGGAATTTAATATAAGCCCCTCGAAATCCAGATGGGGCCAGAATTAATTCTTGTGCAGTCAGGTGCGGTGTAATTCTGGCTTAATCTGTATTTCAGAGGGCAGCACTCACGATGCTATTTGCCCAAATTACTTGCATGATTTGTTTATACAGCTCGCTTTGGAGGGTGAGGAACCTTTTATTGTTTTAATTACAATTATATAATTAGTATTATTTATTGATAGTAAATTAAAATTTTAAGATTACCGTTTTTTATTGTAAGGACTAAAAACATCCACAAATTTTTGACGCTAGTGTTATATTCACGGGTAATATAATCATTTTATGAAATAAGTATCTACATGAATAATTCCAGAAAATCTTGTTAAACATGTATAAATAATATTTGAAACTGATACTGAAACATTCTGACTATCAGGGTAACTTGAGGGCTTCTATCAACTTCGACAAACCCTATTTTTCTGTCATTTTTTCAACTACAGCCTATTGATAATGTCATCACCACAGATTATAAATAATGGACAGATAAAACATCGGAGCGGCAAGCACCCTCAAACATGAAGCCTACTTATCTCTCCTTGCAAACCCCCAAGAGTCCAAACTGTGTATACAGTCAACCAAAAATAATATTTACGACTTCTTAAGCTACTACTAATTTAACATAGGTACATTTACTGCCCACTACTAAACGTTGTTGTTATGGTAATTCAAAACCATTGAAAGGGTATTTTTTATTAAGTTCTAAGTTTTTGAAAACAGAAGTTATTTTTCATTTCATTTTTTCATTATACAAACAAAAAGTATACAGTTAGCTAAGGGAAAATGGTGGTACGCAGCTAAGGGGTGACTTTGAGGTTATAATTTCCCCGCGGCACGTGCTTCTTAAAGTGACAACTGACAGCAATCAGTCGTCATTGTGGCCGCGATCCGTTTTTGTTTGCTTTCCTAACAATAGATTTATTTGTATTGGATTAAAGGGTTTGCTCTGCATATTTAACAAAACAAAGAATTTTTCCAAAGATTAATATTGAGTCAAACATTGGTGAATGTTTTTACACCTTTTAATTTACTACCAAAAATGCTAATTATAATAAAAACCTTTTATTATTTTAATATATCATTAAAATAATAAAAGGTTCCTTACCCTCCAAATCGAGCTGTATAAACAATTCCAAAAAATGTAATTTGAGCATAGGTCAAAAGTAAATAACAAATTATTCGATATCACACACTTTAAAATGTATTTTATCGGAATAAATGCAAGCTGTTAAGGTCGCAGAACATTGGAAAAGTATTACGAATACCAAATGTAATAAATATTTATAAATTTTAAGATAATAAAATGATAATTTCCAGTTAAGGGGTAACTTCAATTTGAAGAAAAAAATATTGACTTATCCGATGAACCAGACCAATATCATTCCGCTAAAACCTAATCTTTTCATAGTGATGATGATGTTAAAATGATGTCATATACATATATATTATATCTATAAATATAGCATAATACTACCTACAATCTCAAGAAATAGGTTGGTAAATTTTTTAGTGCGTATTGAAAATTGGGTAATATAAAATCTCCACAACAATGCGAGAGACGCTGTTATCTGCACACAATGGCTTGAAACGATCCATAATCCTGATCTGTGTGGGACAGGGGATCTATCAACTATAGAATGCAGATAGGTAACTGTGATTTTGATTTTCACTGGACTAAAGTATTGCACATTTACTTGAAACTGGCATAAAGTTAAAACTATTGCCATAATATAAAAAAAAGGATTGCACTGTACGATATCACAGAAAGCATTGTTAACAAGAAAGCGTGATTGAAAATACATATAATATTTTTACATATAAATCATTATATTATGTATATGATTAAAAAATAAAAATCAAACGCCTTTTTATTTTTACCTAAGCGTGTGTTTAACACATAAAATATTCTTAAAATGACTTGAAAAATGACTTGTTTGTTAGTGAAATTAAACGTGGTGATGTACTGAGAAACTTATGGATTTATAATCAGTCTCAAAATATCCATAAATCATAGCCACCAAACATTTCCATAATCCAATGATTTGCGTAATATAAGGGCACTTTAGCCACTAAATCAGGTGGCTTTTACAGCGGCTTAGCCATTGTTTTTATTTGAGGGGCACCCCGTGAGCCCTGGCACACGCCGATAATTAATTAGCCAACTTTGCTATTAATTGATAAGTTTATACGCCCCTCGCTACAGACACTGAGAACGCAAGGACTTTATTCTTAATGTAATCTAAAAAAAACGGCTAAGGTTCAAGAAATTCATGAGTTTTAATCAATTTCACTTTAAAACGTGATTCTGATTTCATACGGCATTCTTTAACAACTTATCAATATTATTGCAAGCTGATAAACTGGTGTCAACGAGATCGTTTGAATTTTAGAAGTAACACAAGAAGTTAAGAAGGTAGTAGTGTATTTAACATGATGTATGATTCTTATTCCAATCTCCTAATCCTTATAGAAAAAACTTTAAAACATAAAGAACATTCAAGACTTCTTCTACAAAAGAACCCATGCGTCCCTTGCATTGTCAAATCATTTGCTTCGTCGAGCGAATACGGGGTGCGGGTGTCTGGCGTTTGATGAGTTTTAAAAGCACGAACGATGTCGGAGCTGCTTAATGGTGCTCTAGATATCTATACGATGGAATCTTAGAATATAGAACACTACACTTTGGAGGATAACGCAGTAAGTTTATTATATGGAGACTGTAACTTGGAGGATGTACTTTGTTTTTGGAGACTTTATATATGTGTACGGCACTTGAAACATATAACAATACATACGTTTAAATTCTTTACGTAAAATACATATCAATTTCTACACCACATTAATTTCAAAACAATACCAAACAAAATATCTATTCATCGGTCTGTTGGATTATGTGTATTGTTAACAAATTTTTCTAAATCATTGTCTAATTAATAAATAATAAGGTTTTACAAAAAATCTTTCTTATACAAGATAAAACTCTCTTATTCTCGCAATAAAACATGTTGAGGCAGACACTAAATCGCATTTGATGGACACATTGAGCCCCTACATCGGGGGACCCTCCAGCAAACAATTCAATTAAATGTACAAATGTATCGGAATGATTGCCCCGACTTGCTCCTGTTGCAGCCACGCGAAATGATTCCAAGATTACGAGAGGATGCTTTAACTCAAATATATTTCTATACGGAAATAAGAACAGTCCTAAAGTCCTTTATATGTATAAACAAAAAAGCAACGCGATTGTTCCCATTAGTATATCGATTAAAGGGCTTTCTTTGGTTGATTCAAGCAGTATGAATCTATAACATAGCCTAACATATAACCAAGACATTCGGAACAAGTCGGAAACATTTTCATGTATTTACCTACTGTATATTAAAAACAAATAATACTGCAGCGGTCAAGAGTGCTTTCAACTCCTGGTCTAAAACACTGCTAGATCAACACTGCTAGAGATAACAATAATCATAACAATACATTGTCTTCTTACTTAGGGGTATTAACCCCTATAAGAATTGTAAATAAATTGTTTTTTAGAAAAATCTCTAACTTTGATTTTGTTTCCTTTGGACTAGAGTACAAGTGCAACGGCGCTAATTAAAGATTTAAGTTTGCGCCTGGCAGACAGTACCCGTGACCCCAGAGCTGGTGCTTTATTTGCTTAACGAGGCTAGCATTAAAGGTACCAAACCACAGGGACCAAACTTTTTGTATTTATTTTAGTTTTCTGTTCATACATTTTTAATTATTATTATTACTATGTAGGCTAAGATTGTAAATAATCTAATTAGCTTTTATCTATTGTATTTATAAACAAATAAAGAATATATTTTTATAGAAATAAATGAAGACTTACCAGTTTTGACTTGATGCTTCAGGGTGATCTTGCAGTCTTCCAGCAGTTGCTTGAGAGGCAGTGGATTTTCCGGCAGTTGCAGATCCACCATCTTTTGCATCTCCTCCGGCATTTTGAATTCCAGGATCTGGTTGAGCGAAATATTAATGCTAAATTGTCAGTGAAGAATTCTACAGTAAAGTAATCTGCGATCATACATCTGCGAATCATAGGCTTCCATTTCTATCCCACGTAACGTAAGAAGAATTCAATGCTGTACCTTTTCGTTCCTGTCATTAACTTGCTGTATGTAATCGAGAAGTACGTCCACCACTCGCGCTAAGAACTCTCGTGTCTGTGGGCTGGCGTCTTCGCGATACGGAAGGATCGCTGTAACAATAGTTTCATGATATTGAATGTTCTAATCCTATAATTAGGAAAAAGTACTGCTGATCCAATTAGGATAATGTAGGTATTTTGTATCTTTGATTTTATTTTAACTATAAATAAAAAACAATCCAGTGGCTCTACAATCCATATCAAGTACCTCTTTTGAGGTCGGGTCCTCAGATTTCTGTATCTGTTTCATGATCATTTGTCAATCTAAGAGGCAAGTAGGTGATCAGCCTCCTGTGCCTGACAGACGACTGTTTGGATCTAATGCAAGCCGGTTCCCTCACGATGTTTTCCTTCACCGTTTGAGCGAATGTAAAATGCGCACATAGAAATACAATCCATTAATGCACAGCCGGAGTTCGAACCTACTCAGGGATGAGAGTCGCCTGCTGAAGCCACTAGGCCAACACTGCTCTTTTAACTATCAGAGGGGAAAGTCAGGTTTTCTGTTATGATCTAGATAACAAATTTCAAAGGTAACGACTTCTTAGTGGGGTTTACCAAACATTGAAGCGAGTAGAAATTAATTTAAGGAATCCTACAATTAACTACATTGACATCAGAAATCCTAACAATATTTTTCTAGTCGTAAATCTAAAATGTTCTTTGCATGCAAATTTGAAAAAAGCGCATTGTGTTCCGGAACAATACGTTTTTCAACCCGGCACTGTTCGCTGGGTCGAATGGCCCCCTGTGATTAAAAAGTCACTGCTTTTAATATCCACCCTATGTCCAGGAATGTGTAGGCTGGGGTAAGCGTACATTATGTGTTTTTATGGTCACATTTTTGATATACTATCTCAGCTATCCCACGTATTTTATTGTATAATCGCCAAATTGTATTTGGCACTATGCTGTGTAGGCATTCACTAAATTATATTTAAAAATATTACCGTCATATACCGTGATTGATTTTGCCAAAGGGATGTATTTATATGATAATTAATAGATACTTTTTGTTGGTTTACATAACCTACAAATCCGGATAAATCAGAAAATTATTGCCACAAACGCTCACGTCATCGTTAGTTTTATTCACAAGTCTTTAATAATTCTTATGTTCCTTTTTAGATTACAAAAAAACATATGCATTTCTTGAAAGGGCTTTTATTAAGAAAAAAACTCTTCTCCATGGAAAGTTACATTAGGTACGGTACAGTATGTGTTCTGTGCATCTGAAGCAATAACAAATAAAAATTTACCTAGTTTAGGTAAGCGGGTGACTCTCAAAGCTATCGTTATGCAGTCGAAACCCATACCAATAGAGTGCAATTAATACGTGCGGAGACAGACAAACCTATTTTGAGTTTTCTCTTCTTCTTAGTCGTATTCTACATTGCTGCAGGTCGTGACACTGCAAGGCGCCTGTGCCCTGCTAGTGATATCTCCTCTTTGTTCGGGTTCTTTTAGCGTATGCAAAGCATGTTTGTGTATTAGCAAAATTTCATAAAACAATGCTTTTTCTTAATAACTCTTTAAAGTTTAAACATCTTTATATTCACTTTCCCACAGTTAGCATATTCATACATTAACACTGAGTACAACAAAATTCACTTCACACAATCCTAAGTGTAACCCTCTTACTCCATAAGGGGTCTTGCGGCCCTCGGAATAATCCTCGCGTAATACTATCACTCGGCTGTCAAACACACGCCGTGCACGCTGGCCGAATGCCAATGAGAACTTTGTAAGAAATTAACCGGTATTGTGATTTTTGGATATGATTGAATTTGTCAAATTGCTGTATTGTGACTTAGTTTGGATTACAACACTCAGGGATGTTCATTGTTCAGGGTATATCAAATTAGCGCAATTTTTATATATTTATGTTGCCATGCTATATAGATTGATGAGCAGTGTTGGCCTAGTGGCTTCAGCGTGCAACTCTCATACCTGAGGTTGTAGGTTCGATCCCCGGCTGTGCACCAATAGACTTTCCTTCTATGTGCGCATTTAACATTTGCTCGAACGGTGAAGGAAAACATCGTGAGGAAACCTACATGTCTTAGGACTTAGACCCAAAAAGTCAAAGCGTGTGTCAGGCACTGGAGGCTGATCATCTACTTGCCTATCAGATTTACAAAATGATCATTAATCAGATTCATAAATCTGAGACCAAGACCTAAAGAGGTTGTAGCGCCACTGATTTTTTATTTATTTTTATGTTATATAGATAAGGAGATTAACTTATTGAAATTTTTCATAGTTAGTAGTTACGTATTATCTCTTGTGCCTACTTCTATTCTGTATTTAAGCCCCACTTAGTAGAATTTCGAGACAGTCGAAGAAGCGGTAGCAGGAAGAAAGCCATAGCCATAGCTGACTATGGCTGTGACTTTCTTTCTCTTCTTTCTTTCTTTTCTTAGAAAAAGTTGGAGGAGGCTTTTACCCGTGAAGGGGTTCCGATCGACGGTACTGAAGGTAGCTAGGATATAGGATAACAAGATAAAAATATATCATTTTCGTCGAATTCAGATAAATATTATATCAATTGATTTAATTAATGTAACTGGAACTCGCTATTCGTCGAATCAATAACGTACATACCGTTTGTCAAAATACCGACTCATAACAAATAGTAGTTATGCTTAGATACCCAAAGTATTTCTGGAATTTCACTCACAGCCCTCGAGCGGTCGATTAGGCTCGCTTACGAAACAGCTGCGCTTAGGGTTAGCAAAATATATTCGGAATTTTAATTAAATTCTCTGAATAGTTTTTTAAATCATATATTCTCAACGAAAGCAACAAAATATGACTGTAAGGAATCGACAGAGGCTTCATAAATAATATATTATATAACGTTAATAGAAAGTAAATCAAAAAGTATTTTTTTAGAGCCCATACAAACTCGATGTTCACAATTTATCCTATTTGATACGAGTACAATTAGTTATATTTCTGAGTAGACTTATCCCTCATCAGAAGGCGTAAGGCCGGTCTTAAATACCCATTCGCTTGATCCGGGTTGATAGACTGATGTGGATTTAGCAGCAGTAATAGATTTTTACGCCCTTTTCACGATTTTCCTCTAAGGGTAATACAAAAAAATTTGAGTCTGTCATAAATATTATAACCAATATTACATTCAATACCTTTTGAATGAGACAATTTACTATTAATTTCATAGTCAAAAATAATGATAACGAATTATCAATTTAATAGATAAGTAGGTAATCTGCCTTCTGAGCCCGTCAATTTTTGGGCCCTGAACGAGCAGATTTCCGCGAGTTGTTTTCGTTGTGTGCACAGCCGTCATCCGAACGCACGACCCCAGGGTTGAAAGACGCACGCTCAAACCACTAGGCCAACACTGCTCTGTGTCTACAGAAAGGTCATAAGGAAAATTTAAACTACCCCAGTCTATGTGTAGTCTATGGTAATATATTTTGGGATTACGTTTCCCGCCTGCCCCATCGAGCATAGACAGTGATTGTTTTTTTACGACCATTCCGCGAGATTGCGGTTGTTTGTCTATGGTATTAAGGGATTTTACTTTATGCTTATTTATTACTGATGAATCTCCTTTAAAGTTTATGAATTATTTTAATAAAAATGATTAAAGTAGTACGTTATGTCATCAATTTGAAGCCAGCCATCGCAATTTTAGATTTGTGCGCGTTATCTTGGTGAAACAAAACAACTCTAGTTTTTTTTATAGAATAGGCGGCAGGGTGCTCATCTAATGTTAACCGATATCGCCGCCCATGGACACTCATTGCCAGAAGGCTTGGAAGTGCGTTGCTGCCGTTTTAGGGATTGGGCAGGTTTTTTTTTTGCAGCCCCCCGTGGGGGGGGGGCAAAATTTTTTTGGGGGGGGGGGGGGCCCCTCTTGGTGGGGGGCCCCCCCCCCCCTTAACCCCCCTTTCCCCCCCTTTTGGTGGTGGTTTTTCTCCCCCCCCCCCCCCCCCCCGGGGGGACCTTTGGGGGTTTTTTTTTCCCCCCCCCCCCCCCCCCCCCCCCCCTTTTGGGGGGGGGGGGGGGGGGGGGGGCGCCCCCCCCCCCCCCCCCCCCCCCCCCCGCCGGGGGGGGCGGGGGGGGGGGTTTTTTCTTTCCCCCCCCCCCTCTTGTGTATATCCTCACGCAACTATGTTATGTGTCCTGCGTACAAAGTCCCAGTAATACCAAAAAACAGCCCATGATGCCCAGCCCCCAGCCTTCGGAGTTAGAGATGAAGGTCTCTTCCAAGTCATAGACGGTTTTCTTTGTTTCCGGGTCATAATGGTGAAGTCAGGTTTCTTCTATAGTTATGAATCGATCCCGAAATTTGTAAAAATCCTGTTGTAACAAACCCAAACAGCTTTGTGAGATACTCAGTCTCGTTTGCACATGCACGTCATAAAGCATTCTGGTCACCCAGCTTGCTGACACTTTTTCTCATACCCAAATGGTTGTGTATATTATATTATTACATATTCATTTCTTCTGCTATAAAACACACAGTAACACTACAATACGAGACACATAACAATGTTTTAATATTTTTAATCATTTGTTTAATCGCTACCGATGTAGGGCGTGCTGTGCAAGGGTCGGTGTTTATTAAAGTGCTTCCACGCTTGAACGCAGCACACCACACGAAGAATATGGAGGAGCATGAACCCCTAATGTGGGCAACATCAAGTCCTTATTTTTTCAAAATTCAAAAGTCGTTTACTCGTCTAGGTACAATTTGTAGACTTTTTTTTTTATTTTAAATGCATATCAAATTTACGCCATCTCACTACCTTATTAACGGCATTAGTCCCATTGTTATCATATATGTATGACCTGCGTAATATCCTTTTTTTAATTAGGGATTCCTTAATATAAAATTTAAACTTACAATACATAATCTGGAACTTTGTTATATATCTGTATACATTTTGCCATAAATGAGTGAGCAGTTTTAAAAAATTGAAGAATTTACCAGCTCAGCAATACCAATTTTCAAGCAAAGATATTTTATTACCACGCGAACTTAAATTTTATCGATTTTTAAGAACACGTTCTGACACGACACAACAAATGACTTTGTGTTTTAAAAAACAAAAGAAATTTGGTTGCTTTTTTATTACATATAATTATACTAATGTATTAAATCCATATTTAGATTATTGTTCTTAGTGTTATACTTATATAACCATAGGATTGGTTTTTACTATTTTAAATAGCTAAAGCAAGAAGGCCTAACCTAACCTAATGTCGGAGCGTATCCGGATGTTCAAACCGGATGTGGTATCAAATTTCACTGCTATCTGCATGCCGTCGGAGGGCGCAACAAGGAAATTAAACACCGAGAAAAATGTGTTGCTTTTCTCGAATTTGAGTCCCTTCTGATAATTTTGAAAAATCAACTTTATTTATTCATATATATTGCGAATTTAATAATAAAATAAAACCGATATCTATCGCCTAAATCTTGATAAAAAGAAAATATATATATATATTTAAAAAATGTAGATTAATACGAAGCAATAGCAATATGACTTGAAATTTCAGAGTACCAAGGTGTTAAGACTACTCTATAAGAACCTTTCATTATTCTTTTAAATACAACTTGAAATATGTTTTTTTATACAAAAAAAATATTTTCTAAAAACTATTACTTACAGTCATAATACAGGTTGCCAACGCCTGAAGTGAGTTTTGGTGTGCCCATGCCGGATAGAGATGCCATTCTGTCGCCCTGTAGACAAACATACACATTTGTATTGCAAGCAATTTTTATATGACTCCATATTAAACGATTGTCAAGAACCTGTGCCCCAAAGCTTTATCGCTCAAATACGTATGAAATATGAAAGGTTACACTATTTTTGTGATAACTGAATCTTTTTTTTGTATTAGAGGTTATATATATACAAGTTCGCAGAATTTGGTGAAAGCATTGCAACACTTGATAGTGGTTCATTTTATTACGTTATAAAAATAAACAAACTTCTTTAGTGTCGAGATATTAACTTGTAAAAGATAGAAAATTACCGATAACCCGAGAGTCGAATTATTAAACAATGAACGGAAAAGAAATAATAATTTGGAAAATCACAGATCTTAAAATATCTGTGAGGTTGCATTTCTATTTGTTTCTAATCATTTTAAAATCACAACTCGATACCTTTTAATAAAATAATCTAAAACTTTAGGATTAAAAGTAAAAAAGCTCATGCAAAGCTGGTCAAGATGGCGGGTAGCAAATCAATATGGCGGCTAATATGGCGGCAAAAATGGCGACTAGAATGTGAACGAACCAACTGGATGTGTTCTGCTATTTGTTTGCAGTACGAAAAAAAAGCCGTCCAGAGTTAGCTTGGACATTGCTAGCCTCTTATTCTGTAAACAAGAAAAAAGGTTTGTTAATTATAACCTCTTTGGTGAAAAGGATCGGCCGCTCATAACAGTGGCAGAAAGCATTTTCTCCCAGTAATGTGGTCAGAAAATCAGAGCCCGTCAAGGATAAATTTGGACGTTACTTTTTAAATTTGCGCTAAGTACTGCGCATGCTCAAAGAAAATCTATACAATAAGGTCGAGAGGTCAAAATGAAGATAGAAGTAAGGACATGTATGGCACTAAAACTACTTCTAAATGTCTATTCGTAATTAAAGAAAAGCATTACATACCTGTTCAAACCGATTCACTACTTATATGATATATTTTTTGTGGAAAATCTGATGACTATGTGGCAAAAGGGATCGTTAATGAAATTGTAAAAGAATTTAATATTTTTCATATATGTTGAATTCTAGATATTTTATATTATTACCAGCTGTGCAGCTGTTGGGGCGGGATGCTGGAGGAAGACTGGGAATATTGGGAGGCTGTCCAGGGCTTATATAGCACGCATGCGTGCTCCAAAGGTTGAAAGGTGAAAGGGGGAATGGGATGGGAAGTGGAGGGAATCCAGGTCAACCCGTTTGGTCGATGAGATTCTAATATTAGATTTCTGATATTTTTCAAGAAGATGGCCCCAATCTCAATCTCGTCAGGCGTTGTCTACAATTATTGCATTGTTTTATTGAAATTGTAATTCAATTCGAATAAAACTCTGGCGATTTACAACAAGAATTTGTTAGTTTGGAAAAGCGCAAGTGCAACAACAATGAACTAAAGATCCTTTGTCTAAGGATTGATTTCTCCTTTTGTTTAATTTAATATGCACTGAGACTTAAAATACAAATTCGTAAAACAATAAAAACTGTCCCTGAACATAATGAGAACGAAGAAATGTCAGAGATTAATTGTTATATAAAATATATTATTTTAGATAGATTTTCTTTTATCAATCTAGTGTTCAATCAGTGTCGCTACTATTGAAGCCTGGGCCTAAGGCTCACTTTTATGTATCAGTTTCATATTGAGTTATTTTTTCTAATAGGCAAGTAGGTCATCAGCCTTCTGTACCTGACATACGCCGACGATTTCTTGGGTTTAAGGTAAACTAAAAAAATACATACCGGTTTCCTCTGGATGTCTTCCTTCGCCGTACGAGCGAGTGTTATATGCGTACAGAAAGTCCTTGCACAGCCAGGATTCGAATCTACGACCTCAGGGATGAAAGTTGCACGCTGATACCATTAGGACACTGCTCTGAATAACAATTTATGCTTAGATTAATAATACCATAAAAAGAATGTCTTTTACTTATTTCAAATTAAATTATGGTTTTATCATATATATTATAGCTGCACTAAGATAAACGTATTATAATATTAAAAAAATACAGGAAAACCACTTTGATTGCACACACAGATTGCCTTATTACTCCAATATTCTAAGAAAATCTACTTTGCACTTGCTTTGAGGGGTAAAACGCTTATGATCTCCCTGCTTAACCTTTCTGCACCAGAACTGGATATATTTGTTATAGGTTTGGTAAAACTGAGAAATGAATGTAAGTTGTTTTTATTTTTTTAAGTAGAAAAAATTGTACGTTAGACTACAATTATAGTTTGGTATGTATGCTGTAATTAAATAAATAAATAAAATATTACCTCTTGTTCACAGTGAAATTTTAAATTTATCAAGTAGCTTTTAATTAAAGGCAATGCTGTCATTTGCATAGCACATATCCTTTTGAGACTTGACCCTCCCTGAGAATTAACCTGAACCTTCACTTAGAAGGTTGTCCCAAAAGTATACCTGTGGCGATGAATAGGCAATGGCATCGCTAGGTACGATGGCAAGCGACGGGATGGGATGTCTTTAATCTTTTGGATGATGGAAAGGATCTTATGCAATGCTACATCTGGTGACACCGGATAAGTATGCTGTATGCTTTCTGTTGCGGTGAAAGACCAGGCCTACAACTACGAAACTTTTAAGCGAAGTGCCTGTTGAAGATTAACCAAGTAAGATTGCAAGGTGAGCCGGAAAGATCGTAGCTGGCGCTTTCTACTAGAAGTTTGTATATTATAACGTTTAATAAATTCTATATTAAGTATTGTGATATGAGTGAGACGTATATCTATGATAGTTTGCAACACGTAAGAAGAAATTAAATAAACTTAATACGTAATATGTATATCAATAATTTATTACGTATCTCTAACACTTTTAAAATAAATACTCGCTGATAGTAGGAGTACAGTTTTTATAGTGGAAATGATTCGTTAGGAATACAGAGTAACAAATTACGGATTTTTATAATAAAATGTGATCAATATATTAAATATTAATAGAAGATTCCAATATCCAACTGTTTCTTCCCTTGATGTACTTAAAGGGTCCGTCAGAATACCAAATGTTGACAATATACGAATTATTACGCTGTGTTCTATATAAAGAGCAGTGTTGGCCTAGTGGCTTCAGCGTCCGACTCTCATACCTGAGGTCGTAGGTTCGATCCCCAGTTGTGCACCAATGGACTTTCTTTCTATGTGCACATTTAACATTTGCTCGAACGGTGAAGGAAAATATCGTGAGGAAACCGACATGTCTTAGACCCAATAAATTCGACGACGTGTGTCAGGCAGTGGAGGCTGGTCACCTACTTGCCTATTAAATTTAAAAATGATCATGAAACAGATTCAGAAATCTGAGGCCAAGACCTCAAGAGGTTGTAGCGCCACTGATATTTTTTTGTATCATAAAATGTAAGTAATATTTTTTTAAATTATTGACAAAAAACATTTTGGAGATCGTTTATTGATTTACAAGAACTTAAATTGTATTTACAAGACATAAAATATTTTTTGACAATGATTTTAATATCTTAGGTTCACATAGAAGTATATACACACTTATAAATAGCTTTAATAAGTAAGGTTTCTTTAATTATTTAATGATCAGATAACTGGTTGATTTCATTACATAAGCATTGCTTAGTACAAAACAAAAACTTAAAGCATGAAATATATAAAATAATAGAAGGCTTCTAAGGATACAAAATTTCACTTGTGTTCACTAGCCTACATACATCTCGATATAAATGAATTGATGCTGGCTGGCGTGGGTATTTTCTTGTGTGGATGTTAAAAAAATATTTTACTTAATTATCTAATTACAAGAGAATTACCTTGCCTAAAGGGACTTTTAATAATATATTTTAGTTATTATATGTTAAGGTTAGCTTTTTATTTCAATTTATTTTATGCATACACGATGTTTTAGAACTTATAAATAAATAAATGATGTATAGGTATATTATGTTTTAATAAGTACCTTCTTGTTATGCACCAAATCTATTACAATAGTCTAGTGGACAAGTTGAAAATGGTACAAAATAGAGATACTGCTCTTAAAATTATGTGCGATAGCTCATTGGATCCGGAATGACGTCTAGAAAAATGTGCCTAATGTTTAAAAAATCGACTTAATAAACTACTTTTGGAAAAAATATATTATATAAGTGAAAGAGAGGGAGTTTAAAAAAGAAGATCTATATAATTTGGACTCTCTTCAGATTTAAGATGCACAACTTAATAAAAAAAATGGGTTCTAGATAAGTTTTCTCGCAATTTTTTTCTTCACCTTAAGAACAAGATTTCATTGGTGGGAAAGCAACATAAAAATGCGTTTGAAAAACCTAATTCAGTATTTGTTCACGTAACCAACGATATATGTTGAACTAAATGAATACGAGCAAAGCCACGAGTGCAAGCTATGGAAGACTTGTAACACAGCATTCGAATATAGTAAACCTCACCGTTCAATACTTGCCCCCACTGTGGAGGGCGTATGACGTCAGAGGGCGGGCGTGGGCGGTTCCCGCCCTAACTCCTACCATTCGTTCGACAGCATTCTTTTAATTAGTCATTAAAAAAATTCTTAGAGATTTTCTTAGAGAACCCTTAATGATAATATTGAGGGCATGAAAATGATAAAGACTTTAATTTAAAATATTGTGTATCAAAATTACTTTCTTCGAACAAAATGAGAATCTGCAACTTACTGCAGATGAAACTGATTTCAAATATTTTGATCAAATTAAAGGCATTTTTGTGTTTATGTTTCTTGATACTTAATAACGGCATCAAAACGATATTAAAAAGGAGTATTGTTACGTTCAATATGGATGACTCTTAAAAACATTGAAGGAAAACTTATTATTTTATTTATCTTCGAAATAAAAACAGAATTACCATTGTATGATAACATTATTTTGTCGTGAATTATATCAATCACCTACAGGTGTTAAAATGTACTTGACCTCTTGTTTTAAGTACCTTTTTAATTTCATATCGACGATAAATTAATTTGTCAAAATAATCATTTGTTCGTAATCAATTATACTCTAAAAGGTAAATGTTAACACAGAATCAACCATTTTCTTTTAAACCTACAAATCTATTGAAATGAGTAATGTCTTAAGTCTCGGTCTATACGATCATAGAAGAGGTTTATCTTGAGTTAACAAACTATTAAATTTAACTGAATCACAATATATGTGTGTATTTTATAGTGTAAATGAATAAAAGAAAATTAAAATTGTGTCGTGTCAACCGGTTTACAGAATTTTGGTAATATGAACAATTACATTTAACACAAAAAAACCTAAAACTAAATAAGTGATTTCAACAAAAAACAAGTCGATCGAAGTTAATCAACGTTATCAGTAGCTTGTCCGAGTTGAAAGCTCTAGATAAGATCTCAAGTGTTGGATTTAGTGGACACAGAGTATTCTATACAGAGCATACTGTATTCGAATAAGATTTTTACTAAAAACCTTTGCAACCTAAAGCAAAGCCGAGGTGGTTAATTTATTTGTTGACTGTCCGACTTTCGAAAGAGCCAGGTGCGATCATTCTCCAGGCTCAAGACTGGCATGGGCTATCCGACATGTTGCTTGAGCATAGATTGCAGCTAGAAATATTCTGCCACAATAATGCCAAATATGTCAGTAAGATAAATAGCACAAGAGGTAAGCCTTTTGAGCAAATAAAGTCCCTTTTTAGAAAAGAGGGGATTTGACAAATCCCCAGCTGCCTAGCTTCTCGGCTACAGATCAGCCTGATAGGCTACTATTTAGAAAAAAATAAAAAGGAGGTACTTGTTTCTTTTTCTAAAAATAACTTAACCTTATTTTATTAAGTTTATTGAAAACTCTCGTATTTCTAATTAAAGGGTGTCTGACTTTGAAATATTAATTATATATATTTTGCACATTTTTCTCTATACCCTTAGTATTTCTTTTTCTTTACTAGGGCTGCTCTTTGTTAGCGAATCCATCGTTGATAAATTATGTTATCTGAATGTATATGTAACAAATATGTAATGCAACACTGTTAATAAATATACATAAACATTAACAGTATTAAGACACAAATAATTTTTTAATGTGATTTGGTCACCCTGTTCTGTTTGATTTGCCTCTGAAAGGTCTCTGTAGGACATTTATCTATAGTCAATTACACTCATCGACGTTTTTAGATAAAATCCACTGAATAGATTTAGATTTCTTCTGTCCAGCAATATGGTAAGACCTAGTTTTAATAAACAGCATATTTATAGTTCTATTGGTGTAAAGTTTTGTCAGTAATAGTGTACGAAGTCCTGTACCAACATTTATTAAACTGACGTTATTGCACGTTAGATTAAAGACTTTAAAACATATTTCTTCTATATAGCCTTAGGCTTGTTATTGTATATTATATATATTATAAACGTCTAATATAATGTTAGATATCAAATTTATGAGAAGCGCAGTTTTGGCCTGAGTGGCTTCAATTTGCGATCCCCGGCTGTACACCAATGGACTTTCTTGGCAATTGATCATGAAAATCTGGGGCACAGACCTAAAAAGGTTGTATATGTAAACTTTTGTTGTCGTTTGTTAATTTAGTTTGCTTGATAAATAAATGAATAATTATTTGATTACTTAACAAATTTTCGCAACGAGTAACGGGAAGTTCCCAATTCAATCAAGCTTAAATCTTTTCCCCAAAAATTTATTATTACAGATTAATAAGGGGATGTGTAAATAGCAAGCGACAAGACTAAACACACAAGAAAAAATAAACACTATGAACGGTTTTAAACTACTTCAGAATGCACTCAATACTTATCAACTATGTAGCCCATGTAAAGTTCCTATCAAGTACATAAGGTTGTACACAAAGCCTCAGATCAATACCGGATGCCCCGTCTCGTTTTAACCCAATGTCTTGCTCTAACGAAGGCTGTTTTCAAAATGGCGGGATGCTTACAGTATTGATTAACACACAATTTTATTCAAATTATTAATAGTTTTTTTATTAATTGAGGGAAAGATATTTATATTATTAAAGATATATTATTTAACTATTACAAAATTTAAGCACCTGATGCATATTGGTTTTTCTCTACGATATATAATTCATAACATATGATAGAAACACTAATAGAAATCATAGCGCAAACACTAGTCCGTGTACCGGAGACATACATATATATATATTAAGTTTAATTTACAAATGTAGTTCTACCTTTTCTAGTCCACCACTAATAGGGCGGTGAGACGTTAATAAAATAAAGAAACCAAATCTTTGTTTCACTGTCACTCTAGAGGGAACTAAAGCTGCTTTTTAACATTTATAAAATGTATTTTTGTTTTCTCTTACACAACTTTTGATTATTAGTTTTAGGGTAATTATTACAACGTTACCCCACATTTATTAACCAAATATCAAAGTAATGTTATTTATATTTTTAACTACAATAGGCTGCTAGTAACAATGTCCAAGATTAAGGGACTTTGAACGTCATGTGCGCAATAAAAGGTAAAGGTGAACCTACCATTTCGTAGCTTATATTCGTAGGATGGTTCTACGAGCTATATTAGCTACGAAATTAGTATGAAATTAGCACGTGGCAGTGCAATTGTAAATAAATACATTGTGTTGAAGATGTTTAAATTTTTTAATTATTATCACTTCAATATATACATCTTGAGTAAAATAACAAGCATACTGCGTGAAATATGCGAAACGACATGACAAAAGTCTGACAATTTATATAACACGTATTTATGTATGGTTTTTAGGTTATAAAAGCAAAAAATAATGAAAAAACGAATTTCAGATGTTAGGACTTTTAGCTGTGTCTCTGTTGGGCGTGGCCACGTTTGACCTATCGGAGTCGAGCGTCAAGCAACCAATAAACGAGCCGGAAGTGGTTGTACAACTGAAGTACGACGGGGGAGAATTGGACCGGATATACTTGACGCAGTTTCGCAAGGATCAGAGAATCCCGGCAGTTCCCGCGAGACCGACCGTGTGTGCGGATCTGTGCCATTCAGGTTTTATTTTTTTTTTTGTTCTTTTTTTGTTTCTTTTTTACCAGAATAAGAAAATTGGGATTATATAATGTATCAGTGACAAGTGATTTGATGTACGTGGTAAGTGTTTTTATTAGATTGTCTCTTATCTGTTGTATTTTAATTCTTACATATGATTTTGATATTTTATTCTTTTAAAAAGAAGTTTTATTATTTCTTATTAATCAGAGGTAAATCAGATAAAATTTAATTTGCCTATTTATGTGTTTAGTATAGTATAAGTGGTGAGGAATTATTTTAACTCTTCTGATTTATAAAATCTAACTTTTTACCATACGCAACCAAACCAAAACCAAAATAAAATTCCTAGTTAGAAAGCTATGTAACTTATAATTAAGTAAAAAGTAATATTGCATAAATGTATTATCTAGTTCGAAAGAAACCTTCCCAATCTATAATAAGTTAATATAATAAAGGAACTATCAAAACTTTTAAAGATAGGACACTAAAACTTAACTTAAGGTATAAATTTTAAAAAATACGTGTCACTAATATCTGTATTATACAAGTATTTTACAGCTCCATAGGCAAATTCTAAATTATTACTATAGATTGCGATATATATGAGCGCATTAAACCTTTTACTAACTAACTAGCAGGTAACCACACATTTTTATTAAGTTTAGAATGCCCTTATTTTAAATATAGGTAGTAGCTACTTTTAGGAAAACCTTTTTTCATTGTATGCAGAGCTACAGATTTCTAAGGCCGATTTTCTTCTTGTTCATGATTTATATAAATGTATAAATAATATAGGACTCGGCGGCGAAGCATGCGGATCTGCCTGCAGCGAGCTGATGCCGGTGGGGCTCAAGTATGCCTTGAAGAGTGGAAACGTTAGCAGTGAGCAGTTCGGGGAACCCAGAGTTGCCGTTTGCCCTGTCCTTTGTGAGAATCAGCTCGGTAAGTGTTAAACTTAACTCTTATATTAATATTCCTGATTTAAAAGCAAATTATAGGACATTCATAAATGAAATCCCTGGGTTTTTTTAATAAAATACAGATATATATTTTTTAAGGATTTTAAACATTTATATTGTTACGAGCTAGGGGATCGGATAGAAAACGCCGTAAATTTCTTCAAGGTTTTATTTTCAATTAAACTAACGAGGAATTTGTTAACACTAAAAACAGGAAATTACGCACAGAAATACACTGTTTTCACAAACACAAAATACTGTCACTAATTACTTTAGTTACACGCACTTCACACAGTACTTTATCACTTGTCTTCACTATATTCGCTCTTTATCTCTTCGGTGTTTATCACTTGAAATCGCATTCAAAACTGAACTAATCGGTAGCGTTTTGGCTCGCTTATATATCCCTGGAAACGATGTTCGAGAACTCTCTAGGCGGGAGCGCTACTGAGTAGCGATCGCACAATTCGAGAACGTTCGTACTCGCTATCTCTTTCGCACATTGCTCCGTCCTTGTCGTACGGCGTTATATTAACTTATTATAGAGTGCTCGGTCTAGCTTCGAGAAATTTCCGATCTTCCCTCTCTCTCGCGTATCATACCGTCCTTGTAAATTAGGAAATTAGTTCTAGAATATTTCTTCATCAAAGGGGTATAACCAGTCCTAAAAACGCCTGAAAAGTGTACCACTCGACTACACTTGTTCTGAAATGGCCTGAAAAATTGTTTCAGCCTCCTGAAAACTAGGGTAACATTCTGTAAATTACGATTTTCTAATATGTGATTGATCCTCCCCTGAAACGGTCAGAAATCACATTTCAGCCTGCTGAAAAGTTCTCTAAGTAGTGGGAAAATCTAAAAACATTGCAGTCGACCCGTCTTCGTAACAATATTATATTAATACTTGTTACCAAAAAAGCAGCAAAATTGCAAAACTGGCATATACGTTGTATAAAAAAACAGTGCCGCTACAACCCTTGTTCTTGGGGTCACATTTTTGTATCTCATTGTGATCATTTTTTTCTAATATATAATGAATTGTCAGTAAGTAGGGTAATTAGTCTTCTGCAACCGACACACGCCGTCGAATTTCTTGGTTATGGGTGGATGACTGTTTAATACACATATAGAAAGAAAGTTCATTGATTCACAGCCGTGTTCGAACCTGCAACCTTTGAGATGAGTGTGGCAGGCAAGCCACTAAGTCAACACTGCTCAATATATTCGCTATATTTAATAGTATCTTAATAAAAACCGCTTCAACTGACCAAAATCTTGTCATATCTACTAAAAATAATATATTTCAGGGGAGCCACTTTGCGCGTGTTCGGACCTAATGAAGCACCTAACAAACTGGACCATGGTCTGCCATGCATTCTGTGACACCGACGCCTACACTCTTAATGGTAAGTGAATTAATCTGTAGATTCTGGTAATAATACCCCAGATAATACGGCAAATATGTAAGCATTTCGATATTACAAGCCAACTTTGTAAGAACAGGGTGTCCGGCATGTGAAAACACTTCAGCACTGCCACAGCCACTTCAAGTAAACACCGCTCTACATGTGCGCTTGGACACTAGTGAAGGCTGGCAGGCCTGGTGCAACGTGCAATGCCGTCAGGGACAGGGTGGCGCTGCTTGTAACTGCGACAGGACGCCGTTTTAAGCCAGTATGACGCGGAACGACAACGGAAGTTATCAATCAATCATTTGCCGAAAAGATCTGACCTCTTCTGCATTCTAACATAACAGGATAAATTAAAGAAACAAATTATTAAAACAATCTTTAGCAATGACGTATTTCATGTTTTTAAGGAAAATCAATCTTAATATTTTATTTATTGTAACGTGTGATTTGATTTGATAACTTCAGATAAAATGAAATATGTTTAACGGTAGTGTCACCGAGGCCAAGCTATGCTTTTCGTTATAATTAATTATAATTTCGCTAATTATATACATAAATGTTAATACATGATCAGATTTCGTTGACATGGCTAGTTAGTCGTAAGCTAATGATTTTACATTCCTTTGATAATCAGAAATTAAATGTAATAATATATGTGTATAGCACTTTATAACTAATTCGACATATCAATAAGAATATATATTCAAAATAGTTTTAAGCTGTACATATGAGATACTGTGCAAAAGACAATACACAATTAGCATTAGAATTAAATACAAAAATAATTTGTATTTTAGTTTTAGTTAATTATGTTTATTAAATTTTATTTGTCACTTTTCTTTTTTTTTGTTGAAACCTACCAGTCAATTATTAAATGAGGACATAATGTGACGTCGGGTTGACTATAGACAAGAGACCATCTCAGATGCAGTTCTTTCATCTCTATCTCCTAATGGCGTAGTTAAAGTAAACATATACATACTTTTTTTAATATACTGAAATTAGTTTTAAAAATTCATAAATCAAATTCAGCCTGAGATGAATAATTCACTGATGTATCACAATGATGTCCTAAAACAAATTACGTTGACTCCCTAAAGTTTTCAATTTTAAAATTCGTGTCAGTAGAGGAGTAGGTTGGTAGTATTGGTGTTTGTAGATTTGTCTTTTTGTAGAATTTTAATGATAAGATCGCATGTTAATACGATTCGGGGGTAAATCGAACCTAAGTTCGAAAAAGTGTTAATTATTGTTAGGATTAATTGTAAAAATTAAAAGGTTTTTCTCCTTGCATATGTCTCGGTAGAATTTGAACTAAGGATTCGAAATTATAATATATTTTCGCATTGGAGAGGTAAAACCACTACTTACCTTAAACTGTAGAATCATCATCCTTATTTAACTTAGACTTATTTAACTTAAAATGCGTCGTTCTGCAGTATAACAAATTTCATAATAGTTACACTTCCACATGTTTACGTTACATGTACACACGCATTTCGTAACAAACACAACTCGAATAGAAATGAAATCACTCTACAATCTGTGTTAATAGGACCTTGCTATTAATTCTTCAATTCCTTTTTTGTTTAAATGAGTATCACAATCAGCAGACAAATAAATAATTATGAAATGAAATACCGTAATAGAAGTTACTCTATGTAAAGAGTATTTAAAAATGTATGTATAATTTCACTAATATATTGCACAATTAATGTATATAATAATCTTAAATCTAAAACTTACATAATTGGCCGGAGGTCTCCGATAATGTGTACCCAAAAATTAAATAAAACTTAATATATAAACGAAATACGCAGACATTGACCTGTGCCCTCTGATATTATTTTGTTGTGCATAATCACTGTAAAAGAAGCAAAGATTATCTTAATTAGACCGAGATACTTGTATTAAATAAGTGTTGAAATCAAAAAAATCCAGTAGCGACTATATTATTAGATATATTAACTTTAATTAACTTTGTAGGTAATAATCGTATTTGAGGTTAGCATAGAACAACCAAGAATTATCGTAACAAACAATATCACATATGTCTTCCATTAAAATAAGTCTTAGGTATTTCGATACGTGCATAATGACGTATTATTACAATAGGTGAGTTTCTTGTAATGTAGATATAACCACGATTTTCGCTCTAATTGTAAGATATCGAGTAGAATTTTGTTTTAATAATTCACTCCTATATCGTATGCGTCTAGTTACACACGTGGTTAGTGTATGATAAATATACGTTGGAGCAATGGCGTCACTGTTAGCTGTATATGTTATTAAACTATGTCACAGGGCTCAATATTAAGTCAATATTAAGTTACGGCTAAAACAGTCTTATGTATTTGCCGATACTGCTAGATCTATAAGTTAAAGTCTATTCAATAGTCAATAGTAATAGTGATTTATACATATTATATAAATAATTGCAACGCCATTGCTCCGACAATTAAATATATTAAAACGTTTCGAAGTTAATCTTATGATTTTTGATGTGTTTCCGAAGTCTTTAATTAAATCATGTGGAATATTATCTTTCTAGTCAAATAAAAGCTTTTAAGATGCCGTATTGCGCATTTTAAGAAGTGTAGGACTTCGGCTGGGCCGTCGGGGACATAAGGTATACCGTAAGTTTGTAGTCGCTTTTCCAACGGAACAAACTATTTAGTTCAAAATTAATTTAATTATCAAGAAATGATGCAGATTCATTATTCAGCTAAATAAAAGTTAGAACTGATTGTATATTTGTCACCTTTTCTTATACTATATCATCTACACTATATTAAAAGTGTTACATTCAACCCGTTAATTTCAAGTTTCTATTGCCATGTATTTTTTGAGTTTAAATTAAATAGTATTTTTATATATATTAATATGTTTATACCAGAAAATATATTTTATTTACGATAACAAAATTAAACATCTTCCAAGTGTTTGGAAATTAGTCTAACCTGTAGTGGATTATCTGTTTATTAATCTTAAATTATTTTCAATAAAATATATATATATACTTATCAAATACTTTTATTGCCACCTGCATAACAACATTTTTGAAGAACCGTTTATTAAAAATCTAATTACGCTTTGAGATATACAAATCAACAATGTCTTTTATTTGAGAATAAATATTATGTAAAAAAAAAAATATATTTATATGTTTTCGAATTTATCAAATATTGCTATAAAATTCTATGCAGTGAGCAGAATACGATAGTATCTCACAAGCTCACGAACTCTGAGAAGCCATTCCGACATGACGTAATGTTTAAACAAAGATTTGTAAGTATATTTTCATCCCATAATTCGAAATTAAATCAGCGTAAATTCCCCTCTTTAACTAAACAACTTCCACGTTTTTATAAATAAAGTGCAAAATATTTAGTCTATAGTTTAACACTATTTATCTAGGAAGTAAAATGCCTGAACCCGAACCGATCCCATTTTCATCATCATTCTGAATTATTATCCAATTCCAGCAATATGTACATTACATACAGGTAACATTAGTGTAACAATGTTTTTTTTATATGCTTTCTTTATTAAAGATGCAATATCCCAAACTTTATTGTCTGTACCTATCTAGTACAGAAGATAACCTTATTAGGTTACTACGACACGTAGTACTACGACAAAATAGATTTCTTTCGATATTTTTTTTTATTTTCAACGCATGTCGTAAAATACTTTACATAGGTAAGCAAAATGAATAGATTAAACTCAAAATTTTTGATCTTTATTCCTACAAATTAACTCATATAATATCATATATTAAATAGGTAGGCAATTAATTATTGTAGGTTTAATAGAGCATTTGAAATTGAGCCATTGAAATGAAACATTTGCTGAACATTTGTTAGAGAACGCAATTTTATTTATGGAACATGTAGAGGGGTCAATACAAGCTTAAACCCAAGTTTGTGGGGTTGGAGCCCTTGTCCCCCGGCCCCCATCTTGGAAAAAGGGGTGAAAACACGTTTTTAGCTATATCTCCTAAACTATCCATCGTACAAAAAATTTGTGAAGACATATTTTGTAGCAAATCGCATTGCCTACAATTATGTGTTTGTGACTTTTTATCATAAAGCCAATATTCAAAAGTTATGAGTAAAAAAGTGAAAAAAAAATCCTTTTTTACATACATAATATAGAGAAGCAATCACTGTGAATGAACGAATTTTAATAACTTTAAGATTTTTAGCAACCGGAGATATATATAGCTATAAGAAGCAGCTTGCAATATTTATTTCGAGTATCGAAGCAGAGTATCTCAAGAATAGTTCCAGAAGTTTGTGACGCTATTATTGAAGCCTTAAGTGATTATGTAAAGGTAAATAAAAATAATTTGTCAAATTTAAAAGTCAAGAGACAAAACTTGAAGTAGCTTCTGCACGAGCCAAAACATAACCGTCCCCACCTAACCCACAGCGCTCACTGAGGCACCTTTGAGCGCGTCTGGCGTCAACTGTCAAGTTTACCGACAACAGATGGCTCGGGGCCGAGTCGTCCTCGGTCGAGCAAACGCGCGCCCGAGGCAGGCCGAGCAGTGTGACCATTTTTAGTATATTCAGTACCAAATTGGTAAAATTTGGGCTCCGTGTAACTAATTTAGTATTTTTTTATTCTGGTATTTTTTGGTACATTTAAACTTTCAACATTTTAAAACACATTTTGATATATTTTTGGGCGGGAAACACTTACTTCCATTCGTACGTATTTCGTTCACATGTTTTTGTCTTTGTCTGATGTTTACCGCAAATGTATCATTTTGTCTCTTTCGAACGGTTAATGCTAACAAATTCGCGAATCGTGCTTTAGCTACGTATTACTATCTACGTTACATGCTGTATTTTTATGTGGTCCCATTTGGGACCACGGATGTTTTAGTTCTTTATTTATTTCTCTCTGTGTGCATGTGTAGTGAAGATAATGAATCGCAAATACGATCAGAAATATAGATCAAAATAATGAGAACGCCTTGTGTAAAACGTGTGGAGCAACATTTTTAAGCAGAATCGCTACAATTAAAAGTCATGCATATTCTGAAAAACATCGATAGAAACTTATACATTATAGTGGACAATTTAAGGTAAGAAAGCTATGCCCCCATTAACATATTTATAAGATTATTGTGTCCCTTATTTTTGAAGTTGTACTTCTTTAGGCGCGTTATGAAAAATTGATGAGAGTGAAATTTTACGATTGCGCGCACCTATGACACAAAATTGGCAGTGTGATATAGCGTGCGCGAGCGAGATGGGAATAAGACAAACTACAAGTAAAAAGAAATAGAATATGCGTGAAGCTAACTTCACGCATATTCTATTTAGCAGCTTAACAAGAATTTTGAATGACCATGACAATTGACATCTGACAATGACATTTACCTTTTAAACAAATATAGGAGTTTTAATTATTGTTTAAAATTAATAATTATATACCTAGTTATTTTCATTATACAAAATATTTGTGAAATAATATAAAATATTTGTGAAAACACTGTGCTAACCTTCCTGAGTGCTTCAATACAATTGAGGTTAACTATCCGTATGTATTATCGAGTATTATTGTTGATTAAAACTGAAACATGAACCATTATTCATTGCTTTTGTTTATTGCGTTTGTTACAGCAACTTTTTAGAAATATTCTACGACCCTATATATCAATAATTGAGAACAAAGATTTAAGCACGAATACTAATAAGGAGAAAATGAAGGCTTGGAGCGATATAACAGAGAAGTAAACATTTTAATAAGTACCTGCATCTCAAAAAAATGACCACATTATTTAATCAAAACATCAGATTTAATCTAGCAAATATAAGGACAAGAGACAAAAAACAATTGATGAATCAGTGGAAGTGCACTAAATTGAATACAAAAAAAGAGTTGTCATCTTATCGCCGTGAAACATCAAAAACTGGAGGTGGAACAAAGCCACCATCACCTTCTCGAGACACAATGGTTTGAAGTAGATTTCAATGAATTTGATTGTGATGGTGTCGAGGTAGGAATGTTAATTATAAATATGATGTATGGTGATGTTCAAGGTTCAACCTTTCAAGCATAGGCATATGCTTACAACATTACTTTATTCCCCCTACAGGGTAGTTAGAGATATTGTAATACCTCAAAACATCCATGTTGCACTTGTAGTACCGAAACTCTGTCCTGCCAGAAGTGAGCCCATTCCCACTTATAATGGACAGTGGGTATAATACACCTTAATACCTGAGTGCGAACCACTCACCATGATACTTAAATTAATAGATGTTATTTATATATTTCAGGTTATTACAAATAAAATCATTTTGGAAACAATTGATATCCCAAAAGCAAATAAAGCCAACAATGACAAGGTAATAAATCAGTTTTGTCATAATCGTGAATTCCCTAAAGAGCCAAACAAAGGCTCGTACATTCAACATTTACAAGCATAACTTAACAATTTCTCTATTTTGTACTCCGGATGTAAAGAAAGATCAATGAAAATCATGACGATACTAAACAACAAGTCACGCCCCGAAACAACCCGAAGGCACTAAGTTACAACAGTCATTCGTATATTTACAATTAACTCTATCTCTAAATGGGAGATTAAACGAAGGAGCATAGCCAGGTCTGTAGGCATCTCTACTAATTGTTATATTAACACTTATATATATATCATATTAAATAATATTAATAATATAAAAATGTATAAGCTAGTGCATAAATAGAGAGTAAATTCAATATTCTATTATTTGTTGCAGAACCCAAGTAGTGTTGGAGGAACCGTACACGGTTAGATGCACAACAAATTAATGATTCATTTAAAATTACAAACCCAGAAATTACTGATTAAGTTACATTAGCAGTACTTAAAAATAGTAGTATAATGAAACAAAGATGTTTTAAAGATAAATAGTGTTTTTTATTTGCATGTGTAGTGTAAGATAATGAATAATAAATATTTATCTTAATTAATGCAAAGTAAACTGAACCCTTGTGTAAGACTTTAATGACACCTTTACCAGTCTTTGATTATTTAATTGTCAATTAAAATCTCATTCTGCATCAATCAGAAACTTTTTTTATAATGCCAAAAGAAGTAAAGCTCTTCCCGCATAACATAAGTATAAGTACCCTTTTTTTATGGCACATGAATTAATTGTCATATTTCTACAGGATGTCCGATGAATCTTGGATAGTACATGTACAGTTGTACACATATGTATAATTGATTTAAATTCATCAAATTAATCAAATCCTGTTCATTCTCAAAACGATGATAAATTACTTCAAAGGAAATAACCCATATCTGAAGAAGTAAGAAAAGCAGAGCTTATATTTTATGCAGCGTTGGCAGAACATAACATACCATCTCGGGCCATGGATCATCTCAGCGATTTATTCAGCAAAATGTTTTATGATTCGGAAATCGCAAAGGGCTTTTCCTGCAAACGCACTAAATCTGCTCAGTTAGCTCAGTGCAGCGAATACTGACTTAGTATTTGTAATAAAACTTATTGTAAATATTTATTATTATTTTAATATGTCTGTATAATGAAGGTGTGTAATTGGTAAAATTAAAAAGTAACTGATAATAAGTATTGTAATAAAAAATCCTCTTTTTCTTTTAGTATATTTTTAGTATAATTTAGCATGTGTTTTGGTATTATTTAGTACTGGCACCTTGTAGTTTTGGTAGATCGCCATTTTGTAAAACGGTCACACTGAGGCCGAGGCTTGTCCACACCAGCCGAGGCATTTGGCTCGCGAGGCTGCCGCGCGAGCCTGTGCGCTAGGTGGGTACGCGGCTAATAACTAGTAGATAATAAAAATTTGTCATAGAATAGATGTAGAATTCCGTAATATTTAAAATTTAAAGCTTTCCTTGCTCAGAACAATAAAATGACTCATAAGGTTTTATTTACAATTCCCTGAAACAAAGCATTTGTTTTAACCGTAAATTCATAGTACGTAGAGGTATACCTGGTTGAAAACTTAAATATTTTATCACAACACTCACACGCAGAAAACAACTTTCCAGCCCTTTCCATATAATTTAATTGGTATTGGGATACATAATTCAGCTAGACCATTGCTTCGTAAACCGCGTATGAGTATAGAGAGCGCACGAGATTCTTAGAGAAAGGACAAGAGAGGGCACAATACAATTAATTATCATTTATAGAGAAGTTCACAATGATCAGGATATTTTGATCTTGGCAATAATTAAAGGTCATTACAGGTTGTCGAGATAGGTTAGAATGCTTTTTATGATCAGCGATGATTCTTGATACTTAGTTTTTGACGTCCTTTGGCATGATCTTCCACTTGACTAAGGCCCCAGGTCATAAAATTAAAAAAAAATGATCTTGGCAGTGGCCGTTTGGACGTGACGTTGACTTAAGTACCTCAATGTCAGTTTTTTATTGTCAATTGTCATGTATTATTCTTATGTTTTTAGAATGATTATAATAAATTGTAATATGTATAATATTTATAATCATGTTTAAATAGTTTGGGATATTACGATACATTTATCTGTGATATTTATAAAATGCTAATGAAACTTAAAAGCTTCAAATATTAGGCTTTAAAATGGAAATTAATAATACATACTGCAGGTTTTGTGCGGAGCCCAAGAACAGTGAAAAAATGTTAAATATGAATGAAGAAAACAAACTAGAAGAAATACATAAAAAACTTTTGTTTCTTAATGCTGAATATGTTGATATTTTAAAAGAAAATTTACCTAAAACTATATGCTTTGTGTGTTACGAATCTATGAATAAAGCCTATGAGTTTCTAAACAACGTAATGTTAGCCCAGACCGTTCTCGATAGCATGTTTCCCAATACTGAAATTGAGCTTTATTTCTCGGAAGATGAAAAGAATTTTAATACTGATTTAATAGACAATGATGTTAAAGTGGAGAATGTCAACGAATTAGATGAAGTTGAAGTGAAACCTGAACCAAAAGATGATTCTGAATTAAATGTCAAAGATTTTATTGAAGCTGCAATTAGAAATATCCCAGAAATGAGCATTTACGCGACCGAAGAAAACAGTTTAAAAAAAACATTAACTATGTGGAAGCATTATCCTTGGACCTGTTCTAGTTGTAATATTGAATTTTTAAATATAGAGACATTAAGACTACACAGCCAAATGACTCATGGGAGGTGTAATGCTTTTGCTTGTGTGTACTGTAAAGATTTCGAATGTAGCACTTTTGAGCAATTTGTCTCTCATGTGAGAAAACATAAACGGAAACTCCGGTAATAACTCTTTCTTAATACATTATTGTTGATAGAAATATAAAAAATCTTTCATTACTTATTTGTTTTGATTGCATATCATTGGCTCAAGAGAACTTAAGTTATATAATTATATTAAAATACCACATTTTTTCTCATAGGCACCACCAATCTAATTTGTATTAATAAAATATTTAATTAAATGTTTTCAGGAAACGTTGTGAATACTGTGATGAATCAATTGATGAGGAGGTTTTAAATACACATCTCAAACTTCACTTTGAAAAAGAAGAAGAAGCTTGCCATCTTTGTGGTGAAATTTTAACAAAAAAAGCTTTACAAGAACATTTAAAAGAGTTTGAACCAAATAAACCAAAACGTAAACCTAATAGAAAAAGGGGGGCTCCACTCACTATTGAAGAACTGACTTGTCAACTATGTAATAAGGTTTATAAAACTCCGAATAGTTTACGTGATCATAAGAAAATACATGCTAATAATCGCAAGAAAGATTACACATGTGAGCGCTGTGGAAAAATGTTTTATAATAAAGGCACATTGACATCACATATAATGGCACACAATGAAGTGCGACCCCATGTATGTAGGATCTGCAATAAATCCTTCATGTTTCCGAATATGTTGCGTAGACATGTGGAGATGCATTCTGGTGTAAAACCATTCTCGTGTGAGCAATGTGGTAGATGTTTCCGGCTACAATACCAGCTAAATGCACATAAAATTATACACACTGACTCAATGCCTCATGTATGTAAATATTGCAATAAAGCTTTTAGATTTAAACAAATTCTAAAGAACCATGAACGACAACATACAGGTGATAAACCTTATGACTGTGAGTTTTGTGGAATGAAATTTACCAATTGGTCCAACTACAACAAACACACAAAAAGAAGACATAATATAGATACATCTAAAAAGAAGATAACTCCTGAAGGAGTGTTCCCTATTAATTTAGATACAGGGGAATTGATTCAAATGCAAGATGCTTCTACAGAAGAATGGAAAACTAAAATCATGATTCCAGCTAAACGGGGAAAGAAAAAAGTAAAAAAGGAAGATCTGAATGAATAGTAAGTATTGGTAAATAAAGTTAAAGGCAAACCTTAAAAGAAACGAATTGTATTTACAACTAGACAAGGTCTAATATTATGTTGAACTAATACTTATAGAATATAGACACATCTAATTGCCATTATGACTTGCCATTGTATTTTTTAATTTAATGTAGGGTAAGTTTTGCAATAGTGTATTTTTTATGATTTAAGACATAGTTTTTATAAGTACACAGTGTTAATAACTATGTTTTTCAAGAGTTTTTCAGTAATAAACAATATATTATACATTTGATTCACATTATTTTAGTACTTCTATTCTCCTATACTATCTATTCTAGCTTACACCACCTAACATGGAACAGTAGTTCAGATGTGACACAAGAACTTTTAACAAAAAACCACAAGAAAAAATCTCAATATTTATTTTCAATGTTATTTCTTAGCAATAAGGGCAAAACATCTTGGTGATAGTTTTTCATTTACAATTCTTTTGAATTCACAATTTGTTATACCATTTTCTTTTAAATACAATAGTCTGTCGTACAAAATAAAATTTTCAAAGATTTGCTGCAAATTATTTTGTAATACAATAAATATGGCGGCCTTTTTAAATGTTATTAAAGAGTGCTGCTGCCAGAGTAATGAAAGTTCGTCTAAGTCAGGGGTGTTCCTTTCACTCTCTTCGTTGAAAATGAAAGAAAATCCACTTTCTACCGCATCTTTGACGTAGGTATTGAAGTCCCTCTGTTTCGTTTTAAACCGGACAGCTTTTCGTTTTTTGCGCCTTAAAATTATATTATCTGTAAAAAAAAGTAATAGAAAGAGATATTATCCGTAAGAAACAAACACTATAATTACGGGAGGTGGTCAATAAATAGTGATAATGCGGTACATTCTCCTTGAAAAAAGATATTGTTAGGCAGAGCCCAGACATAAGATGTAATAATAAAAACCAATCAAATCTCTTTTGTTTATTCAAACAGAAGTCGTTTGTCTGCGTCGTGTCGGAAGTGCAAATCACAGTAGATCAGAAAAGTTAATCTATTCATTGAACAAATCTCGTAGTTACCGAGATCTCGACTCGAGACTGCATTCCCTAGTCAGAGCGTGTTCTTAAAATTGGGTAAAATTGTTGTTCGGTACAAAAATATATATGCTTGAAAATTTTTACTACGGAACTTGTAAATTAAGAGCAACATTAAAGGTTAATTCTCCTTCATATTCTACAGCTGCGCGTTGGTGTATACTGAGTTCAAGCGAGACAGAATTTCCATTAACGACGAACCCTGCACGGGACATCCTACGTCGGTAGTGGCTGAACAAAAATTATAAAATAATTTAAAGCGTTGTTTTGACAGATCGTCGTGTTACTGTTTGTTTCATAGAAGAATATTGACCTGGAAACAAAAAACTGTTTATAGACTTGGAACTTTAAAGGAATTTAAGGCGATTCCATCCGCCGGTAAGTTTATGGGCTCTCTTTGTCAGTAAAGGGTCAAGGGTTAGTAATGATCGAATACCTTTATAAAGAACGCACTATTACGGAGACTTTTTACGCAGGACGAACAACAAAGTTGCGTGAGAAAATATGCAACCAACGATATGGCACACTTGCTGAAGTTGTTTTGATGTACCAAAATAACGCCCCTCCGCACGAGTCCAGAGTTGCAATGGCAGCTATTGAACAAGCTGGCTTTGAATTCATGGAACATCATCCATCCTCCCGGGCGACGATGATGTCGCAGTAGTCGCCGCGGTTCATGATTTTTTAAGTGATCAAGAAGATTTTTTTAAAGGGAACGTAATCTTCATAAAAAATATATGTACAAAGTGTATAAATCTGAAACGACACTAAAATAAAAGAAAATTGCGTCATACACATTATCACTTTTTATTGAACCCGTCTATATTGGGATGGAAAATTTGATCCCTACTCAGATTGAGACATTTTGTCTATCATACTTACGTTCATACGCGTATTTTTGAAGTGTAGCTCGCGCCAGAAGTGAAAAAACTAAATCTTCCATTTTAACATCACTTTTATTTGGCGGTTGAGCAGCCAATCTTAAGAAAGGTATGTTTATGTTTGCGATATAGCTTTTGTAGGTACGTTTCAAACAATTACTCAATGGAAAGTTTTTAAACATCCCATCATCATTTTGTGAAATTTTGTGATAGCAACAAGGCATTATAACAATGGCGCGTGCATGTTCCATTTTTAAAAACAAATTGATAGCGTCCACCGTCAAATCCGCACAGGCGTGTAGGCCACAAATACAAAATTGCTCAGAATGAAACTTATCTCTAATAAATTTCAATATTTCATTATTTGAATGTTCGGTTATTGTATGCTTAATATATTTCACGTTTTCTAAAGAATCAAAATGATACTTTCTTTGTCTCTTTTTTGCGTTAACGTAATTATTTTCGTTGCATTCCAATCCTAATACTTTAAAATTACTAGATTTAAAAATCTGTTGGTCTAGATATCCCTGTAAACAAAATCAAATTTTCACCATTTAAAACCTATCACAACTGTAGAAAAATCGATGTATTCACTATATGACATCTATTTAATCCTGCGTATAAATGACGACTTTATTAACAAAACAATGGCTATTTGATAATTTGTAAAAATATTTGATAAATTGTGTCTTAACATTAGAAAGGATAATATTTCGTTATCAAGTTTGAGCCATATTGATTAATTTTGGTACACTGAACATAGTTTGGACCGTGTCTTAGCAGCAATACAGTACATATTATATAGTCTGCTCGCTCATACCCGATTAATGCCGAAAGAATGATTGTTTCAGGATTGAAAAACACCCACGCAGTTTTAATTCTATTTACACTAGATAACAATATGAAATCTTACCAAACCAGCTCCAAAATCAACTACAGTTTCACAGCCTGTCATCTTACAAACAACGTCGATTTCCTCAGATAAATAGGTAATTTCGTGTTTTTTCTTAAGGCTCAAAGGGGCGTCTATAAAAAACTGCAAGTTCTGTTCTTGAAACTCGGAATATCTTATTTTCAGTCTTCTTGTTTTTAGGAAAAAGTTTCTTAAATAATCGTTGCAAATATTTTTCGAAAGGTCAAAGCTTTCATCAAATACATCCACATGTTCCAGCCCTTGCACAGAAATATTTTCCAAGACTTGTTTAACAATTAAATCCGTGTTAGGAAAAATGTATAAATGTTGATATTCTTCGAATAATTTTAGACATTCTTCAAAGTATTCATGTGGTTCATGAAACGCTGTCGGTAGAGCCATGGTTGTGTCTCTGAAAAATTATTAGCAGTTTTGACTTTTAAGATCGGTAGTGTACAACCATTTACTCTCGAAACCATTTTTAACAGCTATTCAATCTTCAGTCTACACGTTAGAAACTATATTATTGTATTTACGTATTTATTTATATGCAATCCACATTTTATTGTGCTACAGCAGAAACTTATAATGTAGGTAATAACTAATTGAAGAATCTCAACAATAATTGTAACGGTCATTATTAAACAATTAAATTTGGTGACTTTGTGTGTTTAAAATTAATAAAAAAATGTTTATTATGGAACATAAGATACATGTATCACTTATTCCACGTCATTAAATTTGAAGGCATCCCTACTCATCGGCAAAGAAGACAGAGGGTGTAGGCCGAGAGAAAAAGCCGGCGTAAAAAACTCTCGGTACTCTTTTAAAACAGCAAATCATCAAACAACACTTATTTAAAACAAATATCGCAAATTAATTAGAATTAGCCTGTCTAGCACTAGTCCCAGGCCCTTTTATCAACTAGATAATCGTTGACTTTATAGTAAGCCTTTTTACAGAGCTTTTCTTTAATACATTTCTTAAATTTATTGAAAGGCAGTGATAAAAGAGCCTCTGGGATTTTATTAAAGAAGAGTATCCCTTTCCCCAAAAAAGAATTACTAACTTTAGATAGTCTAGTACGGGGAAATTGCAGCCTGCGTTTGTTCCGTGTATTAACATTGTGCGTATGTTCTATTCTAGTAAACTTATCACTATTTTTGTATACATACATAATATTTTCATAAATATATTGCGAGGGAAAGGTAAGTATATTAATTTCCTTGAATTTATCTCTAAGAGATTCCCTACATTTTCAATTATAGATTGCACGAATAGCCCTCTTCTGCAGGATGAAAATAGTTTCGACATCAGCAGCATGACCCCATAATAATAAGCCATAAGTCATTAAGCTATGAAAGTAACTAAAATAAACAAGTCTAGCTGTATCGACATCAGTTAGTGAGCGAATTTTTTTAACCGCGTAGGCTGCAGAACTAAGTCTCTTCGCCAATCCGTTAATATGAGGGGACCACTGAAGTTCACAGTATAAAAAAGGTACATATTTTAAAAATGAGACAAACATTTTAACTAATAATATATTTTTATAACAAAGACTTTTTATGAGACCACAGGGCACACATATATAACATTCATAGAGTTGAGTGCGTATCGACTTCTTAAGGACCTTTGCTTTTTATAAATATGGTCTTCACATATCAGTACCTACGTGCAGAGTTTTTAAGGAACAGAATAGCATTAATTTTTATCCAATAAACCTTAAATAATACATTCAGTTCCGATTGTACTAGACCTGTATGACAAGCCCTTAAAAAGCCTAACAACTCTCTTTCTCTTGCGGTCCGCTAATTTTCTGCCAGGATTCGTTGCTTTTGCAAATTTGCTGTGATGCACCTTCCCCAATCACGCATTTTCCCGCCCACTTGTCTGGTGTCAAATACTTTTGACAGACATCTAATATATCTTCTCTCTTTACAGCTAAAACTCTCTCCCTCTGTGTCTTCCATATGTCATATGACATACCGTACAAAAATAGTTCTATTCCTTTCATGTATTCAGCTACGGGTGCGTCCATTTGTTGTAAAATTGACAATTTTGCCTCAAATAAGTTTTGGTCGTCCACCAAACTTTCATTTTTTTGCCATCCAATCAGTGGTATCATCATACACATCCATTGTTACACGTGAATTCGGGTCTCTATATGAGTAGAAGTTGAAAATACCATCTATTGTCAACATAGCACCTCCTCCATAAGCACCATTCTGCTCACGCACTATTGGATGGAGATATTTGGAGGTTAGGAATCGAGAAAGTACTCTTAATTTCGGATAATCAGCATGCGTGTAAGGAACTGTTGGAATGACTTTTGCACAATAATTAACTGGAATGTTCATTGATACATGAAGACCTTGGTTTTCCTTTGGTAGAGTTTGCGAATCTGTGAAGTTAATCCTATTAACTTCTTTACACTCTTGATTCTCACAAAGTTTCACACAGAATCTATCTATTTCTTCGTGAATATTGTTATTATCTTTTGAATAGTGGATGGCTGCTCTTAAGTTTCCACCTACTAAAATATTTTTACCTATATCATCAACAATGGTTTGTATCTCCTCAATTTTAAGGCTTTTTTGCAGCTCTTGCATATTCATGACATGTTTGATACCAAGAAGACCCTCCTTACATTGATCTACGGATGAAACTAACGAGCGAGCAGCCTGCATGGCATAGACATGACCATTATCTATAATTCCATTGGTTAGAGATGAGCAGTAGTTTGTCAGTAACATTTTCATTCTTTCGCTGTTTTCAAATTTAGGTTTTTTGAAAATTTCAGACCAAATATTCATCATTTTTGACAAATTATTGTCAAGGCAATGACTACTTATAAGCACTCCTTGTTCATATTGTTCTTCTAAATCAATATGTTCTGTTACATGTGTAGTGAAGCTTAACCCAGATGTTGATTTACTAACATACTTATCAAAGTCTCTGTAGTTGAAGGACTTAGTATCAAACTTATCAATAACATAGGTAAAGAATGGCAATAGGGGTTTTTGAGTTGCATTTAAATTATCAGTTCCTAGAACTCCTTTGAAATACGTAACTCCATTAGTGTTTGCTTCACACAGTTGCAAAGGAATTGTTCCAGATACTGTATGTTTCAAAGTTGGTGCTGTCTTACTTAACATTATTTCATCTAATTTTAAGCATGGCAAGATATCAAGATTTTCAATTTTCTTTTGTGATCTTGATAATTCCATTCCATCTCTAAATATTTGTTCCTTTTCATCACTAGTGAGTTGTTTTATTTTAAACTTAAGTAATTTTGATTCTGCTTCATTAAAGATATCATCAAACTTAGAATCGGGTTGCATAGTCATTATTAATTTATGGTTATTAAGTATAAAATATTTTTCAATTACATCTTTAACATAGTGCGAATCCAGTAGGTTTGCCTTCAATTGGTCTAACAACTCATTCACTTTTAGGGCTTTTAAAATAGGACCATTATGATTCCAAAGAGGCATTAGGTTAAAAAGTACGTTAAGACCAAATTTGGGTGATTGATGTTTAATAGACAGCTCAAAACCATGTAGAACACTTTCAATGTGTTCTCTCTCAAATCCCTTTTTATGAATATCTTCGATTGTTTGATTTGTAAGCTTCTCTATGAGTTCAAAATTAGTTCTCTCAACATCTTTTAATCCAACAACAAATAAAGTATCTCTAATTTGATTATCATAACCAGTAAGAGCATTATAACCTCCAGATATATTTTTTTCAATTAGACTTTTGTAAAATGCCGAATTTGGTCCTATTACCATCAATTCAGCAAGAGCTGTCATCATAAATGTTTCATATACATTTGTAATGTCTGACATTACATAACCAATTGCAATTTGATTTTGTTTCTCAATAGGTCCACCATACTCGTCTACTCTACAAGAAATATTTGTTCTTTGACTCATTCTCCATCTTTCTTGAGGATTAACAATGGTATTGTTAGGATCCAAGTACTCACACTTACTAAGATAATTTTCATTCAAAAATTTCAAATTATGTTCCAATGGAAAATTACCATATGAATAAATTCTTGCATTGCTTGGATGATAATAAGTAGCATGGAAATTTTTCAAATGAGAATGTGTCAATTTGGGAATGCATAATGGATCTCCTCCTGAGACATTACCATATGTACCTTTGGGAAGTATTGAATTTAAAAACTTTTGTCCAAATAATGAACTGGTCTCTGAAAATGCTCCTTTCATTTCATTATATACAACACCCTTAAACAACAATGGTGATGATTTATCTTCTAACTTTTCATGCTCAAATCTCCAACCTTCTTGTAAAAAGTCTAATCTTTCTAAGTTTGGTTTAAACACAGCATCTAAGTATACCTTTTGCAAATTTCTGTAATCTATTTCATTTTGAGAGGAGAATGGATAAAATGTATAATCTGGCCCTGTTAAAGCATTCATAAATGTAGCAAGAGATCTGTTTAGCATTTTAAAGAAAGGGTCTCTGACAGGATACTTTTCCGAACCACATAAAACTGTATGTTCTAAAATATGAGGTGTACCCATTGAGTCTTGAGGTGTAGTTCTGAAGCCAACCGAAAACACATTGTTGGCATCATCTCTCTCTAAATGCAGGTACTCAGTCTTAGTTTTCTCATGAGTCAAGAGATATGCAGTCATGTTATATTCTTTTATTGTTTCCATATCCATACAAATAAAGCCATGGTAAAGTTTGCCAGGTAATATACCTTTAGAAGTATTTTCTTTCTTATTCAGAATTCCACTACTATATTTTTTATGACTAGAAGGGCTAAATTTTCTATGAAGCCTGCTTGACAAACATCCAATTCTTGAATACATTTTTATTACTTCGTTTCTGGAAAATAATATTTACTTACTATTTTAAAAAATACCCGAATATTAAAAACCCGAATTAAAAATTCGTGAACGTTAAAAGCCTATTAAAAAATAATAACAGTATAATCATTTTCAAACAAATGAAATGATGAAATATTGTGAACTCACCGCCAATACGACAAAAGATTTTTAAATGTTATAACAGATTGGAATTTTCTCAAATCCTATAGTATATTACTAACAACTTTTCCACAGTCAAAAGTCTTTTCTTCGGTTTTTCTTGATTAATAATAAATTTTATTTTTTAACCTCTTGGCTCTTGCCCTCTTGCCGGAGGAAAGCCACAAATAATATTTGACACTTTACACAGATCACAGTGTAATTATAAATTCACAAAATTGTAATGTCTAGCAATATGTTTTCAATGTCCTAGAATTATCAAGTTTTTTCTAAGAATAGCCCTTATTTTTATCTAATTATGTTGATTTTTGTTGAAAACATTCTCATTTCTTAACTTCTAGTTTTAACTAGAAGAAGTCTGACAGTGACGTTTAACCTAACCCTTAAATTTTGACAATATTTTTCTTTTCTTTCGAGTTCTTCACGTGTTTACGTGTTGAACTTGGTAAATAATTATATATATCAAAGGCAAATGTGAAATAAATAAAAATGAGTTTATACAACTTCAAAAAAATAGCCGTGGTCCCCACGGCAAAGGTTTGTTATCCCTATTAAATATTTATTCTATTATTTTTGGACCCATATCTAACCTAACCTCTCATATTTTGCTATTTTCAGGACTTTATTGATATAATTTTGTCGAAAACTCAAAGGAAAACACCAACTGTTGTACATAAACATTACAAAATAACGCGGATACGTGCATTTTATATGAGAAAAGTAAAATTTACTCAACAAAACTTCCATGATAGATTATCTCGCATTATACAGGTACGGTTCTTATTCGATACACTTTTGTAAAATAAAAAAGTAGTATGCATTCTAAAAACAAACCTGATTACTTGTTTTATTTCAGGAATTTCCAAAACTAGATGATGTTCATCCATTTTATGCAGACCTAATGAATGTACTCTATGACAAAGATCACTATAAATTGGGCTTAGGTCAGTTAAATACTGCCAGGCATTTGATTGATAAGTAAGTTCTCAGGATATTTATCTCCTTAAAAATACTTATAAATACCACATTATTATTAATACTTACACTATTATCTCTTGAAATAATTATGCTAAAAACTTTACTTTGATATCTCTCTGGTTTGGTCAAACCATCTCTAAAAATTCTGTTGCTCTTGCCACTCAGAATAAAAAAATCTGTTTTTATTCTAAGACTACTTATCCATTAATCTTTTAAAATTAATTTACCATATATAGCTACAAATTTGTACTGCTTGCCATGCTATGCTTAAGAGAACAAGCTTTTAAATTGGTCTTAATGGTTTGTTGATTACATCTATGAAACTTTGTTTTCTTTGGGAAATTTTGATAATTAGCCTGTAACTGTTATTCCAGTGTCGCCAAAGACTATGTGCGTTTGCTTAAATTTGGAGATTCTTTATATCGGTGTAAACAGCTGAAAAGGGCTGCTCTTGGTCGAATGGCAACAATCATGAAGAGGCAGTCTGCCAACTTGACATATTTAGAACAAGTAAGTAGTATTATTTTTGATATTCAGGTCTTAACTTTATGTTAAGGTCATAGGATTAAATAAATTAAAACCTGTTAGTATAATTTTAAAACTAGACTTAGTAGTGTGCCACATATTTACGAAAAATTGCTTGTAGTTTAAAATTCTAAAATAACACTGTATTCACTATATTAGCCAATAAGCCATAAAAAATTCAAAATTCAAAAATCATTTATTCACATAGGTAACACAATGTACACTTGTGATTCGTCATTAAAGAAATAAATATTATGAATTTTAGGTACGGCAACATTTGTCTCGTCTACCATCCATAGACCCATACACACGCACCATCATTATCTGCGGCTTCCCTAATGTTGGAAAATCAAGCTTCATTAATAAGGTAAAGTTTTAAAGGGTTGTTAATGTGATAAACAGATTATTTATTTGGTTGTTTGACGTAAACTATAGCTATCATAATAAAATATTATGACTGAATATTTAATTGTTTGTCATTATCATTTGATTTATTAATGTTACAAAAGAACATATTTATTATAGCAGTATACGAGAATATTTTTAACATTTTTCAGATCACTCGCGCCGATGTTGAAGTTCAGCCTTATGCATTTACAACTAAAAGTCTTTACGTTGGACACACTGACTACAAGTACTTGCGTTGGCAGGTATGTTATCACTGTTGTATATTATAAGAACTGTAAATAACTATTTTAAATTATATTATTATTATTCTTATATATTTATGCCAATTTATTTCATTATCATAGCATACTTATGTCAATACCTACACTGTTTTTCATTTTCTAACAGGTGGACAACCATTTACGAACCACATAAATTGTATGAATGTATTTGTTTTATGCGTATGTTGTCTAAGTCTACTAGCACATAAATAGTGCAGTCCCAGTCAGTACATACTATGTCAATACCAGGTGATAGACACGCCCGGTATTTTGGATCATCCGCTGGAGGAGCGCAACGTGATCGAGATGCAGGCCGTCACTGCTCTTGCGCACTTGAGAGCCGCCGTTCTCTACTTCATAGATCCCTCGGAACAGTGTGGACACAGTATTGAGGAACAAGTGAGTGATTAGATTACAAATAATTATTTATTAAAACTATATTATGTATGTTCTGTATGTGGCCTCATCAAAGCTGAGCTCAATATAATATTGCTGATCAGTCATTATTGGCCGACATTATTATCTGTCAAATGGTCGTAGAGTATGTCTGTACGTATTGTGCATTACCCGTGACATGAAACATGGCATCTTTAATTGTCAATCTAATAGGCAAGTGGCACAGTAGGTGATCAGCCTTCTGTGCCTGACTCACGCCGTTGACTTCTTCGTCACGATGTTTACCTTAGCGTTCGAGCGAATGTTAAATATAATTAAACACCATCGGTGCACATCTGGAGATAAAGAGTCGCACGCTGAAGGCCAACTCTGCTCAAAGAAATCGAATCTGCCAAACAAAAAGTGGAAATATTTTATATAAAGTTTGTTCAACATTAGATATCGCTCTTCGAGAGTATAAAGCCTCTGTTCAGCAACAAGCCGCTCATAGTGGTCCTCAATAAGATGGACGTCATGAAGCCCGAGGAGTTGCCAGAGCAGAAGAGAGCTCTCATCGAAGAGCTCGAAGCTAATTGTGCTAAAGGGAATATTGTCAAGTGAGTATTGTTGCTTTGTTCTCTACAAAGAGGATAAACGATAATCCTTGTCTAATATAATTATTAATTAATTATTATTTAATATAAGTTTAGAGTGATTATATAAGAATGTCGGTTCCTCTCGATCAGCGCCGACGGAAACTCGGAGCTTCGCACGGTGCCCGTGATGAGGACGTCCACCCTCACGGAGGAAGGGGTTCAGGAGGTCAAGATCGAGGCCTGCGAGAGGCTCCTGGGCCACAGGGTCACTGAGAAGATGAGGACTAAAAAGGTATATGACAGAGGAGACTTTAAATTTCATGGTCAGAGCTATTCTTACATAATAAGAGCAATATTCGTCCGCAGGTGGATGGCATCTTGAATCGATTGCACGTGGCGGTTCCGTCGCCTCGGGACAACAAGATCCGTCCGCCCGTGATCCCCCCTCAAGTGTTGGCCAAGAGGGAGAAGATAGAGAAGGAGAACAGGAAGAGGAAGCTCGAGAGGGAGATCGAACTCGAGGAGGGCGACGATTATGTTCTCGGTGAGGCCCGTCGATCGCTCAGGCGACGCAATGAGGTTAGAATCGATTTGAAGGAGTCGATTGTGTTTTCCAGATCTTCAGAAGAACTACTCGGAGATAGCCGAGGAGGAGCGTCACGACCCCATTCCGGAGTTCTGGGAGGGACACAACATCGCGGATTACATCGACCCAGAAATATTTGAGGTACTCTCGGTACTCAGATGAATTGTGGCAAGGCGTGGCCTAGTTTTGTGCTGGAAATTATATTTTGTTGATTTGTTTCAGAAATTGGCTGAATTGGAGAAGGAAGAAGAGTTGCGTGAGGAGGGAGGAATGTACGCCGTGCCCAAGATCGAGCTGGACGAGACCATGAAGGAAATTCGGGACCTCGCCCGCCAGATACGGTTCGTACCTTCGTGCTTCGAGATATTTCAGTATTTTACTTTTACCTTTACACCAGCAGTTTGCACTTGGTGGCGGTTTTGGGGTTTTAAGATAAGATCATTCCAGCCATTTTGATTTACAGCAACAAGAAGGCGATCTTAAAGGACGAGTCTCGCCTGGTGAAGCAGTCCACGAAGCCAGTGATGCCGAGGACCAGTCGCGCCAGGGACAGGGACAGGTCCACCAACAAGCTCAGGCAGCAGATGGAAGGCTTGGGTGAGTTTCGAAGGTTTCTTTGCATTTTGTTTAATTATATTTATAATGAAGTGTAGTTCTCCGGCATGGGTTTGACGGTTATCGAAATGGAGTTATCTATTTATTTACTTTATTCCAAAAATGACAGGCGTGGACATGTCGGAGAGCAAAGAGGCCCACTTCACCAGGTCCCGCTCCCGCTCTCGGTCCATGTCGGCTCCGGCGAAGCGAGCGCGGCTCGAGTCTCAACCCCGCACGAGGTCCGTCTCCAGGCCCGCCAGAGACGAACAGGGCGTCAAGGACGTCGCCGTAAGATCCACATTCGACTTATACACGGCTTTGTTTAATTAAATGTTCACAGAATCACACGAATATCTTTTTCTCTTTCCGCAGATGCAAAGGCGCGCGAAGAAAATGGCCCACATCGCGATTTCGAAGAAAACCAAGAAAATGGGTCTCAAGGGAGAGGCCGACAGGTTCATCGGCACCAAGATGCCCAAACACTTGTTTTCTGGCAAAAGGGGCGTCGGCAAGACGGACAGGCGATAGGCTCATGCAATTCGTCGGGTGCTTATTGCACTTATTTAGGAATAATTTGTTTCCATTCGGAAGTTCATACATCTCTTCAAAGTTCACGAAAGCTATATAAAATGTGTAATGTTTTAATAAAGTTGTACAACATTAAATTGTCTCTTTACAACCACAAACGTAACATTAACATAGCGTTTACCTATGAGAACTATGTGACGTCGGGCGTCGTCATGCCGTGAAGCGCCACCTAGTTGTCATCTACCGAAATCTACAGTAGAGTCCTTTTCATGAAAGAAGTCCCCCAGACGCAGCGCTGTAATCGCGTGACATAATGTTGCCATTTATGAGTAAAAAATTTACCTATTTACATCTAGCATATGTAATTTATCAAATAATACTATTTTCTACATACTTCAATATTTCTGTTATGTAAAAAGTATATTTTTATATACTTATATAAGCGGTGTTCTACCTACTTACATGGAAAATATGAGAAAATAGGGTAAAGAAAAGCATTACAATTTTTTATTCAGAATTTTATTGAATAATTGTGATCAGCGGCCATAGGAACATCACTGTCTGAAGAGTGGATGGAAACAGAATCAGATTAAGTTTTAGTATCACTAGCCGTAGATATAATTGTTCTTTTTGAAGTTATACTTCTTTAGGTGTGTTGTGAAAAATTTATGAGAGTAAAATTTTACGATGCGCGCGCACCGTGACACAAAATTAACAGAATGAAGTTGCCCACGGAAGATGCTACGGCATTGGATATAATTTAAAAACAACATTCGAATAATAATATAATTTATGTTACACTTAATGTTAGAGAATAATAATAAATATTTATTTATATAATTTTTCAAATGTAAACTGAACTTTATTGACTATAATGACTCCTTTTCCAGTCTTTGATTATTTAATTGTAATTAATTATTTGCATGCAATCAAACTATTTTTGATAATGCCAAATAAGTATAACTTCTTACGCGCGTATAGGTATGTTATTTAAGGTGGCGGCTTCAACACATTTACACTTTGTGCTTGTGTAGTGTCTGTGAATAAGCGCGAGGCGTGATGTCAAACTGAAATACAATCACAAATACATCATGAAAAGACTGTCCGTCTCTCTCGCGCTCGGTCAAGCTTATGAGTATAAAAGAGACAGTTATTGTTTTGCTTTTGCTACTGTTTATGTTGATCTTTCTATACATGTTGATCTTTTTTCAAACATTACCAGGGCAATCTCGTGAAATGATGCACAAAGTTTTTAATTATTTTAAGCATCTTAATAAAAACAGTTTAATGAAAAAAATGTTATATTTCATTTGACATCAGATGCAGAAAGCTGAAAGCTGATTTGATTTTTTTTTTTGATTTGTTGAAAGCTGGGTTCACCATCATACTCCTGAATCAAAGCAACAGTCCAAACAATGGAAAATATCTGGATCACCTACTCCGAAAACGGCTAAGGTCCATTTGTCGACCAACAAAGTCATGGCTAGATGGAGCGTATGTCGAAAATTAAAAATGATTTACACGAACTACTCTTTCACGTTCTTGGTCTGGCTTAGAACTTTTGGATCCACCCTCGTATGCACCTAATATTTATATGTATTTGACACATTTTTATTTATTTACAACCCACCCAACCTTACTAAAACCAGAGTGGACTAAAATATATAGCTTGGCAAAAAAATCATATTTTGAAACATACTGTATGTGAAATTGCATTAGTGTGAGTACTGTGAACCCGCCAGCTTTCGATAACCGACCTATACGTAAGTACACGCACCCTTTTTTTTTAATAGTACAGACGAGATAAAAGTGACGATATTCGGAGGACTTTGTGCGAGAGACTTACAATATAATTTTTATAAATGTATTAAATTTAAAGCTTAGTCTTAATAAGGTAACTCAAATCAAAATCACGGCTATATATAATTAGCATACTCTATCTCCTTCAAGAAAAGAGCGTACCAATTCTTAAAAGGCCGAACCATCGCGAGCCCTTATGAGAGGTCCATGGGCGTGTACTTAACATCAGGTGAGCCTCCTGCCCGTTTGCCCCCCGTTCTATAAAAAAAAAAAAAAAACTCTGTTAATGTATAAGTAGCCTGTGGACGAAACTTAATATAGCACACAACAGACTGTCAAGTATAATTTTACGTTCGAAATTCGAATCTATGATCTGACATTACATTATGTTCTTCCTCTTCCTCTCCATTAAGCGACCTATGCTCTTTTTACAAAGCCAGTCGCCTTTTTACCAAAGTTTATTTTATTTATTATTGTGTATTTTTAATCTGTACACAGTACAACTGTCCATCTTGTCCAAATTACGTCGCTTATCTTCTCTCACGATGCCATCTAGTACAGGTAATGTTTCATGCCTATTACACAGTTTTAATAAACTTTCTCGTCTTCCTAATCCTGTTGAAAGAATCCTTATGAATCCCTCATTTTTGATCCTAAAATAATTTTAAACTTTGGAATTGATAAAAAATCCACCCAAGCTTCCATTTGGAAGTATGGCATATTATTACTTGATTTCAATATCATAATTTCGCTGTTAACCCTAAAAAACTATATTACGCTTGCTGATTGCCAAATTGAGACTGAGCAAAAGTATTAGGCTAGTACTCTTTAAACGAATCATTTTAGTAATCGAGTTTTTAGCAGAAAGAGGTTTTGGGGTACCTAATGACGAAATTGTTGGTTCAGCTCACAATGGAAATTATTAAGGCTTGTTAGAATTAATAGCCCATAGCTGAACATATCAACATATATTTCCTTTATTAACAATCATACAAATTAAGGCTTCTAACTATCGATGGGGTCATCTTAGACACGAGATGGTCAGCCCGAGCCGATGCTACGAAGGCACTTTTATGCGGTTTTATCACTGTTAAACAAGTTTCAGAAGACATTTTCAATAAAGTTGATCTAATAGCGGAGTGCCGTAATAAAGTTTCGGAGTAGTTTCAACGATGAATAAGTTTGAAACAGGAATCATGACAATTACGTGGAACGGAATCCTAGAATGCTTGCAAGCGACTAGTGCTTCGCTGCAGTTGTCTGATCAAGACCTTTATACGGAATATGCGTCCAAGCAATGCGATCCACATTTTCAGATATTAAAGCAAGAGCCAAGGATACGATCAACTGTGAAGATTACCAGCAACAGACATCAAGATGAATCAAGCGAAATACAAAGTACGACCATTTTAGCGGCTCTACTTCGACGATTTTGTTTAAAATAAAAACCTGGACAACGTTTCGAAGTTTAATGTTATTATTGATATCGCACTGTCTGCTTTAACTAAACGTTTGTAAGTATATAACATTTAGTGTTTTTGAAGTATTTTGATAGCTAAAACTCTTACAACAGAAGAGATTTTGGAAAATTCAAAAGTCAAGTATGGTCAGCGCTTACGAAGATGATTTGGACAACAGCCTAGGTGGCGAATTAGTGCAGTTTGTAGAGTTGCTGAAAACAGATGTGGCTACTGTTATTGACAGCAAGAAACAGGAACCTCTGGAGCAGCAATTTTATAAACTTTTATTAAATGAATGATTAGAATTGTGTTTCCCAAACTTAGATATTGCCTTGCGCATTTACTTGTTGTCTCTCATGACTAATTGCAGTAGCGAACGTTTTTTTTAAATATTAAATGTTTTTAAAAATGAATTAAGGAACACGATGGGCCAAGAAGGTCTTAATCATCTCACGTTGTTCAATATCGAGTATGATTTGCATAAAGAAGTCGATATTGATAGTTTTATCTCTAAATTTGCCAATACTAAACCCAGAAAAGTTTATTTGAAACAGTTTTGTTTTATTTAATACCCTTAACTTGAAAACCTAAAGCAAACCAAGGGCCCCTAGGCAGAATTTGCTACAGGCCCCGCGCTGGCTTAATCCGGCACTGGGAACTGGTACTGGGGAGCTCCCGCCCAGAGGAGAGAACAATACTCCGAACGAGGGGCCGAATTTGCGTTTTATACAATTGAAAGCGTTGGGGTGACGTCCATACGTCGGGTTGTCTCTCTCCCTAAAATATGGCGAGGAGGCCGATGGCTGGCCATGAGTCATACTCGTGAAAGGGTGCTACTTGTGGTGACTGGTCATACTTGAATTCGTGTATGCGGTGATGTCGGTTATTTCGACTATGTATTTGCGTGTCATTCCCACGAGAATGTAAGCGCTTAGTATGTGCTCCTATTTCACCATGCCTTTTGCCGATAGAGGACAAATCTTTGTTTTTAATTAATTTTATTATTATTAATTACTTAAGATGTCATGTGGAACATGGTGTAATGGTGGTGGCAGCTCCTTACAAACTTTGTGTAAAACCTCCGTAGGCCGACGACGCTCAATCAACGGCACAAAGATCAAATCGAGATTCTTCAAGATCATACTAAGTATATAGAATATTTATTTTTTACTTTGTTTTCTTTTTTTATTCTATTTTCGATTCTGATTAAAAGGACAGATAGAATGGAAGAAATAAAGAGTATATTATAATCAATGCAAGAGGCAATCAACCAACATAAACTCGACATGCAGGATGTGAAGGAAGATATTAAAGAGACAATTAATCGAAGCATAAATGAAAAGTTTAGAGAGCTGGAAAACCAAAACAAAATCTTACAAGAAAAACTTGAAATGCAAACAAGTAAAATAAACCAACTAGAGCGGAACTCGCGACGAAAAAACCTGCTTCCTTTTGGCGTCGAGGAAAAAGAAAACAGCTACTGGGGCCAAGAAAAAAGCATTGTGGGAATAATCGATAAATGTTTAAACATCAAATGCGACAAAAACAGCTTCGAATACATGAGATAACTATGAAAAAAGGGGGAGAAGACGAGACCCATAGTTATCACACTAGCAACGATGGGATTAAAAATAAAAATTCTTAAACAAAAGAAACAGTTTGAATCAACACCGTATTATGTTAAAGAAGATTTTCCTCTAGAAATTCTTAACAAACGCAAGGAGTTGCAAATAGCAGTTAATACAGAACGAGAAAAAGAAAGACTAGCAATTCTACAGTATGGTAAAATTATTTTCTTAAAGAATCAAAACACGGACTCTGAAAGGTCAAGACTAGGAAAAAAGAAGAGAAACCAGTCATCGTCACCAGAGTCGATAGAAGACAACCGCGACACCAATAAAGTTAGAAAAGCAGCGAAAAATTTAAATAAAAACAACCACATTGATAAATACTTAACAAAAGCAACAAATTCAAAACGTCCCGCTTTAGAAGATGGTACAGCATCTCTAAACATAGCAGAATAACAATGGGTCCCCGTATCAAGTCGGAAAATGCATATATTATCTATATAATGGTGTTCCTTTTACTCGATTAGGTACAATACTTTTTAAATCATTGAAATCGGTAAATTGGTTGCGAAGATATTACACATTTTGTACAAGCCAACCGCGGGGCGGCCGAAATGCTCATGTGACGTCACGAGATCCCTACCGCCCGCGCTCTCGCTCTCCGCCATTCATTTATTAAAGTTTACTCGATCTGCGCGGGTCGTGTTGTGGTTTTGTGGTGTTTATGTGAAAATATGCCGAATTATAAGTACTGTTTAGTACCGAACTGTACTAATACTTCAACTAGTACACCTGAAAAACTAATTTTGAATATGCCAAGGGACCTGAAAGTGCGCAAAAAATGGTGTACTGTCATGAAGAGGGATGACAAAGTTCCGCTTTTTGATTGTTTTCAAAATCTACATCTGCTACACAAAATAATCCTTTGTTTCTGTTACAAAAAAACATTTGCAACTGTATTTGAGCTTTTGATTTTTTCGTCAAATCATTATTTTTTACAAAACTTTATTTTCCTTTTTTAGTCATTGGACATTTTATCTCTACTACGAGCTCGGGCGTCAAACCATCTGGCGAAGCACCTAGGATTGGCCACTCGGGTTTTAAAAATAGACCACAATTGACTATTACTGTGTACTCTTACTTCTGGTTCCTGACGTTTTCCTCTTTCCATAGCGACTGTCTCCTGTATAGATGCCCCGAAAATCTGTTCAACTAAAACACCATCAGTCTTGCAGTTTGCAGCTTCGTGAATTTTTGACGCCGTTACTCTGCAGTATCTTAGTTCCCTCCACAATGGTGAATCAGTTTGCGATAATGTTGCTTCTTCTGCTTTGCTACAGTCATCTATAGTCATCCGATTTGAGCAGAAGTCAATAAAATTAGGTGCATCGTTTATATCTATACCCTCTTTTCTAGACTCACTTATTAATACATGTACTAATGACATTTTTTTTAACGCGCTTTGTGGTACGCAATAGGCTGCCAGCTGGTTATGAATACATTTTTCTTGTACTGTTTTTTTTACAGCTTCTAAAAATTGACCTTTGACATAACTGTCATCTTGATTTTTTGGTGTGCCTGATCCCATATCTCTATTTGCCTTTATTTAAATGGTCCTTAGCTTAATTTAGGCTTAGCCCAATAACATTTTTTTTCAGTTGGGGATGGTTCCGCGCTTCGTCTGTGAAGCCACATAAGAAATGCTACACCGTGCTTACAACCTCCCAGTTGAGTAGCACAATCATCACTCAATGTTTAGTATTATTTCTTGTGTTTCATCACAAGTAAATGTGTAGCAATAAGATTTACCCTTTATTGTTGAAAATAACGGCGTAGGTAATTAAACAACAAACGCAACTGCCCTGGCTGACTAACCTAAAACTTTTGGGTAATTTATAGGCTAGTCCAAGTATGTGTACCTACCTACTTATTATCCTGCTGTTTTGATTAGGTTGATAATGAGATTTGCTTACCTCAGAAGTTTCCAACCACGAATTTCAGCGCTTGTGTAGTTTAAATGACTACTAAGATAATCAAATACCATGAAGGTATCAACTTTAGGTAGATTATCGGATTGCGCTTGCTAAACCGATATCTACCTTATTTCTACCACTCATTTGTTATATTATAATAACAACCTTCTAATATTAAACAAATCAAATCACTAATTAATCGATTGGGTATAAACCGGTGACGTTACGCTCCGTGTTGGACGAGTATCGCGAACAGAATAAACAGCGTGGGGCGCGCTGTGGTTCGGTGGCAAGCGTTGAGATCTTGTGACGTCATCGCTTGCATTCGCGCGGTCAGTAAACCTTGTTCGGTATTTTGCCCATAACTTTGTCAGTTTTGGTCGTAGAACAAAAATTTTTGCACTTTATGTTTTAGTTTCTCAAGGACTATAAAACTGCATTTATAACATAAAACTGTTACGGGTCCCCATTACATGCGCCCCCTCCACCTCTCCCAAAACGGCTAGTCACCGCGGGAGAAAAAAACTTCAACCCTTCAACTTGCCAAAAACTATACATATGCACATACAACGTAAAATTATTACTTTCACCTCAACGTCTGATACTATTAAAACACTCATTATCCAATATTAAATATGACATTATAGGGCTATCTGAAACCAGAAGGATGGGACAGGAGATGATAGAAGATGAAGATCATATCCTATGCTACACAGGGAAAACAAAGGGTCATTTCGGTGTACGGTTTCTAATCAAAAAGATATATAGAAGAAACATTGATAATTATATAGTGATATCAGAAAGTCTGTCTCATAATTTTGAAATTTGATACAATATTATGTACTGACGGACTCATAAACTGCATCAAACTTCAGGATTAATTTGAAATGATTTTTTAATAAGTATGCAAACTTTTAAGATTAAATTATATAAATATGGAGAGACTGGCCCTTAATCTTAAAAAAAGCAATATTTAAAAATAGAACTGAAGTAAAACAAATGAATATAGCCGGTAAAAGAAAATTTACTCGTAGTATCAGATTTGCGTGTTTTTTAAAAATTTATTCTTATTGATTTTTTATCCTTTTGACAATTGAATTATTGTTACCAGCAGAATTGTTGGGTTAGCTTTTTAACTCATCGAGAGTTTCTGAACCATAATATGGATACTTCATCCGAACAAGCTGCTCAAATTGTAGCATTGGTGCGGGAGGGCTTGGATCAACGAACGATTGGTAGAAATTTAAATTTAAACCAGTCTACGGTTTCTAAAATATACAGAAGGTTTGTGGAGACAGGTTCTTACAAAAGGAGACGTGGTACAGGCAGAACTCCAGCAACCACCGGTCGTGATGACCGATTTATTGTTACAACTTCCCTGCGAAATCGTTTCCTCACGTCAGTTAACATCAAAACAGAGCTTAATGAATTGCGTGGAGTAAACGTTAGTGCACGAACAATAATTCTTCTTATTGTTAAAAGAAGGTTAGATATCACCCCTTTTAGACCAGCAAAAGGTCCAAAGTTGTCCTAAATTGTTATCTCTCGTTTTGGCGATTTGCCTTGGCCTACAAGATCTCCCGATCTGACGAGTCCAGACTTCTTTCTTTGGGGTTTTAGAAATATCGGTTGTATGTGAACAAACCACAGACTCTCGCAGCTCTAAAATAAAACATTCATCAAGAAATAAGGAACATATAGCAGGAAGTATTACGGCAAGTTATGCAAAATGTCATAAATAGGGCTCAAATGTGAATCAACTCTGGAGGTCACCATTTAAAAGACATCATCTTTAAATCCTAATGGTACGACATTTAATGGCACAAATATATATAAATATATACATTTAAAAAAAACTAAATCTAGTTTTCCAATTTAGTCAAAAAAAATTATAGCTAAACCAAATAGGGTCTTTACTTTTGCGCCACCCAGTATAAGAAAGGTGATCCTTCAGATATTGGCAATTACCGCCCTATCAGTCTTCTACCAAATTTGTACAAACTGTTCGCAATATGTCTAGAAAAAAAAAGGGCTATATTTATTTAGAAAAGCACCAACCTTTTCGGGCAGGATATTCAACGACTGATCATATACACACGGTAGATTTAATAATAGAAAAGCATCAAGAGTTTAACCAGCCCCTACATCTAGCATTCATCGATTATACAAAAGCATTTGACTGCATCTCACATGAAAGTATTTGGCAGGCGCTTTCATATCAAGGAATACCAGCCATATATATAAACATTATTAAAGACATATGTAAGAAGAGTACCAGTAAAGTAAAACTAGTCAGACTTGGACCAAAATTTTGTATTAGAAGAGGAGTAAAACAAGGAGATCCCTTATCACCCAAGATATATTTTATAGCCGTCCTTCAAAATATTATGAAAGAACTGCGATGGGAAAGGAAAGGAATAAAAATAGACTCGAGATATTTGAGCAACCTACGTTTTGCAGACGATATAGTATTGTTTTCAGAAACGCCAAATCAATTATAAGAAATGATAGAAGACCTAAATACTGCCAGTAAAAAAATAGGACTACAAATAAATACTTTAAAAACAAAAGTTGCAACAAATAACAACATTTACCCGATTATGCTTAACGGAACAGCCATTGAGTAGGTACGTCGACAGCTATACTTATCTTGGTAAACAGGTTTCATTTAAGAAACAAAGACACGACAAAGAACTGGAGCGCCGCATCACCACAACTTGGAAGAAGTTTTGGATCTTAAAAGAAATTGATAGAAATGGAACGCAACGTTAGTTTGTACTGTATCTCGCCACCTTCCCGTTTGGCGCTGTTCTTTTCTTCCTTTTCCTTTTGAGTCACGTCGCTATACAGACGTTGTTTCATATTTACGAATTTAAACTTCTTATAATCAAACTACAGTTTTATTTGCTCAAAATCCTACATTGTAGCAGAGCGTGGTTACTGCGAGCAAATAAATAATCGTGAAATAGTTCCGGGATTATACAGAGGAGTGCATTTGACTGCTACCTCGTATTTCGTTTTGCATATATAATTAGTTGTGAATTAACCTTTAGTAACCAGTAATTCTGTTGATCCTGTTAAAGACTTATTAAATATTATATAATCATGGCTTGACCAGTAGATTTGTGAAGTGTGCCTACATTAAACCATTGTGATGGCTAATGGCGGCATTAATAAAATAAAGCTTGTGTATTTTTATAATTTTATTGGAAACAAAATAATAATTATGCTATATATTGCACGTGACTTTCAAGTCGATACAAGATTGAGCAAAACCCACTTTCACTTACTCGCTTCAAATTAACTATTTCTCACATTCGATTATTTATCTACATACAAATCGGTCTTTATTAAAAAAAAACATATTTTTATTTCATGCTGGTCTAGATTCATTTTATTGTGTTTATATGTAGATAAACTAATTGAAATGCATAGAAAATATAAGAGATTCATCAATTAAGAGAAAATAATTCATCCCTGGGTTTTGAACATTGAATTAAACTATGGTCCCGGCAATGTGGGATTGCATATGCCTCATTCTCGGTTTAACGAACGGATAACGAATCGTTAAGTTCTAAGTGAACGTTTAATATACTAAGACGTCATCCGTTAATTGAAACAGAAATGGGCGGTAACGCGAGAAGTTAATATTAAATGCCTTTTTAAAAAACATTTCTCAGATCTACATACTTTTATTTTCATTAATCGTTATACCTTTTCCATTTTAAGTATAACGGCTTCAACGAAAAATCATGATTAACAAAAATCAATATAAAATACACGAGTAAAAAATTAAATATTAAAAAGCTGTCACTTATTTATTGCAAATTTAATTAATGGCCAGTAAAACAACTTTGCCATTCAAAATAAATTAATACATTTTGCATAAGCTGCGTAGACCTTCATAATAGTAAGTGAAAAAATTGTTTTACTAATAATTCCACATTCAAGGAATGTTACCAATAATGGCTATTTATATTGCGATAATTGTAAACATCCCTTGAGACACACCTTGTAAATCATTTGTGACTGAAAGAAACACTGGAATAGTTTTCCTTGGCTCGGGTTCCATCAATATTATTCAATTGCTGAAGTCAAAATAATTTAGTCAATACTTTGTTAATGCCTCGGAAGGCGAATTGCTGCTTTAAACTGTGAACTTTTATTTTAAATATTTGTTTAACAAAATAATCCGGCAAATCCGACTTCTCAGAAGCTCTTTCAGCTAATCAGCTAATACATATTTTGAGATTCAAAATTTCATCAACCATCGCAACCATACCACTGTGGCCCACTTTTATTACTTTACATTATACAATACTTGAGATTAATGGCATCTAAAGAAGATAGGTTTTTTTTAACAATGGGGGCCAACGCTTTATCGTAACTTTTAGGCTAGGACCGAACAATATTCTCCAATACTATACATATACTAGTACCAGACAAATATTAACAACATTTTTTTAACGAAACAGACGTATGATATTAAACAAAACGAGATGGAAACAATATCACCCTCTCACTCGCACACCGCTCGCGTCACGCACAACCTGTGTTATCATTTTATATCACTAAAGGTTGCGCGGGCTTTTGTGTTCTTCGTTCGTTTCTCTAGAGTCTTAAAAGAAACAGTATCCCGAATCACTGGAGACAAAGTATTTACAAAAAATAACTTTTGTTTAGTAAATCGGAGTAAGAAAACATTAAAAGAGATTTTATTCACAAATAGCACTCAAACCCGCGCTTACAACTAGTTTCAGCGGAACGAGCCCGCTTAATACTACCGCGAGCCCGAGTAATACTATCTTTACTCGAGCTTCACTCATCTTTCGTACTATTCGTCACTAGAGACGTGTCAGATTTCGATGTTAAATAATTCAGCAAAAAGTGACGAATAGACGTGCAAAGTAAAACACATCACAGTCAAATATCGGGCTAAGCTGATCAAACCGACGTAAAGCGCATTCCTTAAATGTTTTCATTAATTTTTCATTCAAAATATAATACTCTTTTCATTAAAATCTCGTATAAGGACTCTCGTTTAAATGTCGCAGTGATTAGCTCTTTCGTACAGATATTCGACATAACTTGAGAAAAAAAAAAAGGTTTTTTGAGGTGAAGCTAAATACTGTTCGTAGACTTCGGTTTCAGGTCAGTGACGGGCACGACACGGGCAAGTAGTCAGATTCTGACGAGAATTTAGTCACAACCGACCGAAAGTGGCGGAGATCAATTAATATTATTTATTGCTATATAGTCCTTCTTAATTTATACGAGATTGTGCTGAGTCGGCGCCGTCGGTTCAGGCCGCGCTCTTACTTAACGCCATCTAGGGGAAACGCCCATCATCAAATACAATTAATCAGTCGGGTCGAGGAGTCTCTACTGCTCAAAAGCGAACTGTACTCACAGCACTTGATGGGGCTGAATGGCGGCGAGGTGCGCGGGCGAGGGGGGCACGGCAGGGGGCGCGGGGGGCAGCAGCGTCTGCGCCAAGCCTTCGAAGCGACCTCCAGCCTCGAACCCGTTCTGGAATAGCGTTCGTGATAAAATGATACTCTCAATATAGCTTTGTCTACGACTTGACTTCGGATATTATCTTGCGTCTCACCGGGATCATGATGGTCGGTCTAAGCGGCTGGATTGAGGGCTGCATGGGATAGTAGGGGTAGTACTGTACGGGGTAGCCGATGTAGCCCGGGTAACCGGCGGCGGCGGCCGCGTACATGGCCGCTGCGCCCGAGTAAACGGGCAGTTGCTGCCCCAACCCCGGGATGCCCTGGTGGTGCTGCAGCTGTTCGTAGGGTGGCGGAGCGTACATGCCGCCCGCGCCCGCTCCAGCGCCGCCGAAGGTCACGCCGTACGGCGATCCACCCGCCACTAAACACGTCAGGTTTTAGAGAACGGAGAGAAAATCTTTTTTAAAGACTGTATTAGAATTGTCACTCGAGTACCTCCATACTGCGGAGCTGCCTGATGCGGCGGCGCGGGAAGGAACGGCCCCTGCGGGGGCTGCGGCTGCGGGTAGGCTCCGAGGGGAGGTGTCACTGCAACAACCTCTCACGTCACTCACGGCCGACTACTCCCAGCCCGAGGGACGTCGTTCTGACGACTCGACTTTGACCGAGGTACTCGCCGCTTACGATTCGTGCAATTTTACTTTCAATCGACATACCCGAGAAAATTGAACGTATCGAAAACGGAACGATAGCAACACAAAATCTACACGAAAAATGCCAAGACAACGACAGAGTTTGGCCTCGCCGTGTTGCGACAGTGCTACATAGGACTAAACAATAATTGCATCGAGTGAATATTGTTGACTTGTGATAAAGTGGTAAAACAATAACACTAAGTATATTATAATTATTAATTAGTCACGCAGTACCCCCGTCAAAATCGTAGTCGAAAAGGCTTGAACTGAATGTTTCGAAAGTGAAGCGGTCAGGGCGACGTCATCTATCGGACAGAATCGCGCAAAAGCGCGCCACAACCCAAGCCCGAGCATTCACGCGTGACGTAGTGACGTGACCACGAGTGTTGCTATATTCACAATCTACAAAAATATAATATTTGCAACACTACAGCGCGGCTCACTAGCGTCAGTGTTAACGATCAAGCGATGTCCATACAACGCGTTACAAACAGACCTTGGATTTTTCCATTCTTTGAAAAAATCCAGAGGCCGACCTCGGCTCCGGAGCGTAACTAGGTCACAGATATTCGATAGGTTCGACCTACCGCTGTTATTTACAATGCATTCCTAGGTCCTATGATCACATTCGCCCTAGGCAATCAGTTCAATTACTATCAACATATTCATGAACGGTGCGAGTGTGACCACGTAAACTGCTTAAAAAAACAATCATCACACGATTATGACCCGTACGGGGAAACATTAGTTATAAATTATTTAACAGATCTAGGATCGCCAGTGTCCGAGTACGGACGGCTTGGTCCGAGTACGGACGGCTTCGTCCGTACCGGGTCACAGACGAAGTGCTTTCGTCATATACAAAAGCTTCTACTTTCACGAATAAACCAAATGTTTCATAAAAGCTCGTATATATGTCCACATCCCTGTAAGGCTGTGTCATAAGAGGAATGTCAAATCCGAGTTCAACTTTGCAGGAATGTAGCGATTAATAACATACAGGCCGCAAAGTTGCGCCCTAACGGTGAGCACAATTCGTGAACATTCCTTTAAAACAATATTATCTATATTTTATCTAGCTAAAACAAGTTTACCAAGATTTCTCTCGCCCATTAAAAATACTGAACTAACTCATTTTGCTGTTTAAATACTTATAAAGCCAATGCAAAAAAAGCGACACGTGAAAAATAAATCTCGATATGAATGCGCAGAAGGACATAGAATCATGCGGTGAACAAAATCTATTTGTGATAAATTTCTTAGAACCATGCAAGTCTTACGTTAATGTAATTTAAAAAAATAAACACAAACTGCAAAACAAACAATTCGCGGGTTGCGAAACAAAACGCTGCGTTCAAACAGCAAAAGTTGGTAAACATAAAAATCCTGGTAAAAGCCCTTAAGTATACATAAAATACAACTTATTCTGTCCCACAAGTCTGTTTAAAATATTTACGTCGTATCATGAGTCAATTGCACGTAAATTCATTAATCAGGAACCCTGTGGAATGGGATGCCTAAGAGACATTTCAAGTAATGTCGACTGAGAAAGGCATACTTCCCTGTCCTTCGTAAAGCTGTGCATGCAATAATAATTAAGGCAAATGACAATCGCCGCTGCCGTTCCCGTCGCGGTGGTACGTAAAATGTCGTTTCTTCATTCAGGTGTATTTATCGGAATAAAGTAGTTATAATCAGATTGAAATAAATTAAAGATTCCACCGAAACGCGAATCAACAAGCTCCCGTTAGACCTTATGAACTAGTCACACACTAACGTATACCTAATATTATTTACCTTTTTAATTCAAAATGTAAGAAAGAAAAGAAATTAGAAAGGCAATAGGATCGTTTGTTACTCTCAAATACTTTTGAGTTTAGATCAACCAGCAACATGCAATCCTGTATTGTTATTGTCTTGCTTATACTGAAAAGTCGCAAATAATGTTTGCGACATTTTCGCCATCACCCTACATCGTCTATATATCATTAATGTCATTATTGTCTGGATATGCATGGTTGTTCAGTAAATCAATAAAGTTTAATAATCATCATTAATGATTGTAGACTTAAAAACAATTCAATGACAAAAACCAGGCACTGATTTGTTTCTGTTAGTGATACTCAACTTATATCTGCTAATTTAGTGGCACAAGATCCTGAATAAACAGAAACTTGAGACTGAATAAATGCTTAGTGATGTGATTTCTCAGAAATTAGTGTTCATTTTAAAGTAAACTCTCTACAAAAAAATCACATGTTAAGCTTAATATATTAATTATATTAAATTAGCATAGTCTAAAACGATAAGACATCCTCATCACAAACAAACGATGAGAAAGCTTAAACAGAGAGGCAACAGCTACTAAACAAAAGTACAGAGAAATAAAAATGTCTAGGATTGCCTCTATGTTGAGAAAGGTGCAAAAATTCTAGCAAACAAACATTAACATTGAATTACACACCCTTTAAATTTCAAAAATATTAATGTAAAACAAATTAGGATCTAACAGATTTGCATACTTCAACATGACCACCATGTGAAATGTATTCAATTTAAAGGATGAGTTTAGCAAATAAGTGATTAAAAAATGGTTAAAAAAGAAGCTGTAAAGAAAATAATTATAATAGAACAATGAAATAAGACATCTGATCAATAAAATATAAGAACTTTGAAAACCATAACAATGTATACAATAATTATGTATTATAAAGTTTCATTACATAGTATTACGTTGTTTCAGGGAGATCAAAGTTCTTTTCTTAACAACTTGTTTTTTACCAATTAATCTAAATTGCCTGGAGCTGTTTTAACAATTCACATTTTTTAATAAATGCATGTTGTTAGATAGAAAAAAGACGCTATTATAAAAAGCTCCAACCAAAACAAACTTGATTTCTATATTATTTGCTGGTTTAAAAACTAGTTTTCGTAATATGCAAGACCCAGTGTAAGGTCATTGAATGCATTTAAATATTTTATGCATGCTGTCAGCCACACTGCAGCATGAGTAATCAGTTGAACAATGGTGTTATTGCGTTTTTTGTTTTTAATTTAAAAAATTATTCTAACAGAATAATACTACTGAGATGTTAAGCATTGGTTGTTGGCATTGGTTACATAAACATAAAATATGAAGTAAAATCCTATAGCAATCAAGTTGTAAATTACATTATTAAGAATTAACACATACGATCGTCCACACGCCGATACGCACATATCATATATTATTTTTTCTAGGTCTCCAAAGAAAGAAAAAAAAATAAAATTCTATTTTGTGTTATTACATGATATTGACTAGTCGTCTGGTGTCAGCTGACTCCGTAGACCCGAGATGCACCTGTGGAGAGGAGGGGGTGGCTGGGATAGGACAGGGCATGGACAATTCATTATTATTATCTCAAAAGCGGCAGGCTGTATGACACTAAGCCTTTGCCTATCGCATGTGTCATAAAATATTTTGCGGGGGCTGACATATGTAACAATGTTGCATACTAATTTGATTAATGCATAATTTTCAATACGGCAATGTAACAATCTCTTCATTTCTAATGCTTAAGCAACAGCAAACCTACAAAATTGTACATATAATATTGTACGTTCGTCATTTTTATTAATATTAAATGCGAAATGTTTTAATTTAGGTTCGTAGTACACTTAAAAATGGGTTTGATTATTTTATTAAGGTACGCACGCAAGAACGTTCAGCGTATTTCTTTGATATAGAGGTGCCTGCCGATTTAAAAGAGAAGATGCGTGAATCGATAATGTAAGTTGGTCATCCCGCCTATTCGTAGTCTTCCATCTTGGATTTGAGTTATTGATCGTAGCACAATAGGTAGTACTTTTCTGGTTCAATTGTATATTTTAGAACGATTGTTTGGTATATATCAATCAAAGAAATTACAGACATCATTTTCAAAAACTATATCGATTTTATAGCATAAAAATTTTAGTTATACGACGTTACATATGTTAACCTTCAGAATAATTATAAAGAACAAAGAAATTTAAAAGAATTTGTATAAATACCTTTCTTGTCTGCCATATTAGACTATAATAATTTTACTAAGAAACTGGGTAATAGAATTGAACAATATTCGATATTTGGATAAATTTCGCGACGGTTACAAAAAATTGCAGTCGCAATAAACTTCTTCAATTCACGAAATATAACTGATGAAGAGGTATGAGGATCGAGGGGCGAGGTAAAGAGAAATCGAAATGCTGTCAATTGCCAATGTCAGTGATGTCATTTAATTTTTTTTTTATTATGGCTCTGGCACGATTTGTGCATTAGCCAGCGTCAAGTATAGGATTTTTTTAATTCGTTCTTTTTGCCTTAGAAATTCGACCGTGTCCTCCATGTACGGTTTAGGCACTCGCCCGGTACCGCACAACCCTCCCAAAGGCCGAGAACAAATTTAAATTAAAACTTGCCCTCGAACCGGGAATCGAATCCGGTACCCCTCACTTAGCTGCCACTTAATAAGAGCGCTAGGCTATGAGGCCCCCAATCATTTAAATTATAGCTTATAGAAGACAGTCACTTTGAGAAACTATAGGGTATAATGTGTTATCAAAACAATTTTTATCTATATTTTGAAATTTCACTAGAAAAAAAAAACGGCGGATTGTATTGATAAGCCTTGCTTCCACATCTTGCATATAATTTTAACCCAGGGAGCTATTTAATTGTAAAAACAGATTGGCTAGTTGGAAATTATTATACGGCTATTAAGAATATTAGTCACTAACATCAAAGTTAACCGAATTGGTCAGACTTTAGGGGCATATCGCTATTCGATACCGTAAGAGGTTTGACGTGACATGGTTATCTAGCCTCTGCCCGATGTATAATAGGACCCAGACATAATTTAATATTTGATTGATTTAAGATTTTTTTCAATGTGTTTAGCATTTTAGTTTAAATTTCTTCCTTCCGGTGTTTGTCCCGATCGAGTAAATAAAAAAGGATTAGAAAGAAACATGGATTTTCTATGTACATTAAATTTATTAGTTTAATTCTAGAAATTGGACACGAGACTCCACTTTCCTCCGCATCTGAAACAATAAAGAGGTCGTGAACAGCCTGAAGTATGAAATGATTTATATCGGGAGAAGGAATATCGACCTGCAGGAGCCGACGAAGCGTCCGTCGTAGGCCCGCTGAAGCGGATGTCTGGCGCAGAGAGAGGCGGACAGGACTCGCGCGCCGCAACGCCCGCACTCGCGCCATCTGCCGCCGCCTTTGTCGCCGCCGCCCAAGTACATGTACCTGCGATTATGCCGTTGCCTGTACGGAAGGTCTGATGCGGAAGGCCGAGGTCTAAAGACGAAAGCCGAACACGGTACCTTATGGCGTCCATTTCGAACGACGGGGTCAACTCCGAAACGGCGTGAGGAGGCGGCTCCGGGACGTACCGGAGGGATTCGGGCTCCACGCCGTACTCCAACTGTTCATTGTTTCGACTCGTTAACAATCGAAATATTTTTGAATACCAGAATACGACAACGGACGGGTGGCACTCACGTGATACGGCGTGGGCCTGGCATGGGGGGCGCCGACTCCGCAACGGGGCGAGACGTCCCACACCCGGGACGAGTTATGCACGCACAGGGTCAGACATTCCTCTGAAACAGACGCCCACACGTCACGTGCTTCGCTCCAGGGAGTATTCGTAGACGGAGCAGGTCTAAAGAGAGTACCCAGCAGGTCCGGTTTGACGTTGTGGGGCGAAGCGGCGAGGCGCGCCAAGGCCGACTGCAGACCGGCTCCGGCCTCTACCCCGCCCCAGGTGCTTCGGGCGCTGCAGCGGGACACCACCAGCAGCTTGCGGAGTACGCCCAGGGCCGACGGGTCGGCCCACACCTCGTAGCTGCGGATGTCACGATTCATGAATTGAATCTAAGCATCCGGGCGCTCCGCGATAGTCGTGTCGGAGGATTTGATCTCACCCGTGATGGGAAGTGGAGGTCTGCAGCGCCGCCAGCGCCGTGAGCGCCGTGTGCAGAGCCCGCCGGAGCGGACGTCGCAGAGCCAGCAGCGGCTGCAGCGCCGACAGAGCCGTCTCTCCGAGCGCCTCGGCTTTAGCTTCGAGCGCCAAAAGGTTCTGGAAAGGGGAATAAGCCAATCGCTGAATCCTATTCCGATTCGGTCAGACGGCCACCGCTCAGAAGTACCGAATCTCTCGTGAGCACCTTGTCGTGGTCGGGCTGGTCGTCGAAGAGGCCGGCCAGGACGGCCAGCGCGTGCAAGGGCGAGTCTTTATCGTCCGGGCGGGGGGCGGGCGGGCGCAGGGCGCACGCCAGGGCGGCGCTCGAGGCCCCGCTCATGAGCACCGACGTCAGGTTGGACGCGCTCGCCTGTCCGCTCGGGATCATGCTGCCGGGCAACACGCTCGTTACCACCGCGATCATCGCTCGTCTTATCTCACCGTTCCGGTGGCGTCTCCGAGCGTACCTGCACAGCAGCATCCTCAGGCGGATCCAGGCGTAGTAGTAGTGCTGCTGGAACGCGGTCGGCTGTCGCTGGAAGTTCTCCGTCAGTCTGCAATTTCATTTAAAATCGTGTGAAAATACAAAACGACAATATAATGTTATCACCGGACGATGAGATGTGCACCTCTCGTAGAGCGCCTCGAGGACGTTGGGCTTGAGTCCTATCAGCACGTCCACGCAGTCGTGTCCGCTCACCGTGGCGTACTCCAGCAGCGCGCACGTCTGAGAGACCACTTGGCTGGCTGCAAATGACGACAAACCATGACAATTCGTCCGAACCGAGCGAAGGTCCATTTCAGAAATATAAATAAACGGATCCGAGTACCGTGCTCGTGCGCCGGCGTGTGTTTGTAGAGATGGAGCTGCGAGTGCGTGTCCACGACCACGACCGCACACCCCGACCGCGACACGCTCACGCCGCATGCGCGGGCGCACCTCGCGCCGCTCTGGACATAATCGTGTCGATGTTTTTATACAATATTCAACATTAAGTTATCATATATGTATACGCACACGAACCGGTAAAAGGCCAGACCCGTATTTTGTCTTCTTGGGCGGAGTCGAAGACGGCGGAGACACCTCACTACTCGTCACCACCGCCCGTGAACACAGCTGCACAGATTGAGGATTCAGTCTCACGTACACCGAGAGTTACGTTAGTAAAGGGTAAGTTACGTAATGCTTACGTAGTGGTGCGAGTCTCCGATGAGATGCAGGGACCTGGGCGTGGCGAGGGCGGCCAGCGAGGCGGCCCGAGGCCCGCCGGACGCCACGCCCGCCGCCACCTCGCCGCCCTCCACCGGCCACGCTCCCGTCGCCTGCCAGCTCTGCCGAAGTAACATTTATGCTGTTATTACAGTTAGAGACAGATTGAAGGTGTGAAAATTGCACTCACGAGGGTGGCGAAGCACTCCGAAGCCGACTTCGGTCCTCCCCCCGGAGTAGTGTTCCCTTGGACAGAACCTGATGGAGAGCGAACAAATTATTTTTGGAATGTGAGGTACAAATGAGAGACTCGAAATATAAATTGAAATATGAATAATCTGGATAAAATATTTGAACCTTTGGCCAATAGTTTGTGCACGGGATACGCTCGTTCCGTGAGCTTCCACAGGGTCACCGTGGTGCTGCCCACGAACAAACTGTTCACTTCCTCTGACAGCTTCCAACTCAGGCACACTAAACGAACAATGTCTACTAATAAAATCAAAGTTCTCATTTTGATATAATTAATCAAAATTACTTCTATCAAAATCCCAAAAAGACTGACCGGGCAGCTGCGGCGTGTCCTCCGGCAGATATAGCGTGGGCAGCGGCGTGAGCTGCAAAACCAAAGGAAGGGTCACCGTAACGGCGCCTGCCCGCACTGATGCCCGTCCGCCGCACACGCAAAGGGCGGCCACTACGATCTTGCCGTCTGCCGATATTACTAATCATTAAGATTGCTAAAGAAATTATAGCTTTATATGATGTACGGTTTTGGATTATCTATCACAACAATAGTGAATTGTTTTCCTCTTTCCCCAATATAATATATTTTAGTGCAATTTTTTTGTTACAGCTGAATATATTAGGCCCAACAATACTGACTTTTATGGGCAAGGGCAGCGGCGGTGACGCGATCCCTAGCGGGGCGAAGCGGCACCAAGGCAGACGGCGCCGACCAACCCGAAACCGCTCCCACCAGTCCCGACCCCGTCACTACGCACACGCCTTCACTGCCCGCTCCGCTGGCGCGTCAATACAAACAGTTATATAAAAATTAATAAAAACATAAGACATATTCATTTGGCTAATTAAATTTACCCGAATCCTTTGAGTGTGGGAGTGCTCCTCGATAATTGAAATCTCTCCGCCATAGATATCTCAGATTTTTTGTCTGATACCACAACTCTACGTCCATTGTGGAAGAATATCGTCTTCATCACCCTCTCACCTGAACAAATTAAAGAAAAAATATGAATTTCTAAGTACATTTTAGCATCATATAACATCACATCAGAAGTTACAATGGGGACCTCATATCACATCTCTTGCAGGGCGGCTGAGCTCAGCCGTATGCGGTTACAAAGATAAGATATTTAACAAATGTAGAAAATGCGCGTTTGGTCTATTTTAGCTACTTTCACAGCATAATGTCTTACGGCATTTTACTGTGGGGTCGGGCTGCTGACATAGAATCCATTTTTATTTTGCAAAAGAGAGCGGTCAGAGCCATTTATAATCTACGTCGTTGCAAATCTCTCAGGGAACTATTTAAAAAGATTAATATTATGACAGTACCTTGCCAATTCATTTATGAAAATATTATGTATGTAAGAAAGAATCTACATCTTTTTAGTAAAATAAATGAAAGACATAATTTTAGTACTAGAAATAAAGATAAAATAGCTCAACCATCTTTCAGATTAGCCAAAGTTCAAAATTCATTTATGGGGTACTGTGTGAAATGTTACAATAAAATACCTTGTGACATTTTAAAACTAAATGAACGAAAATTTAAATGTTTTATTAAAAGTACACTTTGTAAACAAGCATATTACAAATTAGAGGTTTATATTCAAGATAAGAATGCTTGGAAACATGCTGGTCCTGCTCCATAGGACAATTATAGAGCCTGGACAAAATCAAATTGGTTGCTGATTTTTTGCTTTAACATATTTTTGTTATTTTTTTTTTAATTTTTAATGCTACAAATGTAATTATTTTATTTTATCTCACACACTGTTTTATTGTGTTTTTTTATTATTTTTATTACTCTTTAATGTAAATATTCTACGGTTTCAATATTTGTAAATATGTGAGGAACTATTATTATATTGTATACTAACTTTTTTAGTATAGTAGTTTATTCTAAGAGTACATTGTCTCCACATATAATTATTTAACAAAAATGTAACAAAATATTGTAAACCTATTTTAAAAGAGTAAGTGTGGAGTTTCTTGCCCATTCTTCTCCACACGAAACTACCTTTTGAAAGGGGCAACTAGAATCTTCTTTGTATTTTGATGTTCAAAAGTGCCATTTTAGATGGTCTAATTGAAATAAATGATTTGATTTGACTTTGACATCACTTTATCACAAAGCTGTTTAAATCTGTCAACATTTCGACTGCTTTCCAGCAGTCATGGTTAGCACTAGTCTCTTACTGACAACAATTGCATTAATTCAGAAACATCTCACAAGAGGTAAATTCCTTGCATAATCCACTGACAATATTAGTTGTAAACCAAAGTAATAAAAAAAAATTGTGACTCATGTATCTATATTGTATTTTCATCAAACCAGTCTGTTCATTAATGTTAGCACAAAACTTTGTAATATTTTATATTAGAATTACCTGGAAAACTGCCTGTATACAAACAAGTCCATTCATTTAATAAATAATCCTTTTGCCCATATACATATACATCTCCTACAGTAGTAGCAACTAGCAAATGCTTGCCTTCTCCATCCCACTCAAGAGCAGATACCTAAACAGCAAGCAAACTTTTTGGTTACATTGATCAATTATACCTTAACAATGTGGGTCTTTTGTCAGATATACTTACAGGATGTGTAGTACTTGTAACTTTGTAGCTATTCCATGGTGTGACAATATCACATACATACACATGCCCTCCCCAGGTGTCTCCATCTACATCTGAGAGCTCAGTAAATGATGTGAATGCTATGATATTACACACTGATATTGTGCATATTGGACGCACTGCTTCTGGATCTGTAGTGCTGAAATTGTAGAAATATTAATTTTTAGAACTGTCATTTACTGTTGCAATGTCAATTTGTAGGTATTTCAAAAATTTTGTATATATATACAATATTATTTATACATACAAAAAAAATTAAAACTTAGTTTACTGCTTACCCATCAAAATTAGGTGGCTCACATTTCAAACGTTTACGTCTCATTGAATAGATTAATTCCATTTTGAAAATTCAAAAGAACTACTAGCAACTTGAGTTTTCTCAAACTGTGATCATGATTTAGTTTAGCTAACTTATTTTTTTTTAACTCAGAGTAATGAAGTCATATTTCTAAATTTTTACTTTTTAATTACATACACTGATATTGTTCTTTACAATTATAGAATGTTACAATTTTCAGCCCACAAACCACAACTGTTAATTTACAAAATAAACTAGGAGTTAATGTTTAGTTATTAGTATTTTTAATATCATCTGTCGCCTGTCGGTCTGTCGAGTTGTCGACTGTCGAGTGTCGCCTGATTCCTGAGTTATAACCACAGATTCTGATTTAGTACAGGTAAAGTAAAGTACGTTATATAGCAACTTATCATAATAGTGGTGTACGATGTATTAAATTTTCGGATAATGGTGATTATCCGAAAATTGATTACAATGGTGATTAACCTTTCGAATCGGATCTTGATTTGGTCTTTGGACACAACGTAAATTAATTAGTATCCGCCTCTAGCAACCATTTCTAAAGCAAAATCGGAAACACCACCGTTATTTCAATTACTTCCTTGATTTCAATGAAATATTCTTTTCATAAATATCTTAGACAGGTGGCGTCATTTCAAAATTATTGCGTTGTTCTACCCTCTATCTGGGTTATTAATTGGAGGTTTATTTTCGCTTCTTTCTTGACTGCTTATAAGAGAACCGACGCAGTTAAACTTTTCTATTATTTTAAATATTTAATAATAATTATCGTCAATCAATTATAAAACGTGAAATTTAATGAAAAACTTAAATTTCATAGGTTAATTGCGCTTTATAGAGTTACAAGCGATGGCCCGGAGTGAAGTGCCGTCTTACATTGCTGAGCACACCAAGCTTCTTAGAGACTAATATAGCCCTTCCAAATAACCACGAAACTGAACATCATTCGATATGTCAACAACCCGTATTCCAATGCTAGCTGAGGCTTTAAGGAGAGTGTCTTCAAAGAGAGCTGTAGGTACAAAGGGAGTTTTTTTCACGGAAATCGTGGAAACTTGTATGTTCTTGGGGTTAAATTGGACCAGATTTAACCCCAAGAAGACACAAGTCAACCCCAGTGCGATACTCCGATCAACCTTGATGCTCCGATCAGTGAGAAAGCTAGAAATCTAGTTGCATAATTTTCTGGCAACTTTCAACTGTTATAATTTCATGCCATCTTTTGTATTTGCAATTGACCAAGTGAATGTCATCAAAACGAGATGTCAACCGAATTGGATCAAGCTTAAAAAATTCCCATCCCTACAAGTAATACTAGAAATGCACCTGCGTCGCTTATTGTATCCCGACTCACGCCTTTAGGGCCTAGGCTACCGACTGTCGACACGAGCTGTCATTTTCATACAAATATAGTTTTCGACTTTCTACATACACTACTGTTAAGCCATCTTGGCTAGACCCCCAGTATATTAGAGTTTTGACTACCACAGCATATGGAACCCTCTCCGTTTGTTCCTTTACGTCATTTTCTTTTATTGTTACCACAAATTATAGTTAAAGATATAACAATATATTAATCTCTTAAATTAGAAAGCTAAAATACACAACATAAATTAATAAGTTAATTGTGAGTCGGTAAGACGTAAACAATAGAGCTCCAAGACTACGTATGTGTATGAATCTATGTTTGTATCCATTTTTGTTATACTCTACAGCAGCAACTTCACATTAGTGTGTGCTGTATAATAAGATTGTGCGTACATTGACCTTTATTATTGAGTTCGCGTTGGATTTTTGAACGAAGCAGTGTTGACTGTACATCGGACAAAAATGGCGGCTCGTTTTATTTGCTAGCATTGTGAATACACATAATTTTCTCGAAATAATCGTGTTTTTATGTGAACATGTGAAAAGTATGAATTAAACTTTGTAGTGTAGTGTTCAGCGCGTGTTTGTTAAAATGTGTCGGACAGAATTGTGCCGTTTTGGGATAGGGAACTGGATTTTTTTATTGGCCTGTCTGCATTTGTTTACCCATACCAAAGGTGAGTTCCTTTCTTCTAAATAATGTTATTATAGATAATATTGATCTATTCATGTTTACATTAATAAATTATTTATGTTTCGAATGAACATTTATTGTAAAAGTAACGTACAGTATACTATTTTTATTCGAAATGTTGAATGTTGTAAATAAATATTCTATAAAAATCGCTTGAAATATGTATGTATGTTTTTGGTTAAAATATATTATTTTATTTTAATAAGAATGAACCGATTGTTTCAGAGCTTTTAGTTAATGTATTTAAATAAATACATATGTAATATCTATGAAATATTAACAGATCCACTAATAGTGTATCTTTAAAAAGTCGGGAAAAACGTTAATATTAAAAATTTACCCACGTAATGTACTTGTACGTAGTACGGATGTGTAAGGGGTTTCCCGTGCTGGTGTGCCAGTTGCCACCCTCTGCCCATTAGACGTCTGCGGTTTAGCCCGCGCCTAAACCGCGAATTTAACCGGGAAGCGTATCATATAGTTAAAGCTCATAGCTCTGAATAAAAACAACTGCACCCTTATTCTATTTAGTCAGTTAATAATATTATATTAATTGTCTACGTTTCGTGTTTCCTCCCAATTTGATCATCCATTCGAAATTTAAAAATAAGCTGTCGAATAATTACTTGAATATTTTAACGAATCATTCTCATATTTTATTCGCGCTCGTCGTGTCGTGCGTTAAGACATGAAATGGCTACAAGATCGTCATCCCGCATGAAGTCGTTAATTAGTCGAGCATTTCCGCCGTTTGCAACACGAGATAAGAATTGAAATAAAAACTTAGCGAGGGTTGAGAATGCAAGAGCACTACAAAGGTGCATTAAATGTGTGGGATTTGGGACTACGTACATCGTATCGCTGTAATGAGGCGTTTTAATTGTCTTTGTGGGTATATATAGACGATATGTTTATTGTTTACATTGTTTAAGTTTAGCCAAAACTTAAACAATGCTTTTATGTTTTAATTTTCGGCGATATACACCGGTTATTACGAATAAACGTAGACTGAGTGACTTTCTGACGCAACTGGATGTCGTAAAAGAATATAAGAAGTTCTAAAAAGATATTTGAACGTGTAGATGTAAGGAGACTCCGCAGAAGGTGGGCGCGAGAGCTTTAGAAAGCCTGTCAGATAAGATGCTGCTCGCAGCCTGAGAGGTTTCTACGTTCACTTTGCTAGCTTTAAGCAACTGAAACCAATGGCCTTCTGTTATGTTAAGAAAAGGATACAAATTATACTTTTTACAGTTGGTAAAATTAGAAAATGTGTTGAAGCTTCTGAAACAAAGTCAAACAACGATAAATCTATATCTAAAGATGTTTTAAGGCCGGCAACGCACTTGCGAGCTCTATGGCACTGTGAAATTGGCGGCGGTATCACTTAACATCAGGTGACTCTCCGGTTCGTTTGCCCCTGTTATAAAAAAATATAATGATAACTATTCTTTTTCAAAGTGGATAATGGATATGTTTCCTTACTGATTTCAAGCGCCTTTTAAAATCGTTGTAATTGTTTTGTCTTTTGTGTATGTACTCAAAATTGCTGTTTACATTTTTGTGCCTATTATTGTGTTTTTATTTTAGTTGTGTTACTCATACTTTTATATTTAAAAAAAATTGCTAAAAACCATTCCAGAACGCTATTATATCGAGTTATAACTTGTATATACGAGTATATATTTTTATATATCATGTATTTGTGATGTGTCTGTCATATTTGATTTTTAAAAATAAATAAATATATCATAAATTGAACCAATGGCGCTATAACATTTTTAGCTCCGGGTCTCAGATTTTTGTATGTTTTATGATTTGTCAGTAGGTGATCAGCCTCCTGTGCCTGACACACGCCGTTGACTTGGGTTTGGCAAGCCGGTTTCGTCATGATGTTTTCCTTTACCGTTCGAGCGAATGTTAATGCGCACATAGAAAGTCCATTGGTGTACAGCCGGGGCTCGAACCTTCGCAAGCTGAAAGTGTAAAATTTATTATAAGATCAGATGCCGTTGTAGAAGAAGTAAATTATTCTTAGGTTGGTCCATTTGTTTGTTTGCTAGATCAATCGTGATCTAAATCGATGTACCAGAAATTGTGTTCACTGCTCTGTGCATATGTTATTCTAATGGAATTAAACATAACAAAACAATTAAGCGCAAGAGCTTCAGTTAAACAATTCAAATAGTAGTTGTTAGTTTCAGATTATTTGGAATTATAAAAATGGTATATCTAATATATAAAATTCTCGTGTAACAATGTTCGTTCCCGTACTCCTGAAACGGCTCGACCGATTCTTATGAGTTTTTTATGCATATTCAATACGTCTGAGAATCGGACAAAATCTATTTTTGATCCCCCTTAATGTTAAGGGTGGTCCCACCCCTAAATTTTTATTTTTTAGACAAAACTTTTTGTTTTATTTTTTATGATACAGCAGCATACAAAAATACATACAACCCTTAACCTGTCACCCCTCTATGATCAACCTATATTTTTTATTATTATAGATAGTTATTTTAATTGACCTAAAAGTGTTTCCTAGAAATAATATACATGGCAAAACGACGTTTTCCGGGTCAGCTAGAGATTATCTAAAATTATCGTTTGATAATATAACCGTCATGTGTTTGATATGCAAATGGGAACCTGCTCGGAATCGAAAAGTCGATTGAGTTGGTTCTTTAAATTGTTAAGAAATGTACAAGGCTAATAAGTCACGCGCGGGAAACAAATCCCTTGGTGAAATGTGCCTTGGATAGTATAAGTATTTTTTTTAGAATAGAAAAGTTTTAACAATATCTCAGTTAACAAAATGTAATAGAGGAGTCGGGACATGACGACCCCTTCGCCCCCTGAAGACAGTATCACTGTCTCACATGGAGTACTGTTCGCACCACTGGGCGGGAGCTCCCCAGTACCAGCTTCTTCCACTTGATCGTATTTAACAAAGTGCGATTCG